GCCCGTCAGGACGGGTGAGTGACATGTGCCAGATGCTGCACCCTGAGCTGGGCTGCAGCTCCCCTGGAAATACATCATGGAGTAAAAATCACGGCGTATGTTCCAGCTGCTGCACAGCGTGTCACTGGAGCAGACGTGCTGTCACATGCACAGACACACACCAAATCGTGTCCCAGCCTGGGGTTAATCAGCAGCTAACAGTTCTTAGAGGAGTAGGGGGGAAAAACGAAAAGGGAAAAAAAAGTAATTCCTTCAAAGGAAGATCAAAATTAACTATACAAGCTCTCTGAGGTTGAAACACAGAGTTTTTCAAAACAGTGAAAGAGACAATGAAGTCAGTGATATGTGTCCCCTTATTTTTGCTTTGGGGTTTGTTATATTTATATTACTGATTTTTAATGTCAGTTAATTCAGTATCCACAAAAACTACCAAGCTGGAAGCTCTTGAGCCTAAAGTCTTCTGCATTAATACAGACCCAGAGCTGGACCTCAGAAACATCCCTGAGGACACCATGGTAACAGTTGCCAAGTCCTAAAAAACAAAAAGCTTTTAGGGATGTGGACCACAAAGACTGACAAGATAAGAAAGAGGAACAGCATTATCTATCTTATTTCAACCAAATTTGACCTGTGTAAACTCACAAGAAGTGCATTCAGCTATAAGGAAAGTATGTGCTTATTGGGGTTCGCTGTTACTTGTCTCTGCCCCAATACAGGTAAGGTGGTTCTGGGCAGGCCACGCTTCAAAAGATGAGTTTGGACTCTTGAGTTTTCGGTCTTCAATTGTGTTTATTATTTCTTATCTACAAAGTTCTCTGTCTGCCCAGCCAAGGTCTGATCAGCAAGGCAGCCCAATGCACTCTCCCCCACCCACAGGGCGGCTGTGTCTTTTATAGTGAAAACTACATATAATATATTTAACTTTTATTTCCAATACTTTTCACCCTTGTTAACAAGTGCACCTTAGCCATGAACCAATCCACAAGTGCCAACATCATCCTGGACATGGATGCCAAGGAGAAGAAAAAAGGACAGGGCACACCCAAATCTCTCCATCTTGGGACTCCTGACCCCCATGTACAGGATTCCAAACCCCCTCTGTACAGTGCTCCAAAATCTATGTTTCACCCTGTGAATATAATCCCTGCACCATTCAAACCTGAAGATTTCTCATTTCCTCATACACAGATGACACATCCCTAGAAGGGTCAAAGTCAAGCCACCAGACACTTTTGGCAACATTCCAAGACCTCCTAGCCCCCCAAGGGTTCTCTCGGTAGCTCTGGACATTCGGAGTGATGTGCTGGGTTCCCACATGTGCTGAGTCCTACAAGCAGATTGAGGCATTAGAGAGTAAAGTAGAGAGCAGGAATAGCAAGACTATTGAAACTGAACTTATCACCTCATGGAGGAGGCACTGCTCAATATAAGTGATACACACAGCAAATAAACAAAAAATGCAAGAAACAAGTCAACACACAATCCCCAGTATTTAGAAATAAGACTGCTGCCACGTAGGAGTACAGTATATGAACACTGTTTAGGAATATTTGTATTAGTTCATTTGTGGACTGTGCAAGAAGATCATCAGTAAATTGGAAGCTGATGTGAAATCACACCAATAAATTTGGTAGGTAGCACAGTAACAAGAAGGCTGGTGAGTAGAGTGAGAATTGGGACATTTGGCAATACCTGAGCCCATTGCTGAAACTCTTGGCCTTCTCAAGAGCAAACAGCACATGAAGGGAGCTGTTTGAAAAGTTGCACATCTACGACCAGGGAAGACAAGTGATGGAAAATGTCTTAGAAAGGATGACTGTACAAGGCATCATGAGCAGATGTCATAGGCTCACATGGGATCGTTGCAGTTTTCAGCCTAGTTACTTGCAATCTCAGTCAGATATGCAAGAGTTTAGAAGAAATTCCGGGAGGTTCCCAATGCCATCAGCTCCTCACCACCAAGCAGTCCATGTCTTTTATGTACATGTAGTATCAAAACTGAAAATACAGTGGTCATCACAGTGGGAGAGCACATCAGTGTCATGTCTTCAAAACTGTGTTATGGCAAAAAAACCCAATGGTTATAAGCATCAGTTGCAAAGACACTTCTTAGCAAGAAAAACATTAGAAAGATAACAAATTCTTGCCTTGATATTTTTAGAACAATGTTGAAAAATTACATAGGTTGCAAATAAATGGTACAAAAACTATTAGAGGAATTGCAGTAGAAAGTTAAGGAGCTCCATCTATTTTGTCAGGAAAAAATATTATATGGAATAAAATCAATTTCATAAGAGAAAATAGTACTTACAAAAGGACTGTTTAGATAAGTGAACTAAGTCTTTATATGAACTAACAGCTGGAGGCTGAAGCCAAGCCAACCCAAGCTGGAAGAGAGAAACACTGAAGGCTGCTAAGGAGAGTGGCAAATTGCTGCAGTGAGGGCTGGATTCTCCATCCACCTCATAGTATCTTCTATTTGTAAAAGCACGCTTTACTGGAAACAGTGACAGTCTCCCTGAGCTTCTAAAGAAGTATATTATGAACAGCAAGAATGATATATGTGGTGCAATTGAAAAGCCAGAAATGCCCCTTCTGAATGATAAACACTTAATCCTTTAACTGAATGTGATACTCAGTGCTCAAACCTTCACACACCAGGGGCTGGCAGGCTAGCACTGGATGTAGGATTTCCAGGGAAGGTGAGCAACTAATGTGGTCAGTGCTACCACGCTTTTGTCCCAGTTTTTTCTGAATGTTGATGTTTTGTTTCATGGTCTGTTTGCTTGTCTGGTGAACCATTCATGGTAGTACCCAATCCTTGCTTTATAGAAAGTTCCAGCCTAGCTGGAAGATGACACTGACTTCTTTTATAGGAATGTTTTTTGAGGCAAGTTGTAACTTTCTGCATCTCGCTGTTTATCAGAATGTATCATTCTTTATTCTGAACAAGATTTTCTTTTCATACTACTGCCGTGAAATATTTACTAGTGTGTGGCTTAGGAGCAGGCCCATGCCAGTGCTGTGATGGGACACAGCCAGTTCTTAACCCATGTCCTTTCTAAAATTGTGCTTTCCTTTACTGCTGTCATAATTTTCTCTCTGAGGCAACTCAGCTGTTTCTTTCCAAGTTTTTGTAATTCCTTATGTGACTCAATCCACCTAAAATTATTTAGTTAAGACCAAGGAAGATTGTTTTTATGTAATTGTAAATGCACAGTGAGATCATTAGTGAATATAGTTTCTGACCCTGGGTTCCCAGGGTAATTTCCTATACCAGGACTAATTTTACAGACTCACCAAAGGCAAAATACTGCCAGCATTTTTGCATGAATGTTTTTATTGCTCTGCATTAAGACACTGAAGTTTACTTGTGTCTTACACTGCACAGTTTTACAGCCAAATAACTGTCTGTAAAAGAACCCTAATTCATATGAGGCCACATCAGACCCGATTCCCCTAGGATATACTTGAGTGTGAGGTAAAACCCCTGAATTCAGCCCTCAAGGAGAGATTCTCCAGGGGGAGACCATCTGCCACATCACAGCACCCAGTCACACACGTTGCTGTTACACTTTGGGTTTTCCCACACAAGCGAATACCCAGCTCTGGCCAGTGTCAGGTCCTACCTTTGCTATGGCACAGAATCCCGCTGAAGGGATGGTCCAAAGAGCAGGAGGGCATTGGACTTACCCTCTGAGAAATGGGGTTTTTTTGCTACCTTGCCCAGCACACTATTATCTTTGAAAGAGGCACAGGTCGGTGTGTGCTGGGAAAGCTCCCTACCTCTCACATGCAGGGACACAGAGGAGAAGTGAGATCCCGTTGTCCCAAGTGAGATCCCTCGGTCTCTCACCATGAGGGAAGGGCTGTTCTTTAGCTGACTGCTTGATTTGGACACCAACCACAGAGTGAGTCCTTCCCTCTGCTGTGAGTATTTGCTTATTGCTCAGGATAAATAAAAATACAGACTATAAGTTACATTTCTTATTTTAAAGCCTCATTTTCTTGACCACTAACCAACACAAAATTGGCTGTGATGGGGGAAGGAGAAACACTGAGGCAGAACCCACAGCCACAGTGTTTCAGGCTACACCGCAGTATGAAAAACGAATTTCCCATACTCCCAAGAATACGGAGAAAGAAATTTATTTAAATATGAATTTTAAACCTTGCACCTGGTGCAGAAAACATTGAAACATGATCATCAGGCCCTGAAATATGATTTTGGTGAATGACAGGCATTCAAAACAATTTCTAGCACTTGAAATATAAAAATTGCATTTTGAAGAAAACAAAATAGAGTCAACGTTTTGTTTTAAATATGATGTTTTTCTACTAAAATTAGTTTAAATATTTGCAGGTCTTCAAAATTCAAAGTGTTCGTTCTTTTCAGATTTCCCCCAATACTTTTGTAACCAATCAGCATTTGAAAAATTAGTAATATTATTTCCCTTGCATTTCCTATATTTTTTCTGCTTTATTACAGGCGCTTAAAATAAAACAAGATGGGTCTCTTCTCACAGTAGTTGTGACCTGTACCATGAAGCTGAACATTTCAAAGAGTTGATATTGAAATGAGAACTTACATCTCTGTTAAAAAAAAAAAACTGCCTCCTATGCAACTCCTTTAAAATGAGCAGTGGCGATACATTCACCTATTTACAACTTTGCGTGTCGTACTCAGCAGAAAGCCAGGGAGTAAATCCAGTTTACCTTCACGATAATTTGTTGTTTTGACGTGACTTTGCCCTCGGCGTTGTTTTAGTTTCTATTAAATGCAAAAGCATCGCCGTTCCCGGGATTTGTAATGATTTAAAAGTTTCTGGGGAGATTCCTCCTCGGGAGCAACTGGTTTTTCCTCCTTCGGTTTATCAGACCTCTCAGCTCGTGTGGCTTTGGAGTTGGCATTTTCCGGCGGACGCCGGTCTTGGTGGAATTTGGATGGGGTCACCCAGATCCCTGCCTTTCCCGGAGTTCCACTTCGCCCGGGCCAGGAGCGGGGCCCGACGGGGTGGGCGGCATCCTCCCCGGGAGCAGCGGGGCAGCACCCGGCGCAGGAGGCACGTGGAATGTAATGAAAGAAATGAAATAAAATCAAAAGCAGCGGGAGATGGGTTGACTCGCTGGGTAAGCCCCCATCTTTCGCCGAACCCCGGTTCCCCCCGCACCCCGCCAGCCTCCTGCGTGGCCGGAGCACGCCCTGTGCCTCCAGCCCCGCTGCTCCCGGGCAGTCCTGGCTGCGGAACCGGGGTCTCCCTGCTCCCTCCGCCTCTGCCACCCTCCGGGCCCGGGGCTGAATTCCCCCTGCGGCCAGGGAGCCCCTCCAGTCCCGGCGGGTTTGCGGGAGGGAGCCACGCTATAGGAAGCGCGGAAGGCAGGGAAAGAAGGCAGGGAGGGGGTGTCAGCGCAGCCCAGCGCGGCCTCATCCCCCCTCACTCCTCCCACCAGTGCGTGGTGCCTCTTAACCCCCGGGAACCTCCCTCCCCCGAAGCATTACTCCACTTTGCAGAACACGAGTTGATGAGAAAAAAAATACTTCTCGGCCGCGGCCAGCCATGAGCTGTTTGGATGTTATGTACCAAGTCTACGGTCCTTCCCAGCCCTACTTCGCAGCAGCCTACAGCCCCTACCACCAGGTACGCGCAGGGGACAGCGGTGAAGAGGCAGAAGGTGGGAGGGGTATCGTCTGGAGGATGGCCATCTGGGGCCTCACCAAAGGGAAAAAGGGAAAAGGAGAAGGGGAGGGGAAAGGGGGGGCGGGAGGGGGCAGATCTGGGAGCCTGCGATGGTGAGCGGAGCAGAACCGCATCCCACCTTGGCGCGGGGCTCGGCAGGGTACGTACGCCGGCGGCAAACGACGGGCTACAGGATGCCTTTGCAGAGACGTGACGATTTTAACCCTCAGAAGGATTTTTAGGGGGTTTGTTTTCTTGTTTGTTTGTTTTAAAGTGTTTGCTTGTTTGTTTTCTTTACCGGGACGGGCTGCTTCCGAGCGCGGCGGGTCGGGGCAGCGATGTGTGTGGGGGCCGTCGGGAGCTGCGAGGCCGGGCTTCCCGGGGCATCGCTCACCCCGGCGCGCCGGCATCCCGGCCGCAGCCACGGAAGCCTCTCGCTGCAGAGATTTTACAGCCGCCTCGGAGGGGTGCTCCGGAGTTACGCTCTGGAAGTGGGGGAGGCGAGAGAGACGGGATGTTGCGGGGTTTGCCCGGTTTGGCGATGGCGGACGAGACCTCGGCGGGAAGGGGAGCAAGGGGCTACAGGATGCTCCCCTCTCCCGGGGCGCTCTCGGCGGCGGCGGGACCCCGGCACGTCCCCCGGGACCCGCGGGTGCTTCCCGAGCTGCAGCCGCGTCCCGCCGCCTCCTGCGCGTAGCTCCGCCCGGGCGGTTGCAGGGATCAGCTAATCCCGAGGTTTTAAGAGTAGGATCGCTCGGCCGCGGGGATGTTTCGGGCTCGCACGGCCCGTGGTGCGCGGGATCTGCTGGCGCCGGGGCGCGCACGGTCCCGCGTGGGTCAGGCTCGGCTCCCCGGCTGCACCTGCTGCACACCGCTCTCCTGTTAACCCCTCTGCGCGCCCAGCTTTTCCTCGCTCTTACCCCTTCCAGAAATTAATTCCTTCCTCCCCCAGCATAACGAAAAAGGGATGGATACAGAGGACGACGCTCCGGGCCCGAGGCTGGCGCAGCCCCCGCCGTGCAGCGGTCTGGCGGTCCCTGTGCCCCCTCCAGTGCCCGGCAGCGCGGCCCAGAACCCGTCACAAACAGCAGATAATGTCTTTCCCCACTTTGCCTTCCCTCCCACCACCCTCTCACCCCCGGATTTATGACATTATTAAGGGGGATGATCATTACCTCAATGGCCGAACAGGGAGCCAAGAGGAAAGGCGGTCGTCGCGACGAGTGACATTATCAAATATACCGCGTGTCTTGGCCCAAGACTCGGCCCCGTCCTCTCGCTTCTTCCCCCGCCGGCCGCCCCAAGGCTCTGCTGGCGGCGGCCAAGCCCGGGCTCCGCGTCCCAGCGCTTATTGCTAAGAAACTCTCAGCAGCTGCAGGCGGGCTAACGCACATGAAGAGGGAAACATCCGCCAAACTTCACAACGCCCGCTGTTTTCCCACTCGGCGGAATAGAGTAAAAGGAGATTAATCTTGTAGTAAATACCTGGAGCTTCTTGGTGTCCAGGGAAATGCTGAGTTTTGCCCCGAAGTGTGTTTGACACTGTCAATCTTCTTCCCCCCCTCTTTGCTTCTACCTCGCTGCTGTGGGTTACACCAGATAGATTTTAGAGGGGTTCTCGCCTTCTCCCAGCTGCCGGCATTGCTCCCTGGGTGCTCGGCCCCTTGCAGCCCCTTGGCAGCCGCCGTTCGCTCCGAAGCCAGCTACAAAGAGCTTTTTTTTTTGCGGGGCTTGGTGCGGGGGACCCGGCGGTGTGACCCCCGCCCGGCCGCGCCTTCCCACCCGACTGCCTTCGTGCTCCATCCCGTTCGGCACCTATGGGTTTCGATCCCCCAGCCCTATTTGCAGTCCCTTCGCTGCCCCCGGACTACAGAGGGCGATACGGGGGTGTGGGGATTGTGGTGTATGCTGAGGGAACGGCGAGCAGCCGAGGACCAGACTTTGGCATCCTCTCGGAGGGACCGCGGAGAGGGCTCGGCGCTGCACGGATGGCACAGGACGGGCCAGCGCACCTTGGTGTGCTGCGTGACCGGCTCCGTTTCCTTTCCTTCCCTGCAGAAACTCGCCCTTTACTCCAAAATGCAGGAAGCCCCGGAGAGCGGCAGCAGCGCCGGCAGCTCCTTCTCCAGCCACGCCGCGGCCAGCATCAAGGAGGAGGACTGCAGCCCCGAGAAGGAGCGACCCCCCGAGGCCGAGTACATCAGCTCCCGCTGCGTCCTCTTCACCTACTTCCAGGGGGACATCAGCGCAGTGGTGGATGAGCACTTCAGCCGGGCGCTCAGCCAGCCCAGCAGCTTCTCCCTCGGCAGCGCGAAGGCGGCGCGGAGCGCGGGCTCCTGGCGGGGTGAGCGCCCGGCGCGGCGCGGGGGATGCGGGGGATGCGGGGGATGCGGGAGATGCGGGGGGCGAACGAGGCCCCTCTGGGCCGGCACCTCGTCCCCGCCTCGGCTCCGCAGCCAGCCTCCCTCCTCCCTCCCACCAGCGGCTGGTGCCCGACAGGCATCCCCTGGGATCCGAGGCTAGGAGCTGCCAGCTGCTTGGCCCTTCTAGGGTAAAAAGGAAAGAATAAATCCCTTCAGATTATGCAGAGGGGCATGACCCAGGGGGAAAGCAGCCTGAGAGGCGGTTGGGGAAAACAAATTGTCTTTTTGCTGCAGGTGCTTTACCTTGAGAGAGCTACCATCCAGCTAGCCACAGAGTGACTCCAAAAGTGTGACTGTGACTAGTGTATTCCCTGTTGACCCTAGCTTTCAGTTTAGAGTGGTGATAGTGATGGGAGCAAAGCAAAAAGCAAATGTGGGAACAATCTGATCAGCTTCCCACCTCTAAAAGAAACGATTGTGTGTGTCTCTGTATCTTGTCCTGCGTGTATCACCACCCTGACTGTTGCTGGAGCGCTGACAAGGACTCTTAAGTTTCTGAAAACAAGGGCTTGCAGATCTGCCCATGGCCATGTGCTGTCAAGGCCAAGGCCATGGCTTATGCACAGCTCTCTGTATCCATGCCTTGATTCACACTGGACAGGCCCACGAGGGTAGTCAGGGCAGAGAGGAATAATCTTCTCTTCACTCCATCTGCCAGAGTTAGGGCTGGCACTTCCTTGTGGGCAGCCTTAGTAACCCTCCCTCACAGGGCCACCTGCTCGGCCAGGGCTGGTTTCCCAGACCTTGCACGGATTGCTGTCTGTAGTGTCTAAGAATATTTCATGGGTGAGAGATATTCAGTGCTGGAATTGATGGCAGTAGAGGAGGTTTTTTCTCATCACGAACTGCTTCCCCTTCTCCCAAGCAATGCCAAGCCTCAGAGCTGACATACTTCCCTGGCAAAGAAGTATTAGGAACATAGTTTTATTTCTTTCAAGAACAGTGTGCATTCCAAATTAATTATGCATAACATCTATTTGTGATATTAATAATCACCAGTCCATCTTGCATGTTGCTAACTGGGCTAAGAAAATGTAGGGTTTTGTCTTTGTCCTGCCAATCTCCAAAGTTCTGCTGAGGGCTTCCAAACAGGCTGACAATATATCTAAGAAACAGATGGCTGTAATAGATGGAGATTTTCCCCCAGGTATTTGAGTAATTCAAACTTGCCTTTAGTCCCATCTCTCACTGTTCCTGCCCACTTTGCTACTGCACTGAGGCAGCAGCCACTTTCCAGGAAGCATTGGACATAAATCTTAGACAAGGAGATTATTACAAAAACAAACAAGAAAAACCCAGACCTGAAAATTTAAGTGGTGTATAGTAGCTCTCAGTTTCCACTGCTGAAGGCAAGAGATGTTTCTCTTGCCTTAGGTAGCAACCTTTTGCTCATCTACATAGTAAGAAAAAGGTGGAGGACATAGTTGCAGCTTCATGGATAAGACATAGGATAGGTGTGTTGGATGTTTAGTTGGAGAGGAATCCATATTTGTTTGGAGCAAGTTCTTATGCTTGCCAGTTTTTCGTGGAATAAAGGGAAGGAAAGGACTGGTTTGGGTGGATCAGGGAGGGACAGAACCCTAGGGAAAAGAGATCAAGTCTGGGGTGTGCTCATTGCTGACTCTTTCCCACTTCCTTCACCCAGATGGATCCTTCCCAATGAGCCAGCGCATCTTCCCGCCATCCTTCTGGAACAGCACGTACCAGCCCTCCTCGGTCCCAGGCAGCCTGAGCAGCCCCCTGGCAGCTGCCGCCCACAGCGAGCTGCCCTTCGCCGCTGCCACCGACCCCTACGCGCCCGCCTCTCTGCACGGCCACCTGCACCAGGGCGGCCCCGAGCCCTGGCACCACGCCCACCACCACCACCACCACCACCACCACCCCTACATTGGGACACAGGGCACTGCCTACCCCCGCCCCACGGCCATGCACGAGGTCTACGGGCCCCACTTTGACCCCCGCTACGGCTCGCTCCTGGTGCCCACCGCCTCCGTCCGCCCCCACCGCCTCACGCCCGCCTCCGTATCCACGCCAGTCAGCCCCCCCTGTGAACTGGGCAAGAGTGAAGCGGGTGCTGCTGCGGCCTGGACGACACCGGGCCCCTTCCCCAGTCCAACAGGAGACGTGGCACAGAGCATCGGCCTCAATGTGGACACAGGTAACGAGCTGCCCTCGGTCCCTCCAGGTCCCCTGGCTCAGCTGCACCCCTGCTCCCTGATTCCACACCGTCCATAGCAGTAGGGAAGGACTCAGAGAGGGTGGCTGAGGTTCTGCTGTGGGGGAATGAAGTGAGGGTGGAAGCCCCATGTGTGACACCTGAGTTCTGCCCTGGGTGATCTTCTTGGGTCTCTCCGGCCAGGCAAGTGAAGAATGGAGAGCAAGGATGGGACAGGCCAACACATCACATCTCCACATCATTATTTGAATTTCTGATGCCCTCAAACATTTCTGAGGCTACAGGTACTTCTGTCCTGGCCCTGGTCTTGCTCCTGCATTGAGCAGTGAGAGCTAGGAGCAGAATGGAGCAGCCCCAGAGGTCACTGCTTGGCTCCATCCTTGTGCTGCCCTGAGGGGTCATTTCTAGACACCGTGCAGGTTCATGAACTAGCTCCTGTCCTTAATTACCTTCTCCTTCCAGTTTTTGAGATGAAAGGACAATTGCATTTGCTGAGCAAAAAAGGCAGTGGTCTTCCCCTGGTGGTGCCTGTTGGGGTGTCTGGAACCAAGGTTGTGGCTGTAGTGCTGACAAAAATGAGTGCACAGGCACAGCCAGCAGTGACCTGAGTCAGTGTTTGTGAAGGGGAGGAAAGTCTGCTCCATGCTGGTTTCGTTATTGCAGCCACTAATGGCTCCTTATGGCGTCCTCACTTTAAACAGGAGGGACTTTCTCCAGTCTGGCTTGGGGTCTTCTCCTTGTTTCACAGCCTTCTGGGGCTCTGGAGATTCCATGCTTTAGACTGATCTCAGCTGACAAGAAATGAAATTTGTTTTCCTCTATTCTTAAATGCCTGTACCTATTTTTCTTCTTCCTTTTTTTTTTTTTTTCTCTCCATTCTCAGGTTTGCAACCTCAGGATAAAAGCAAGGATCTGTACTGGTTTTAGAGCTGTCCTTCACTCTTCTTCCCCTGGCTCTCCCCTGTAGCTCTCTACCAGTTAGACATGGTGGCATTCAGAGCTGAAATCGGGTCAGTTTGTAACAGCTTCTGATCTTGGTTTGCAGCTCGCCGTTACTCCTTCTGTGGTGGATCCCTTCTGAGCTGATGTGCTGACTCAAAGACTCTCAGATCCCCCCTGCCCTTTTCCAAGCCCACAGAGGCCCTGCTGCTCGGGGGAAGACAACGGGATTTAAAAGGACCTGGCACTGCAAGGGTGGTGCTTTAGACTGTTTCGGAGATGAAAGTCGTTCTGTTGCAAGAGGAGAGCCAAAGACATTGGACTTCTATTTAAGCAGACCCCACACCCAGACCTGCAGCCAGACTACTCTGAAAGAGTCAAATCACATTGTGGATGGTGATGCAAAACCACTGGCCTTCATACAGACAACAGAGGAAATTGTGGGGCTTTTTTAGTGGTGTGAATATTTTTTTATGGCAGTGAAAGTTTTCTTGAATACAACCATGCAGAAGCTACTCATCAGTTTTGAACTGGATTTTTATTTTGCATTATAGAAAAGCAAAAGGAGAAGAAACTGGAACTCATGCACATTTTCGGACTATCAATGAACTGGTCAGATTTTTCAGCTTTGTGGTTGTGAGTGGCAAGTGTCTGACTGGGGCCACCTGCCCTGGACTTACAGATATGCAGCTGTTCCCCTCACAACTGCTTAAATCCCAGAAAGACGAAAACCAAGGTGGCACTTCTCAGAGTTTGGCACATTGCATTGGCTGTATAACAGTTGTTTGGTTGGGGGTGGGGTTGTTTGTTTGGTTTTGGTTGGTTTTTCGGTGTTTGGGTGGGTTTTTTTCGTTGGTTTTTTTTTTTTCTTTTTACAATAAACTTTTTCTGGTGAAAGTTAAACCCTCTTAAAGCAGGGGGAGAAAGGAATCTGATGAAGAATGGCTCACCTCCAACCCAACAGCCTTTAAAGGGAACACCAGAACGAAAAGCACGTGATGGACATTAGTTCTGAGTTGCCTCTAACACGTCCCTTTGTCTACTTGTTTTTGTCATTTTGCCACTTTAGTAGCTCTTTTGTTTGGGGTTTTTTGAAAGGGGGAAATAGATATTTAACAGTAGCAAAGCTGTATTAAATGTATCTCCTCCTTTTATCCTGTGTACTTTAATGAAGAATTAAAGCTAAATAAGAGAAATGAGGCAAACTGGAAACTTCAGGATGGAGCAGAGAATGTATCTCTCACATGGATGAAGTGAGTTATTTTATTATTTTACATGAAAGATAAATAGAAATCTAGCTGAAAAGAGCTGAAAATATTTTCTTGAGTAAATAAATACAAAAGAAAAGAAAATATGAGATAATTTTAGATTATGGTGTGGCTGTAAGATTGGTTAAATTAAGGGAGCTGCTTCATATTTCTTCGGCTAAAATAGGGGACTGTAGCATATAGAACTTCTACTGAAGTGATAAATTAAAATGTTACTACCAGGTGATGAATAATGAATGAAACAGGGCAGAAATGGCACTTACTCTATACCTAAAAGCTGACTTTTTTATAGACAAAACATCTGATCCCAATACTATCGTGCTTTTGGGCTTTTTCTCTTTTGTTTTTTTTTTTTTCCTTATGTAATGTCTTTGAAGCTGAGAAATTTTAAAGTAAATAGTAGGAAATTCTTAACATTACCCCCTGATACTGAGAGAAGCAGTACAAAATGAACTTTTGTGCTGCGATCAGAGATTTTGCTTTCCAACCTCTCACAAAATTCGGCATAATGCTCACTGTTTGTCAGGAATAACACAAACTTGCTTCTCCTAGGTTTGGTGATAACTCAATATCTGGGAAAGAATAGGAATCCTAACAGAAAGATTTTGACAAAGCAGTGTGAGTACGCACTGTGAGAAGCTGACCAGGAACACCTCCAGCCAGAGTTTAGCAAATGGCAGGGGGGACTTGCAGTGATTCCCTCAGCCAGACAAACTCATGGGCATTTTTCTCAGAACCTACAAATAGCCAGAGCCCAGACAAGCTGCAAAGGGCAAGGGAGTGACCCCAGAATTTACATTATTTGTTAAACCAAAAGCATTCCAAGGTGTTTATCAAGGAAGAAGGCACTAGCTTTTTGCAGCAGAAAAGTAATTAAAAACACTGTTTGACTTCAGAAGCTTAAAGTTAGCATGGTCAATTTGTGAGCATTTTCCTGAGGACTTTCTCAGTCCTCAGGAAGTTTGGGGGTTTTTTTGGGGTTTTTTTTGTTTGTTTTTTTTTTTTTTGTTTGTTTGTTTGTTTTGGTTTTGGTTTTGGTTTTTTTTTTTGTTTTTGTTTTGGTTTGGTTTGGTTTTTTTTTAAGACAATCTGGGTCTATGATTGGTCATGCTTCACCACAATTATCTCTTTTTTTCTTTCTTTTTTTCTCCCCTCTTCTCTGCAATTCTTAATAAGTAGGGCTGAGTGATGCAGCCCAAACACATTTTGAAATATTCATGTAAACATAAATGAGTCATTTGCTAAATTGGCATTTACAATTAATTTTTGACTGTGAATATATTCAAGCACAAGAATTTATGCAATGAATCCATGGATATTGGTTTTGGCAGTTGTTCTGTGGGTATATTTTTTACTGCTTTATCATGAAAACATCTAAACACAAAAGCCAATGGAGTGGCTCAAGGTGCTAAAAGTATAAACAACTTTTTAAAAATGGTCCTTCTCTGGATGGACTGTAGCCTGAAAGCACACATGCCCTGTTTTGGCTAATCCTTGCAGTTTTGCTCACTCTGTGTTATTCTGACTCCTGAAGGATGACCAGCCTTTAAGGCTTGGGCATTATCTTTGCAGGACTGGGGCCACAGCTCCTAATGCAGTAACAGTGCACGTGACCTCCGTGCCATTTCTCAAGTCTGTTTTATTCCTCTTTGCATCATAGGTCATTACTCCCTTAGTCATGAATGCTTGTAGAAAATCTGGAATTACAAAAGAAACCCTTCTTAGATGTTACGTAAATATTACCTGTCACATGCTTGTCACACACTGAAGGGGATGTGAGTCCCCATCTCTGCAGCCTGGACAGCAGATCCTCCTGAATGTCCCTTTCTGAATGTCATGCACCACACCATGCTCTCGAGCTGCCCACCTGACAAACAGACTAGCCCAGCTGGGACGGACAAACAGACACAAACAGCTTCAGACCCATTCGTGCAGAGTCCAGTGAATGAGGCAGAGGGACAGCATCTGCTGCAGAGCATGGCAGTGCTGGACATAGCAAGGATATTTACTGCTGCCCAAAAGCAAGAGTGTCCTCTCCACAAGGAGTTTCCAAAATGAGCTCTGGATGTATTCACCACAGGTATTTATTTCTCTTTCTGAAAATAGCTGAAAATTAGCAAAGCATGAAGGAATATACTGTTTTGATGATCTCTGAGGTTAAAAGTGATCTGTCAAGGGAAGGATGGAGGTGGGGGTAGAGCATGGTATTTGTGTGTGCAGTCTCCACTTTATTTTAATGAGATGTCTTTGCTTCAGTACGGCTGCAGTCACAAGAATGAAGCATGAAACTCTTAAATGCATATGTGTGCTTTTACATTGTCTAATGTTGGAGAGCTTTAGGGTAGTGTTGCTTATTTCTTACCTACTTTTCCAGCTTGTTTGCCATAGGATCCTCCAGCAGAGGAGGAGGAAGGAGGAAGGGAGAGGACAGAGGGTGGAAGAGAGGTTGAATAATCCCTTTTACATCCCCTAGACAGTGTGCTGCTGCCTCTGGGGTAATGTATCTGCCCTGTCTCCTCCTTGGGTCAGGAGCTGCCGACTCTTCTCGCCTTCCCTTTGAAGTCATATTTAGGCTCACAAGACAAGCTCTAGCTAGGGCTTAAATGTTGGGCCCTTCTTGGAAGGGAGGAAAATGCTGCTGGTGTCTTTGGATGCAGCAGCGTTCTCTAACTGACAGTTGCTGTGCATCTTTTTCTGGGCAAGTGTTGTAATTACCGTGCCCTTTTGATTACAGAAGGATGAGCCAGCTCCTGTGGAGGATTGTAGTGTCCTGGCTGTCTTCCCGGGCCTGCCACCCAGAGGAACAGTTGCAGCAGGGAAAGGAGAGAGTCCTATAGTTATTTTCAGGAGTGAGACATTGATTTTGTATGCTAGGCAATTTTGCATAGGGAAATGCAAGTAGAAGATAATTTTTATAAATAAGGAAGAGAGGAAAAAGAAGACAAAGGAAAAAGAAAAAGAAAAAGAAAAAGAAAAAGAAAAAAAAGAAAAGTTTTCCTTCAGTCACTTCCCAAGCTTTGGGACTACAGCCTAGGAAGCATGATTTTAATTTAGTTGCCAGCAAGGTAACGCTATTATCTAATCTGAATGTAATGACAAGTGACTTAGCCTGGGTTTTTCATGTCCATTTCTAGTCTTAAAGGAGGAGTTACTTTTGCAGTGCACCTTCTACTGGCTCTTTAGCCAGGTACAACCCAGGAAAAATGTGCCTCAAAGCTGTAAGTGCAAATGGTAGCAGAGAGGCCCTTAGGTGCTATGTTGCATCCTTCTTCCCCTGCCCTTTCTGCATCAGGCCCCCTCAAGAGATAGGGAAGGTGCTGGAAGAGCCCGTTCAGGAGTGCAGGAGTGCAGGGATGCAGAGAGTACAAATGCAGATGTGCAGGTGTGCAGGGTGCAAGACTGTAGGAGTGTAAGAGTGCAGAGATGCAGGGTGCAGGTGTGCAGGGTACAGGAGTGTAGGAGTGCAGGTGTGCAGGGGTGCAGAAGTGCAGGGGTGCAGAGGTACAGGAGCACTGGGCTGCAGGATGCAGGTGTGCACTCTCCTGGGCCCCAGTCCCATGCATGGGCACTTCCACTTGTCATGCTCGGCTGCAGCCCACAAAAGCACAGGCTGGCCAAGGACGGGAGCATTTCTTTAGGTATGTGCCAGTTGCTTATTCATTCATGGTAAAGGCAGGATGAACACCTGGCAGGAGTGCTGTCATATTAGGAGATGTAATAGCACATTGGATATTACTGAGGGTACTCCACCTCCCTGTGGCATGGCACATTTCTTTCTGCCCTACCTGGCCTGGGTACAGCTGCAAGTTGCCCCTCCTCCCTCATCATACTCACCCCAACTTCTCCACTTCTCCTCTCCTCGACTTCTGTCCTCAGCCTGGATCCTGCATCCCAGTTCCTCTCTGTTCTCCTGTCTCACCCAGGCTTTTTCCTCCTGCACTTAGTACTCTGGCTCCACACCACAGCAGCAAGGAGCAAAGAAACAGCGTTAGGGGGGACACAAACTTTCCTGCCAATGTTGTTTGCATGGAGTCAGTATTTACATGATAAACAGAATTGAACAAACACAGGCCTTTTCAGGAAGAACCAGTGCATTGGTCTCAGTGCTGCACCAAACCTCTGAGGCAGGAATCAATTCCTAACCCCTGATTTTGATCCAGTGGAACAACTTTTTTTTCCAGAAGCTGGGTCCTAAAGAACTGTGACAGCCCCAGTTACACACAGACACAAATGATTATTCTCTCTTGACAGACCTACACAGCTCCCTCCTTGTATTTAACTGCAGTCCAAGTGAGCTGGATCAGGAAAGAGACACTTGATAGCTGCTGTTTCCGTGGTTGAAATATTTGTGAAGTTAGCGCATAATCTGAAAGCAGAAGCTAATAAATTATAGGGTGCTAATTGGGGCCGGAGTGGAGCCGTCAATCATATTATCCTAAACACACAGAGACCCTCATAACCTAAAAAGGCAAGAAAGCCTCCAGGAACAGCTCCCAGTTGTCACTAGCCATGACCTCCACTTCAGTGAGTGCACAGAGAGTCAAGGCAGAGAGTTTATTCTGCTAAGAAAATGCAAATCCTGTATTTAAGACAGCACTTTTATTTGATTTTGTTTACACTCTTTGGGAGTCTATTTCCAAGAGAATGCTATTATTTTCCTTTGCTGCTTAACTTGACCCTTCTGCCATTAAAAAAAAAAAAAAAAAGTAGATCAGGTAAGAATTTACAATTTTTATATTTGTTTAGTCCTTGGAGTAACAGTCACAAGACAATTCACAGTCCAACCTCCTTGCACATAAGCTTGTTTTTTAAGGGCCATCCTATAACTCGTATATCTTTTATTGCTTCCCATGCCCCAGTAACATATATTCCACTTAAGACCTGCAGGACTCTGTGATCTGAGCCAAAACACAACTGTGCAAACATGGTAACTGTAGGGTGTTTGCAGCAATAGTCACTTTGTCACTACTTATTCTTATACTGCTTCCATCAAGATTGAGTATTTTACTCGTAAGATAAAACTGAATCAAAGAATTCTAAAGAGATTTTTAGTGACACTTTTACCCATACATTTATCTCTGTTTGTACATAGGTAGGCATTCCCGAAAGCATTCCCTGAAGAAAAGATCTGAATGGATCAGATCACCTTGAGGGCCATCACGCAGGGCAGTTGGGGGATCAGGCTCAGGCTTACAAAAGGCAGGTCTTGCTTGACTGATCTCCTTCTATAGCAAGATGTCCTACTTAGTGGATGAGGAAAAGGCTGTGGATGTTGTTTATCTGGGTCAATAAAGTCTTTTACACCGTTCCCCACAGCATTCTCCTGAAGAATTTGGCTGCTCATGGCTTGGCCAGGGTTTTACCCAGCTCACTGCGTAAAAAGCTCCTGCATGGCTGGGTCCAGAGAGCAGTGGTCTGTGGGGTTACATCCAGCGGTCACAAGTGCTGTGCCCCAAGCTCAGTACTGGGTCCAGTCCTGTTTAATATCTTTTTTGTTGATATGGAGGAGGAAATTGAGTGTTGCTTCAGTCACTTGGCAGGCAATACCAAGCTGGGCAGGAATGTTGACTGCTGTAGGACAGGAAGGCTTTGCAGAGGGACCTGGACAGGCCGGATCCATGGGCTAAGGCCAGTGGGATGAGGTTCAACAAGGCCAAGTGTCATGCCCTGCCCTTGGGTCACAACAACCCCAGGCAGCGTTACAGGTTGGGGGAAGAGTGGCCGGAAAACTGACTGGAGGAAAAGGACCTGGGAGTGCTGGTTGGCATCCAACTGAACATGATCCAGCTGTGCCCAGGTGGCCAAGAAGGCCAATGGCATCCTGGCTTGTGTCAGAAATTGTGTGGCCAGCAGCACCAGGGAAGGGATTGTCCCTCTGTACCCAGCACTGGTGAGGCCACACTTGGAATCATACATCCAGTTCTGGGCCCCTCACGACAAGAAGGACATTGGAGTGCTGGAGCATGACCAGAGAAGGGTAACAGAGCTGGTGAAGGGTCTGGAGCACAAGTCTTATAAGGAGCAGCTGAGAGAGATGGGATTGCTTAGACTGGAGAAAAGGAGACTCAGAGGAGACTTTATCACTCTCTACAACTGCCTGAAAGGAAGCTGTAGTGAAGTGCCAGGCAACAAGTGGCAGGACAAGGGGACGTATCTTCAAGCTGTGCAAAGGGAGGTTCAGGTTGGATATTAGGAAGAATTTCTTCATGGAAAGGGTTGTCAAGCAACAGATTGCTGTGGTGGCAGAGTCACTGTCCCTAAAAGAGCCCAAGAAATGACCGGACACGGTACTTAGTGCTATGGTTTAGTTGACAAAGTGGTGATTGGTCAAAAGTTGGACTCCATGATCTTGGAGATCATTTCCAACCTTGATTCTGTGAATCTGTGAAAGTCATCAGAGCTGGTGAAGGGTCTTCAGCACAAATCTTACGTAGAGCAGCTGAGGCAACTGAGGTTATTTAGCCTGGAGGAAAGGAGGCTCAAGAGTAACTTTATCACGCTCCATGACTACCTGAAAGGAGGTTGTAAGAAGGTGATCTGTCTCTTCTCCTAAGTTACAAGTGACAGAATGAGAGGAAACATCCTCAAATTGCACCAGGGGAGGTTTACGTTGAGTTTTATGGGATGTCTCTCCTCAAAAAAGGCTGTCGAGCATTGGAACAGGCTGCCCAGGGAAATGATGGAGTCACCAACCCTGGATGTATTTAAAAGACTTGTAAATGTGGTGCTTAGGGACATGGTCTGCTGGTGCATTTGGAAGTGCTGGATTGATGGCTGAACTCAATGATCTTAGAAGTCTTTTCCAACCTAAATGATTCTATTCTATTCCAGAAAGAAAATCCAGCTATGTCAACAGAATTACAAAAGGAATTAATATCCAGACAGGGAGTGGTTATTTTACAACTCCGTTCATAAGTGAAAGATAGAAGGCAGCGATGAACATCCTCCAAACTGAAGATGTCATACAAAGAAGTTAACACATCATAAAAAGGTTATTTATACAGCAGTATCAGTTATGTCAGTAGCAATAACAACGATATTTTGGCATCTTCACTTGGCTTTGATACCCTGGATTTCTGGCTATTTTTTAGAGTTAAAACATAATAATAGTTAGAGTTGCTAAATGTCATTATAAATAGAGCCGTGGTTGTTTGAAAAATCCAGCTGATTTGCAAGCTTCTGCAACTAGAAGTGCATGTGTAATGAAAGTTTTCAAGAACGAATTAAATGAAAGTGAATTAGAATCTTTTAACCATTAACAGATCTGCCAGAGCTATTTTACAGACATTTTTTCTGCAACATCCTTTTTCAGGTCTAGCTGAATTAATACCAGCTTTGTGTAGAAAGAGGTAAATTTGAATCTAAAGCTTGCTTTCACCATTAAAATGCATAGTCCTAAACCCAGATTAAAGAGGATCAATTTCACCTGGTTATGCTCAGTAAAGCCACACCTGAGTACTCAAATCATTACAGACAGCATGCCACAGATGGCAAAGAAAATTTTTTTAAAAGAGGAAATAACCTGGAGACATTAGTCAATTCAAATAAATAGTTAAACTTTCTTTGCTGAAAACCATCATGCAAGGGTGCAGTGACTGTGCTGTCAGGATATTTGTGCCCTTCTATACAAGTGGTGAGAAGCAAATTTTGAGGGACATTGTGATCCAGAGGGTGTTACTAGGCTCTGTTATCTAGGGTACCAGGAAAGCTGAGGAACAACAACTTTAGTCTCAGGGCAGGAGCCAGGCTTGAGATTCTCAGACAAGTTAGGCTGAGGTGAATTTAGTCCTGATTTTCTTGTCCTCACCACTTATGAGTTTCTGCAGGTAACAAAGACTAACAGAAAAATCTTGTGTTAGCAGTGTAGCTATACAACCTTCTGCTTTTCTGGTGGTCATTTTTGTTTCCCAAATCCTGTGATGATGCCATTGAATAAATGACAGTAAAGTTTCTCGGAGAAGATGAGACCTGAATGTTAAATATATAAAAGGCAAAGAAATAGTCTTGACACCCCAAGTTTTTGTCCAACATGATAAAACCAAGGATGTCTTTTGCCTTTCATATCTCAACAAATAATCCTTTCAAGCTGTATAAATTTTCCCTTCAGATATCTTGACAGCCACATTCCCATAGCTTATGTCACTGGGCACTCCCTCTGTGGCACATGGGAATCAGAGAATGATCCTGCTAGAGCCTGGCATATCTCTCAGCTACATGGACATTTCCATAATTTTATCTTTGATTTAATAAGAACCCCATATTCTTGTCATAAAAAAATATTTTTCTTTCATAGTGTCCTGATCATGGATCCCAAATAGAAAACATGAGGTACATGGGTTTAGGACAGCTCTGGTCATCAGTATGAACCAGCTCAAAAGCTCTTGCAATCAACCCTGAAAAACAGAAATGCATTGATTGCTGGGTGCTACCATCTGCTGTAGACCTGAAAAGAGAAGACTTAGATCTGATGCCACTGAAAATGCTGCCTTAATAAATCAGTAACCTCTGCCATGGCCCTTCACACTTACAAAATAATTTGCAAATATTAATTAATCACCACAGCATTTGTGTTGGGTTGTAGGAAATTCTAATCATAGGCAGAGGTAGAATATTTTCCACTCATTCATATGCACATCAAGTCTGTAGACAAACCAGCTACAAACACATGATATATCCATGTCATCGAAACTCAGCTCCGAGTTCAACCATGGCCTTTTGGGACTCCAGCACTAGTGGGTTGTGTCTGTGGCATCATGTGTGCAGTGTGCTCACCATTGTTGCTCAGTATTTTTGCTGGCATCAAGGAGCACCAAAGAGCCTGAGACAGGAACTGGCTATGGCCCAGAGACTCACGTGGGGCATCTCCTGGTCCATGCCTGGGAGCACATATCTCTTCTGCCCAGCAGCTTAGAGACTGTACTGGGTTGGAGTTTATTCACAGCATCTCATCTTGTGTTGTATTTTAGACTTGCAACCAAAACAATACTGATAGCACAGTAATATTTTAGTTATTGCTGGAAAGTGCCTGTACAGAATCAAAGCCTTCTCTGCTTCTCACTCTGTGCCCCATCCCCAGTGAATAGACTGAGGGTGCACAAGACATTGGGAGGGGACACAACCAGGCAGACGACTCAAATTGACCAAAGAGATATTCCATGCCATGAAATGTCATGCTCAGCAATAAAATGGAGGAGACTTAAAGAGATTAGTGCTCCTTTTGTTAGGAACTGGCTGGGCACAGGTCTACCTGTCTCAGGATAAATTTAAGCTAAACACCTGGAGACAGATTTTATACTGCTTAATATATCTAACCTGATTTACAGCAGCTGAAAACTGGATCCACATGCCTCATACTACCTTTTCCTTTAAATTATGTTAGCACCTTTAAATCCATCCATACTTATTTAAAATCTGTATCCATGGAAGTCAAGACATTTGAACTCAAGGGTTTCTTGACTCTTTCCCTTGATCTGTGATAGGAGGAGGTAAAAAACAGAGGCTAACACAGGCAAGGTAGTACCCATTTCCCTGCCCAAAAGAGAATGTGTTTAAGAGGTCTTTCATTCTCATTCCTAGTCTGTCAAAAAGCAGCATGAAAACTGCCATCAGACTATCTGCTGAAAGGCAAGAGGTGACCCCCTGATAGTGACTAAGTGTTGCTGACAAAGACGTGAATAATCAAGAGGAGTTTGAATGAGGAGAGGAAGCAACAACTCAATAATATAGAGAAGGTAAAATCATGAAGATGTGTTAGGAGAAGGGTGATACAGAAGTATGAGGGATGAAGAAACTCTCTTCAAGTAGAATCATCGGTGGATGCATGGGTGGAGGCTAAGTTTGCCTGCATCAAATTCAGCTTTACCGTAACTCAATGGAATAGTTGCATTTGTATACTTACCTCTCTAAGGCAGGAAAATGAGGGAGGGACAATGGAGTTTTGGCCAGTGTATGGTTAGGGCCATGCTCAGAGCTCACACTGTATCACTGAGCATGACTCAGATGACTGCTGTTACTGGGAAGGGTAGGTATTATGTCTTGCACTGAATTCAACAAGTGTGAATTCACCAGAAATTTGCATCAATAAGTTAATTTTTTATCCTGTCCAATACATTTTTCATACTATCAGGTACAAAAGGCATAGATAGCTGGTCAGTATCCTAAGATTTCATTTATTGGCAGAATATTAAACTTGACACTTCTTTCTCATCCTGCTGTGCTAATTTTTTCATTAAAACTAGGTTTGCCTTGCAACACTTACAAAATGTGAGCACAAGAATTACTTTCCCCTTTTTCCTTCTGTACTGCTTTGTGTATTTGTGACTGCTTCAAGACCTGGAGGACATTACTCCAGGTCTCTGACTGCTCTCTGTCCCTGATGCTCATCTTTTCCACTAACCCAGTTTACACATTGGTTAGGCTCTTCCATTATTCTTTTTTAACGCAGACCTACACAAAACCAAATTGACTTGGGATATCACATCACAGGTGCTCATGAGGCCTGTGAAAGGTATTGTACTTGACAAAATTTTGGGAGGATTGAAGGTTTCTCCTGTTAAAGAAAAAGCTATTGTACAGAGTCCTGTTGTTCAAAACCTTTGTCTGTGACTTGCTGACTGAACAGTGTTCTTGACTTAAGTCAAACTATGCACACCGAACACAATCAGATGTGGTGACTACAGAAGAGGGATCCTCCTGGTTTCTGGCCAGCACATGCCATAGGTTAGCAAACGTTAGTAATTTTTAAATTACTGAAATGGAAGGAATCACTGTACAACCAATCAAGCAGCACTCGAAGAGGAAGGAAACATAATACAGTATTTATTTGTTTATCCATTGCTCACGGTCTGGTGAGCATAGCGAAGTGTTGCAGTTGTATTTATTAGCAAATCTGTCATTTACACTGATTTGCAGATGAAGAAAAATATTTATATAATGCTTGAAAGAGCTTTTTCAGGGACTTTGAAGAATCCAAATTCAAAATTAGGAATTTCTATTTCATTTTAGTAAAATGTTGAGACTCTAAATTTTTTTTCATTTGTGTTGAATCTCTGTTTAAGAAACTTTTGAAATTTGATTGCAGTGAAGTTGCTTCTTACAAATGTATACATTCTGACATCAGATGGAACCTTTACTACTCTCCAGTGTGCCCCATTATAAAATATTTGCATAAAATTATAGCATGTTTCTAGCTTCCTGAAATATGTCAGTGAATAGCTCTGTATAATTTGCAAACTACTGCTCATGATGAAAGGTTAGAAAAAGCTTATTGCTGACTTTTATTCAATGATTAATTGTATGAAATTTTATTATATACTTTGAGTTGATCTCCAAATACTCCAAGGAAGATTACCTCCTTTCACCCAGTACGATAAAAAATAAACAAGGATGATGAACACTCAAAACGGAAAGGAGAAGAAATGTAAGAAAACAAGACTGTGCAGACTGTCAGATGGATGAATTGCTATGCAACTTAATATGCAAGATGATTGCAAACATTTGTTTAAATTTATTAGGGAAACAGACCACCTGCAGCAGTGGACAACCTGGTCACCCTTCTTCAGCTGCTTTCTGATTTGGAGTTTGGTATTTATGTTGTTTTCCTCAGCTTGTAAAATCCTGTTTGTGCACAGTGAAGCTAGACTTCAACTGTTTGGTTTTATTCACAAACAAGATGGTCTGTTCTTTAAAGCAGCATACCAGTACTCCCTTTTTGGAAGGGCTTTCTTGTGGCTGAGGCATATGTGAGTGCATAAACTTAATACCAGAGTAAAATCCCTTACTGTCTGATACAAGTTTTTGTGCTTTAAACTATCTCTTGTGAAGCACCCAAACCATGACATATAGAAAATCAAAGGCTATGTAATTGCTGTCTTATTCTGATACACACCATTCAGCACCTTGTTATGTTTTCAGGTAGTTTTATTAAAGAATTGATTGGCGTTTGTTTGGTTTTTTTTTCAGACACCTCTGTAAGTATGATGATATGCAGAATATTTTCCTTGGATTATGTCTTCTTTGAAGAGATTTTTCTTTTTCCTTCAGTCTCTTAAACAGTGGTAACCAGACTTAACTAATTTCAGCAGAATTGATGCTTTCTTCATCTGGGTTACCTTCTTTAACTATTACCAAATAATTTAAGCCCTCTTGATTCCTTGTTTCCATTAGTGTGGCTGAAAGAATGCTGTCTGAATCTGCACATGGGATATCATTATCTGCATTAAAAGAAAAAAAAAGAAAGAGAAAACAAAAGAGAAACATATTTTAAACAATAAAAGAAAAAAAAAAAGAAAATACGACAACCCAGTAATACACATGTAGTATTAGAAAGCAAACAAAACCAGACAGCTGCTGGAAAAAGTTGGTCTAGTGACCTCATAAGAATGATGATTCAAATTTATTTTCTGCTATTGTCTGTATGGACCAGAGCTTTAGGTAAATCACTTAGGAAGGGCTGCTTATCAGTATTCATACCTCCAGAGGCAGCAATACTGTCATGAATGCATGACTTGCTTCTTTTTCTTGTAAAGAAGCATAAAGCAAAAGTGATTTGAATCTGAACCTTTGTAGAAACCCTGCTAATAATACTGCTAAAGAGTTCTGTAACATTAGCAGTTTTCTATCTACAAAATCATTATATACTGTCTCTCTAGAGAACTAGTCTAGACTTCTGTCTCTCTAGTATTCTGCTCTTCCAGAAGCTTAAACTTGGCAATCCACTGTGTTTTTCACGTTTTAAAAAACTTTCCATTTTTCCCTAATTTGATGCAGTTCGCATCTACATAGTTGCTTGAGATTTATTGCAGAGGATATAAGTTTTTTTAAATATTAAAATTGTTAAATAAGTGCTCAATTTATAAGTGCTACAATTTTTTGCATTTATTTTTGTAATGTGTACCTTCTTTTATTGCATTAAAATAACGTAATAAAAGACATTATTTTACTTCATAACTGAAAAATTAAGCATGTGACATTTAGGGTTATCTGTTCAAAGGAATCACAAGCATTGTGCCATTCCACCAGGCAACACAAAATTTATTATGTCACTATAATCACACATCTCCCCAAGCTATAAAGTCAGAAATTTGTTCCACATGCTAGAGCCCATTAGGATAGGAAATATTATCAGGAAAAGCCTGAAAGAGAAATTTGATTTTAGAAACCTGTTAGCAAGATGGGGTTTGGGACACAGAGCAAACTGTGGTCACATGCCACAGTGACTGACAGCAATGAGAAATCATTTGATACTCACTTTGTCAGTTCAGGGCTATTATGGCCATATTTAGTAATTCAGTTCCAACTAAGCCTTTACTAACCAGCTCAGCTCTTCTTTGTAATTGTTTTTTTGTTTAATTTAATGGCAACCTTCAGGGACAAGTTGCTTTGGAAAAGGCACACAGGCAAATGCTGAGGGGACGTTTGCGGCAAACTCTTAAGAGGGAAACCTTAAAATAAGGACCCAAGTAAAACTGGGTATTTACAGACCAGACATATGCCGGCTGACCTGCCTAAGTATAGAACACTAGAGGAGCATTCAGATTTGTTTCCTGTATAAGTATCTGGAACTGATGAGGTGATGTTTACACAAATGTGAGTATGAGGTCACTGAGATATTTTTACCAGATATATAGATACATTACTAATTCTTTCCCCAACAGGTCTGAAGAACTAGAGAATATATAAAATTTTATAATCCTTTTTCAGCTTATGCACCACTGTGTTTCTCATTACAGAAAAAAAGAGCTAAAAAATCAGACACCTTGCCTTGGTTTTACTTTTTGAGCTGTGGGAATGCAATAAGGAAGAAATACTATTTTTGCAGAATATTCTTATCATATCCAATGATGGAGGAAGAACATAATATTGATGACCTTTCTCCTATGACATGACATGTGTAAGATGCATTGCCACTTTGACTGTGACATTTTTGAGTGTAAGTGCCCTTTCCTTCACTGTTGAGTCATCCCTTAGTGCAGTATTCAACGCTGATGAAAGTTTAGCACCATTCTGCTGTACAAGGCAAAGCTACACAAGGATGACGTACCATGCTTGACTGTTATGTAACTCAGCAAAGCAAGCAAATTAATTTTGTTCATTTAGTTGGAGCAGAAGAATGGATGGAGACACAAAATACTAAAAATGAGCGATTGAAGAAAAAATTCATGATATGTTGTGAAATTCCCCCAGAAATGTGAGGACTAGAAGCACCACCAGCACCCTGGGAAGCCGTAAGTCAATTCAGAGAATTCTGAATAATCTTTGGAAGGGCCTCCCAAAAAATGTTAAGAAATTGAAGGAAGATAGAGAGAAACTGGAGTGGAGAGGCAGGTCAGTATATTTATAAGATATCATTATTTTCTTTTCAGTTTTAACATCGCTAAAATTAGTTGATTGATGTACAGTCATGCTGGGTTATACGTGAGTAAATGCAGGATAAACCATGTGATGTGATCCCCTCAGATTTCACAAGCAAAGCTGGGCTGAGTCAACAAAACACCCCAAGAGGAGACGTCCAAGGAGCACCTTCATGAAATCTGAAGTCAAGTCAGAGAGTCAGCTCTACAGGCTTGAATTCTGAGGGGTTGTCTGCACTGTGAACTGCTGCAGAGTGTACAGTTACCCAGATTTGCTTTAAACAACCAACCTCAGGGCACGAGGCAGGCATGCTCTGTCAGTCCAGAGCTTTGTAGAGGCTGAGGAGTACCCCACTGAGAAGCAGGATCCCACTGAGCTCTGTGCTGTCCCAGGCTGCTTCCTACAGCTAAAATGGCGAGTTCAAAGCTCAGCATTGTACTTGCACAGACACGTCTCAGGTCCTAAATGCATGTGGCTTTGACCTTGCTGGACGCTTTTCCTAGTAGAGCTGCACTTAAAGCTTAAAGCCTGTGCTTAGAACTTGTGCATAAAGCACATCTGAGCCAAACTGCAGGTAAATTAATTACAACAACCTTTCTCCGGGGATAGGCAGAAGTTTACTCTGGAGAGCTCCACGTTAATTGACACACGAAAGAACGATGGCCTGACTCATACTGTAGAGGAATAGAGTTTGCTTGCTTAGCCTCCTCTGAGAAGACCAGCCCTGACCTGATAAAATCTGTGCTTTCCCCTTCCCCATCCCAGCACCTCAGCTGGCTGCTTCCTGTGGCAGGGCAGCCGCAGAGCTGAGCCGGGCCCTGGGTCCTGCCTCACGATCGCAGAGTGCCTGTCCTTGCCTGCTTGGTAAACTCTGGGGGCTCACAACATGTTTTGAAGTCCTGCCTGGAAGGGTGCAAATTTTTGTGATGTCTTGACAAGCAGACGAGGGGGTTTTGGTGTTTAAATTCAAGAAGGTGACAACATTTAAGAAGAGAAAGAATGTCAGTAGAAAAACTGATTGGTTGAGACTGAATAAACTGATCTAGAGATGCTGATCTTATATTACAGCTATTTCAGGGCCAGACCCTCAGCTAGCATAAATTAATGAAGTTCCATTGAAACCAGTGGAGTGTCACCAATTTACACCAGCTAAGTAGCCAGCCTGAGACGTTACTAATTCCGGGTGACATAATCCCATATGATGCTTAGCACCTTCAGTATGGTAAGGTATTTAGAAGTCCAGCCACATTTCCTGTTTCTCAGTAATACCCTCCTCTTTTTCTGGTACATACTCTGTCCTTTGTCACTGCTACACAACGTATGTGGCAATAAACAAGAGACTGGCTGACTTACTGGCATGGATGAAAGATATACCCCCCAGCAAACACACTGGAGAAAAACACCTGATGACATATCTTTGTTAAGGGTGAAAACGGTGGCTATTGAACCTTGACTTCTTTACCTCAGCCATGTTGGTTAGCTCAAGGAGACAGCTCCTGTGCAGAGAGTATTTTTCTGATACCTGACGGCCACCTGGAGCTGGAGGAGCTGTGTTTCAGTTTCTGCACATAGCCAGTAAGAATATAAATAGAACAAATATATATCCGTTTTAATACTCCACTCTGTATTATGTATCAGTGGAGATATATCTGTGTTTCCTGCCTAATGAAGCATATGATCTTGCATGGTTTGAGGGTGACTCACTGAGCTTTGCTATTCTGTCAGACACTAAAGGTGCTAAAAGTGAGAATTTTGTTCATCCTGCATTTCCACTGCATTAATCTGCTTAGTGCAGAAGCAGTGACTTTCTTTTTATTTTAATGTATTGTTTAGAGAACTGTGTACTTAAATCTTTGTAGTAGTAATTACAGATATAAACCTGCTGCTTACATAGTTTATTAAAATTTACAATAAAAAAGCACCAAAAAAACCCCAGTTCCACATTTGCTGCAATGCAGTAAGACTATACAAATAGGAAAGCACTTCCTTTCTCCAGGTTATAAAACAGGATTTATTTTACCAAGTTTTAACCACCCAGGTCTTACATGCCCAATTTAAGCTCCTTGCCTAGGCTGTCTTTACAGTCAACAGAGAAAGGAGGAATGAATCACTTTGTGGAGATGCTTAATCCACATCCTTGCTTTTACACATTAACATCCCCTGAATATGCCTACAAGTGTCTGGTGACTGTCAAACAGCCTAGACACCCAGTGTAAACACAGTTTTTATGTTTAGTTGTCTATTTCTATCCACATCTGCCTACACAAATATCAGCTCTTACAGTCTTACACCATCTGATTTTTTCCTTTGGTCTATGGAAAAGTGTTGGTGTGACTTCACTTGCAGCCTCATATGGCTCATGTGCACTCTCTGGAATCAAACACCATTTGTCTGGAGCACAAATAAGAAATGATTACACCACCAAGTTCCCCTTTTCTTGCATTGTCGTAGCCACTCACTCTTTTTTGGAAGCAGCCTTTTCTCTGACCTCTGCAGGTTTTGGGTCAGCCACTCACTAAGCTAAGTGAGGAAGAGGATTACTGAATTTCAGAAAAATACAAAGGAGACTAGATACAAGGTTCTAAAAATGTTGCTTATCAACACATCTGCTTTAGAGAAGCTTCCATTTGCTCAAGTGATTATTTTACATTCAGAGAGGTGTGTGGAGTAGTTTTTAAAAGTAGTTGTTTGGGTTTAGGAAAAGAAACTGATGACTCTTGCATGAGAAACAGAAAACTAGTACTCAGCCAGTACAGAGTGCACACATTTAATTAATTATGAAATCGTTGATTCTAGCTTTAATATCAAGTCCTCTCAGTGCAAAATTTTGCACAGAGATTTAAAAATATACAAACGATAGTTTTAGCAAGTACCTGAACTGCTGAAAAAATAAATACACTGGCTTTGGAAAGAAAAATGAAAAAAATAAACATTACTAAATTCTAACTCTTGTGTCTTGCCACATTTTTCAAGCAATATCTCCAGTTTAGGAATTTAAAAATCATGGTTTTGAGGGAAAATATGTTTCCTTTGAGTCTTTAGTCTTTTATCCTGGATTTTCTCCAACTGCCTGGCATCTCCTCTTGCCAGAGGAGCTTCTTTTTCTGAGCAATTGGACATCTTTTCCATATAGATCCAAAAGGCACTGTGAGGAGTAGCCCTGACAAGAATAGTCCTTCTAGGTCATAAAGGCAAGAAGTCTCTCCAGCTGCTTAATGCCCAGTTGTCTGATGTCAGGAAAGGCGTTTGCCAAATCAAACAGGTGTTTCCATCTGTAAGGGGCACTCACGGGACCTGAAAAGCTATAGTGCTGTCTTATATGTGCAAATGTAAAAACTGATGTCTGAAAATAGATGGTCCAGTTATTTTTACAGCAATGCAGGGCCATCCTTCTAGCATGCTGCCCTTCTTGGAACTGGGGGAAGAATGGACTAACTTTCAGCAATGAATGGGAATTCTGGTGACAGAGTCTGTGCTTAGGAAATTCCCATTAAATTCAAAACCCACTGGTGTCTCAGTCTTCTGGCTGGATAGTGTTGCCCTCACTCAAATAAATATTGTTAATGCTACTTTAAGCCCAAAATCAATGTCTTGGGAAAGCGTGTCAGAGCAAGAAGGAAAAACTCTACACTGGCAGACCCTGGTCCTGAGTTTCCTTCCCTCCCTTCAAATGCAGCAGTGCAGGAGGTGTTAGTATTGCTCAGGCGTGTTTATTGACACTTGATGTCTGCTTTAGAAGAGTAACTCTTGCAATAACACAGCATATGCTGCTTTTGCCATCCCCATGCTATCCTGCTAGCATGCTGTCCGCTAGCAGCCTGTCTGTATTGGTTTACCCACACTTGCCATCTCTGTGTCATACTGCACTGGCATTAAGGTTATTGAGAAAATCTAATGTTTTTCAGCCCTCCCACATATGAAAATCACCAACAGCATGCATGGACCTGCTAGAAGTGTGGCTACCCATGGGTAGGTAAGACTCAACAGAATTTGGAAGATGTATGATTCCCTGTAAGGCTAAGTATCTTAGCTATTTTGAGGCATGTAATTTCACTTTGCTTGACATTTGTCTCTTTCTTTTGAAAGTAGGTCACCTGGTGAGAGCAAGCATTTCTTGGCTGGAGGCTCGTGGCTGGAGTTTCATTACACACAAAGGCCAATGACCACGTAGCATTTTTGGAAAATATTGTCGAGGACAATCCATCATGGAACAGACTTTTGGATTATTTGGTTTGGTTATCATCTTTCTACTACTACTATGAACACAAGAAATACTTAGTCCCAGCTAGAAATGAATACAAATTTTAAAAATCACTAACTTATTATACAACATGTTACAGATTACAGTCTGAGACATATTCCATGCCCCAAACTGTTTTTGACAGGGTCATAGTGGAAAGCACATTTTAGTCTGGAAACTCAAGTAGAACCTGAATGGCCTTTTTTTGCTTAAATCAATCTCACTTCTGGACCCCACATCTTACTGAATTCCACTCCATGAGATTTACATGGCAGGCAGAAAAACTGTAAAATTAATTCAAAGCTGGAGAGCTATAGAAAATTGACGTGCATGTGACCTTGATCAGAAAATCCAGCAACAATAAGACATCATGAGGAATCTAGAGCTTCAATCAAGTAAACAGCATAACATTTTAATGGGCTTATTAAGACTGTGCTTGGGCAAAGAGGGAGTCAACCTACAAGTGAATTATGAATATACAGGAAAATAAGTGTGGCATTATACATGTAAAGAGCTAGTCAAGTGTTTAGTCTTTTAAATACATTTAAATGGAAGGATGATATGCAGATGAATAAAATTCAAGCCACCCTGTTTCCTGAAGGGTATTTTCAATATGGGAATAACCAAAGGAACCTGAGGAGAAGTTAAGAAGGGCTTTTGAGAACTGAAGCATGAAAACATTGAATGGAAGCATGAAAACAGTTAGTTTGTCTTCTCCTCCCAATGCAGATCCAGCAATAGGTCTGTGGCAACTGACCAGCTGCAGCTGGGCAGAACCTATGGAAAGTGGAGAATGAGAGGAAGCCAGAAGAGGGAACATGACAGCTGGTGGGGAAAGGTCCAAGGCTCAGGAAGAGAGTGTGCCAAGTAGAAGTTCTGACAGCCAAAGCTCTGCCTACTCTGAATTGCCCTGCTTACCACAGTGGCCAGATTTTACCAACTAAGGTGTTATGAACAGGTTTAATGGGGACTAATTTTAAAAGTGACTGCTGTCAACAGATTCTCTGACTAAAATTATATTACGGAGTACAGCGCTATTATTAAAACCACACTTAAAGTCCATTATACTACCATATTTTCTGCACTAAACTGATTTTTTTCCAATTTTTATCCTTCAAACTGACACTTTTATGGAAGCCTCAATCCATATTTTCCTTTGCAACTTAGTAATTTCTAAGAATGCATCTTTTGTTCCTGGCAAATAAACAAAACAATGGCCTTTTTTCTAGGACCTCTGCTGTGTGGCAGAACCTGAAATTTTGGCAAAATAATGTTTCTTACATTAACAATATGTATTTGTCATCCCAGTGAAAGTCATTATTACCTTAGATTGAGCAAGTCAACAGCTGGAGAAAGATCAGGCTTGTCTGACACATGCTAAGCAGAGACTTGCTCTGAAACTAAAACTTATTCATGTTACATCTGTGCCAGGTCTATTCCACCACAAACACGGTAACCAATCTTCCAGTCCCTTTCCCCAGTTCCAAGCAGCAGAAAGGTAGGTTTCATCAGAAATTTCAGCCCTGCTAAAGAGTTTGACAGACATTGATGTAATGCCACAAGAACTTCTTAACTCTGTAGTTTTCATGTCTCTGTTGCCTGTGGAGTTAGGGAGCACAAAGAAGAGATGTCTAAGTGAGGAAACCAAAGTAGCTCGGGAGTGGGTGCAGGCAATGGAATCAGTACAGCCCTGTGTCCAGTGGATGCTGTGCTCCTCTAGCCATCTGAAAATGAAACATCTGGTCTGAGATACTGTAGCTGAGATGTTGTATTTGGACACTATCTTGAGTAATGTGTTTGGGGGGACCCTGCTTGAGCAGGGATGTTGGACTGGGTGACTTCCAGTGGTCCCTTCCAGTCTCACCCACCCTGTGATTCTTTATGAAGCAAATTAAATATGGCAAGTCACCTGGATGCCAGCCATCATCAGTGAAGAGTAAGGCAAAAGGTGACCCCTTTCCTGCTGTGATACATGCCCAAAAAAACAGGACCTGTCACTTTCTGCTTCTGACTGCAGAGCTACCTAGAAGAGTATCCTAGATGAGGCTCCTAGCCTGTGGACAGCTGCATTTAGGTGAGATAAAGTCCATCCAAAATGTAAGGCCTATTAGCTTGGGCATAGTGCCTAATTAATTGGCTGTAGTCCTTTCCTGAGCTAATGCCAGGCTTACATTTGTGCCAGACTAAGTATCTCTTTCCTGAATGTCATTATTGAGAGCTAAGATACCCTTAAAGAAACTAAAGAATTACACTATATGCAAATTGTTTTTCATTATTTCATAAGGGTGCAAAATCAGCTGCTAAAAAGCATGAAATGATAAATTATCTGTGCTGGTCCCTTCATGTCTTTACAAAATTTTTTTGTCTTGAACAGGCTGGATTTGACATAAAGAGAAACTGCAATGGAAATAAACTGACATTTGTAAAGCTTCACCAAATGATAAAGATTAGCAAAATATCAAATTAAGTGACAATTCAACAATGCCAGGGAATGGAATATAGATAGTATCCTGAAGAAAAGTGTCTGTGTAGTTGTGTAATTGAGTACTGTGTCATTCCTGGAATGGATCGGGAAGTTTTTAGGAAAGCATGAAGTACTGAAGTATCAAAACTGTTTTTAAATCAGGTCGAGTTCAGTAACAATTTGTGAAGGGAAAAAAGAAAATCACAAAAAAATCACCTCCAAAAGGAAATCTTTAGATATTTTAGAAACAGTCAGGTTTGGTTTTTCTAGAATGGAAATTAGTTCTTTTACCATTCAATATTTTTCATTATAAAACCATAGCATGCAAACAGAATAAATGAAAAAAAAATAATCTGTGAAATGAAAGTGAAATATTTCAACTGATAAAAACTTTCTTTTTTGTAGAATTCAGATAACATTTTTTTACTAATATTGTTCATTTTTCTCAATATTTCGTTAGTCAAGAATTACTGCAGGATGTGATTAGATCACTATTCAGGCCCAGCCAGGATGTTAATTTCCATATTTAGATTATTTACATCCCAGTTGTACAGACAACTTCAAATTTAGCATTACCTTTTTTCTTAAACCATATCTTCACAACCTTAATAACGTTCTTATATAATTGAGCTGTCCTGTGTCCCATATCTTATGTATGTCTTCCCTAACATCACTTAGTTATTTGTTCACAGTGTGCAGAGAATAGGCAAGACCTGAATCGATCAGGGCTTGGGCTTGGATAGAGGCTACCTTACTGGGGTGCCTAAATGATGCCTCACTTGCAGGTCACTGCTAAACCAGTATTCCCAGAGGAGGTGCCTAATGGCCACGTTTAGCTCATGGAGAGGACATTGATGTTTGTGAAATTGTGACAGATTTTCACGTGGAAGCCTTCTAAGGCTCTCCTGGCTCTTCAAGGAAAGCAGGCATCTATTTTAGAGCAACAGGGTTGTGCACTACTAAGAACTCAGGTGCAAATTGGATGTCTCTGTGAGTCAGGCTTAATTACAGCCTCATCTGGGCCTTTTTGCTTGGTAATCTTACACATCCTTCGTCTAATTCATTGTACCTCCCAGACACAGCATGAACCTTTACAAGTTCAGTATGATAGCAGTAAATCTTTGCTGCTTCCATGAAACAGCCAGAGGATTTGAAGCAGTGACAAATGCAATGAAAAGCACTTTGCTTACAGGGCAGAGGCCACAAGAATAGCGAGTGCTGGCCCAGACTCACCTTCAAAAGCTTCATTGATGACTCCAGCTGATGCCTCTCTGTTTTCAGGGCAGCAGATGAAGGACAGTGGAGAGTGTCTTATCTCTTGCAGTTTGTCATGAATACAAGAGAAAGTAGGTCTATTGTGAGGTTCTTGGGACCAGCATCTTGTCATTAAATCACATCTGAAAAAAAAATTAAATGCAAACAAAAATGATGATAGGGTCATTCACCTCAACATTTACCATTAAACATCTGGGAAGCAAGTTTGGCCTGAAAACTTTCTGTGTGGTACAAAGATCATCACCAGCTGCTGAAGCAATGAAAAACAAATTAAAGATAAAATTAAGTTGAGAATAATTATTTTGAAACATTTTAATTTTTCGGAGGTGGATATTTTTCAGATTGGAAGCAGATATAACATTTTAAAAAATACACATTTACCATGGACATCTACTCTCCCTGAAGAAGTCAGGAATACTTTCTAAGAAAGCAGACAAGGAAGAAATTCTCTCACAGAACGAAAAAAAAAAAAAAAAAAATTAAAAAAAGGGAAGTGTAAAATCAGAAATTAACCTGAACTTTTTGACTTATTTAATCCTTCTTCATCTCAGGCTACCTCACATTCAGGATAAGTTCAAGGCAAACTCTCCAGCACAGGGAGAGTTAATTTCAACTTCTACCTCCAGATCAAAACAAATAGGAATAAGTTTTCCAAAGGCAAACATGGTAAGAATTTCCTCTGGGTACAGGGATTCTAGCCCACCTTGTACAATACTATCACTACCATTTAGTGGAAAATTTACCTCTTGTTTATCTAAATGATAGGGCTGGTTTTTATTCCTTGCTCAAGGTGAGTTTATGCTACACAAAACCAAATCCTACAAAAGCCAGGGAGAGACAGGCTGAAAACCAAAACACAGCCAACACCTGGACATGCTAAGTGTTGGGAGTGGAAAGGGGTCTCAGAGTCTCAAAACCAGAAAGCAGCCAGTGAAAGGCTGGTTCAGGAAGCTGCATCTGGAATGTGGAGCATTTACCTCTAAGCCTTAAGTTCAAACCCTCCCCTGACAAACATCTTCCCAGACCTGCTGCTATGTGATACCAGGCGTTAATCTGCTATGTGAAATGAATTGCCTTGCTCAGATCCTCGCTTATCCGTCTTAAAAAGATGACTGCTGTCCTTCACCACAACTGGGCATCTTAAAAAGCCCTTAGTGACAGCGGGGAGGAGTCACTTGGCTTCTGATTTTTCAATGGTCTTTTTCATTAAAATATTAGTATAAATTGTTTCAAAGCCACTTTTCATCAACCTGTATTCTTGTAGTTTTCAAGTTGAACAGAGTAACTATGGTTTTTTTCAAAATGATTCCATGAAATTTGAAAATCCATTTTAAGAAGTGGTATTGGCTTCCTAACACTGAATCACTTCATCTGCTTGCTTTCAGGTGTACCGGTTATTGATGACACTGGAAATATAGAATGAAAAGAACTGAATAGGTCTCAAAATAAGGTTAAATAACTGGTTTTCCTTCTGCTGCCAGCAAAGTGTCTGCCACACTGAATTCCAGCCTTGGATGCTGGAAGCCAAACCATCTTCTTTCTGGTCATGCTTGTTGGTAGGATATTCAGGCAAAAAACCATGAGTTTAAAAAGATGACTGCTGTCCTTCACCACAACTGGGCATCTTAAAAAGCCCTTAGTGACAGCTGGGAGGAGTCACTTGGTTTCTGGTTTTTCAATGGTATTTTTCATTAAAATATTAGTATAAATTGTTTCAAAGCCAATTTTCATCAACCTGTACTCTTGTGGTTTTCAAGCTGAACAGAGTAATTATGTTTTTTTTCAAAAAGATTCCATGAAATTTTGAAAATGCATTTTAAGAATCTAAAAAGTGGTATTGGCTTCCTAACACTCTGAATCACTTCATATGCTTGCTTTCAGGTGTACCGGTTATTGGTGACACTGGAAATATAGAAGAAAAAGAACTGAATAGGTATCAAAATAAGGTTAAATAACTGGGTTTCCTTCTGCTGCCAGCAAAGTGTCCGTCACACTGAATTCCAGCCTTGGATGTTGGAAGCCAAACCGTCTTTTTTTCTGGTCATGCTTGTTGGTAGGATATCCAGGCAAAAAAACCCACGAGTTCAGGTGCTGTGTTTCATCAGGTTTGCACTTGGGCTCTCATGAGCAGAGCCTTGTGGAAGAAACAGCCAACCACTGAGCAAGAAAGAAACAGGAAATGATACAGAAGTCATAGACTCATAGAATGTTTTGGTTGGAAGGGACCTTCAAGTATCATCGAGACCAACCCACCAGCCATGTGCAGGGACATCTTCCACTACATCAGGTTGCTCAAAGCCCCACCCAACCTGCCCTTGAACAGCTCCGGGGATGGGGTATCCACAGCTTCTCTGGGCAATATTTTCAGTGTTTCACCACCCTTGTTGTAAAATAATTCTTTCTTGTATACAATCTAAATTTACCCTCTTTTCATTTATGAAACAAGAACATCGCGAATGTGGAATATGATTTTTTTTGTTTGTTTGTTTCCTATGACCAATCTCTGCCTTTCTAAATAACTATTTTTATGGGACAATCTGCTTTATAAAGCCATTCAGTTTTGCTATAGAAAAAGGATATTAACTTCTGCCAAAACTGTAATTCAGTACTGTAATCTTCTCATTTTAATTATATTCCATGGTTTTATTTCCTAAATCAAATTACTTGGTGATTGGCTTGAAGTCTCAATACTGGTATTTTTCACTAAGTGTTTAATTCAGATAGGCTTTAGGTTTCTAATGGCAAAAACTTTCATGCTCTCTCAGAATATATCTGCAAATTTCACATGTACAGCTATTTGTGGCATGACATTTAGCTGTGACATCCAAAGTTTTAAGTCATATGGCACAAACTTTCATTAGCTCAGAAATGCATGAGTATGAGACCAGTCAAGAGGGAGAAAGGCAGCTTAACATGCCAAGATACATGTAAGTGACAGACTGAACATATACCTATATTTTTGGGGAGCCAAACATGGGCTAGCAAATAGTGCATCACTTCAGCATGAGAAAGAGACCCAGAGGATTACCCTATTCATGGGGAAAGCCTCTCAGGAAGAAATGAAAAATGACAGTTCCAAACACAACACTGGCTAAAGGTTTATGTTAGGTTCAAGAGGTAACCTTTACACTAGATGTACACCTAGAAACTCACACTTCACACCTATGTTTTATCTGGGGGCAACAACCAAATGTCCAACAGAGCTGCTTATGTGGGGCTGGTTAGAATTTGAGAGCCTGGAAAAGTAAAGAACTAATATTCAGTATTGGATATTGGAGGCAGAATGTGAACATTCCTGAAATTCACCATAGTGCATAGAAGCTACAAGCATTACCAATTCTTTTCTCACGTGAAATGGGAAATACAATTTATGTGTGGTTTTCTTAGAAAATGAGAAAATTTGTCATTATAAAAAAACCCCTGATTTCACCTAATGCATTCCCTACAAGCATTACCAATTCTTTTCTCACGTGAAATGGGAAATACAATTTATGTGTGGTTTTCTTAGAAAATGAGAAAATTTCTCATTATAAAAAACCCCTGATTTCACGTAATGCATTCTGCGCAAGGCCGTGTTCTCTCTCACTCTCTTAATCTCTCCAGGGGATCATTGCCAGAAACAAATAGCAAAAAGCTGCTAGTTACCAAATTAAAATTTCTTATCAAAGTTGCTTGTGTAAGTTTGCAGAGGACTGAGCGTTCCTGAAACTGCAATTTCAAGTCAGCAAATGTCCTGCTGCTTATACAAGTTCTCTATAGACTGTAATCCATGGCCTTTGAGGATTTGTTAAATTAGCTCAGTTCAGTCCAAACCTTGGCATTCTCTTGCATGCAAGCCTCATACCCACATGGCTGTGCCAGATGTGGATTTCTGACTGCAAATGTATTTACATTCATAGGTCTAATTTATGTTTCAATATATGTGTCTCATTTATACATCCCCAAGACCCTTTTTCAATTCTTTATCAAGATTTACCTAGCCACAGTTCTCTGGGGAAAACTAGTTCCTGGAGTAGCAACTTATGGAGGCAAGGGGAAGAATTTTTCTCCCCTTCCAAATAAAAAAACAAACAAACAACCCACTTCCTTCATGCTTTTATACCCTAAGGTTTCTGTGCCAGCCCTACTTGCACTTGCAGTGTAAGCCTATCACAGATTCCTAAACACTTCTCAGCTGAAGTACTTTGGCCTTTGAACTCTCTTCCTATCAGTGATGGTTTGTTTTGTCAAATGACAATGAGCAAGCCAAAGTGCTGAGGAGACAATTACTGACTGCTGATGTCCTGATGCAGGTTCAAAACCACGAGGAGGGAAGCAGGAATGTCAGGAATCCCGGCATGCCATTAATGACCTAGCAAAGCAGCAAAAAGCTGTTTATGCTACTGACAGAAGCTGCATGCAGGTGCTGAGTGTTCACCAAATGAGATAAAAGATGGTACAAGAGTCTAAGCTCATCAACTCTTTGGCTTTCAAAAACTACTATTAGGCACTGATCCTACAAGTTACAACAGGCAGACCTGTATGTAGGACCTATCTCCTGTGCAAAATTCAAGATCTGGGACCTTAAAAACTATTTCAAGCAAAGTTTTCTTGATTTTTTTTCTGAAGATTAGTCACTTATTTTAGGGCAATTTATGAGCCTTTGCTTAAGTTTGAATGTCAGACTAGTCCATGGATATAGCTGCCTCCTGTGCTTTTTTACTCACAGGACAGATGTCGGAAATTTTTTGAGGAAACCTTTCTCAGCAGAAAATATTGCAATTAAAATTTCTTTGGGCTTTCATTTGTTCTGTGACTTCCAGTTCACCCTCTGTTAATAAAGTAAAATTCTAATCTCTTCTGTTCTTCAGTTCCTCCAAGTGCTAAAGCTTGGTTTGGGGTTTTTCTGTGCTTTTTATTGCTAACATGGTATTTCAGCTATATCTACATAAATAATCACCTTCTCTTAAGCTCAGAACATGGTTACTAGTGTAAGATCTATCATGGAGGTATTGGCTTGCCAAACACAGAATTATTCTCAAGTCTTTTCCTCAGCCCTGGGAGAAAGAATTGTTCTCTGCCAGTAGCCTCTCCTATTTGTAGGACCAGTTGTCAAGTGCATTGCTGTGACTGCTTTTGCTGAGTGGGTGATGAAGAAATTGAAACATGAAATTAGACAATACTGATTGTTAAGCTCATGTTCTGCTTCCTCCTTTATACACCATATAATCCGTATGGGTTTGATCTACTTGATGTATTTATTTTATTTTATTAATTGCAAGAATTTTGCAATTAATCTTGAGTTTTGTGCTCAAGACACAAACAGAAATGGAAGGATTTACTTATCCAGTCTGGATAAAGACTAACCAGAGGTGCAGACTTCCCTTTTTCTGTACTGCTTCAGCTTTTCTTATTGGCTTTTTTGAGTTCTCTCTACAAAAGGCAGAGTTTATTTTTCACTTTTGTTCTAATATTAGCCTATTCCTGCACCTATCATTAAGAAAGAGAGTTTTATGTTTTATCTACAGTCATAGACACACAATGTACAGAGACCAGTAAAGTTTTTCTTAGAGACATCTTAACTTCTAACCAATACCTTCAGGTACTCTCAGCCTGTTTTCACATTACTACCAGATCCATGCCTTAAATTCTTATTCACAGCCTGGTGTACTGGATGAAATAGTAGAAGGTTGGCCAGTTTTATTGGAAATGAAAGTGGAGAATGTTGGGCTCTTCATGGGCATGACGAACCTTCAAAAGGATGACCAACTGGCAAAAAGACTCTCGCTTCTTACAAATATTATCAACAACATTTAAACAAAAGTAACTTACAGGTCATCAGGACAATTGCTTGGAGATTCCAGCCTTCCTCCTGATCGTACATGGTGTAAAACTTCTGTGTTGGAGAAACCTGGATATGGCTGTTGACCCAAAGTCAATGTTTCCCATACTAGTACTCCAAAAGCCCTGAGAAATGCCATGAAAAAAAAAAAAAAAGAGAGAAATTCATAACCATGGCAATCATGAAATCACCCTATTAACAGTTAGATTGTGTCTAACCTAAGAATAAGACTCAGCAAAATTAGGAGTAAGAAGACATAATTTGCTTTTGTCCCTAAGCCAACCTTGGAATAGCTAAAATAAATGTGTATAACAGAGGTGCTTTCCCAGACTGACAGAGATGCAGCTCAGAAGACACTGAGTTCCCACATCTTCCCCAGGAAACACTCAGGTTGAGCATGTTCTCATATAAACAAGTGTTCTGAAATCTCTAGAGGTGTGGTTTAAAATGGAGAAAGACAAGTTCTTCTAAGCACCACTTGTGGAGCAATCAGCGACTCCTTTGGTTTGGCACAGAGTAATATAAACTACTTTCTTAGATAAGTGCAAGAGTAGCAGTCAAATAGATGGGTAAAGGCTCTGGGGACTTGGACAAGACCCATGGGCTGAGTACATGCGGCCACTGAAATCTAAACTTGTGTGAATATCAGGTTTCATGGATCTGGTTTGGTCTTGGGGTTTTTTCCATGTCTCCTGACAGTGGGTCTCTGCTTCTTCACAATAAACTCAAAGCCACTTAAAAGCACGCTTTTAGCTAACCTCCACAAAAAAAAAGGACTGTGACCTTGTCCTGATAATGCTGCAAAGTCTGGTCTTGAAAATAAAGTCACTAGAAGACCCTGACAGTGGGTCTCTGCTTCTTCACAATAAACTCAAAGCCACTTAAAAGCACATTTTTAGCTAACCTTCACCAAAAAAAGTACTGTGACCTTTTCCTGACAATGCCGCAAAGTCTGGTCTTCAAAATAAAGAAGTGACTAGAAGAGGGTGAAACTGTAAGGACAAAGTATTTGGCTGTTGGAAGGAAATGTCAATAAACCTAATGGAAAACAAAATGGAACAGCATGCAGGCAGTCAATTCACTGCCCAATCAACCAAAAACCACATTGTGGGCCTGATGCAACTGTAAAATTATTTGAGTGACACTAGCTCCTTCCAGGCAAAATCCGAAGATCTTAAAGCATAAAGAAATATATCCATGAAATATACTGTCATGGTGTCAAATATTTCATTAGATCCTTAAAATTCCACTTCGGAGGACTTCTGCCCGAGCCAACAAATTATTAGAGATGACAATGTACAACCCTACAATTCCTTCTCTAAACCAATATTTTCTTGCTGTAGAATTCAATATGGTTATCACCACAGCTTTGTGGCTGCTGTAACTCACCAGACATCAGAGCGACTCGTAAAGACACCATCAATAAGGCTTTCAGGAGCCATCCATCTGACAGGGAGTAGACCTTCTCCTCTTTTTCTGTAATAATCATTTTTATAGACATCTCTGGCAAGTCCAAAATCACCAATCTTTACTATCCGGGATGAACGCCCATATTCCTTCTCAGACACAAGGCAGTTGCGAGCAGCCAAGTCCCTGATTTGTAAGGCAGAGAAAAGAGGATGGAGTTAGCATTGCAGAAAAACTCAGGTCTGTAAGTCATCTGGCTCAACATTCTCTTCAGAGAAGTGCCAGCCCCAAGGCTGGATCAAGTGACGTAGGGCCTCACCCAGTTAAGTATGGCACATCTTCAAAACTGAAGATGACACAGCCCTTCTGGACAACCTGTTTCAGTGATTGCTCTGGGATGTTGTGAACAACAATCCCATAAATTATTATCTAATTTCCTTTGCTGTAATTTGTGCCTGTTGCTTCTCATCTTTTCCCTGTACCTCTCTGAGAAAAGTCTGTCTCTGCGTCCTCTAAAGCCACCCATTAGGCAGACAAAGACACTACATGGATCTTCTACTTGTCCTTTTCTCTGTTGCACAGGATATGATTCTTGCCTAGGGTGCAGTAAGTCCTTGGTTCAGACCTTAGAGTAGCCCATTTTGGGAGAGAACTGTGAGTGATATTTGGCAGAAAACATGGTGTTAGATTTTACTCCAGTGCTCTCTCCTGTCATGTTGCATTGTGACATTTTTCTAGACGTTTTATCCTGAGTAAAATAATGAGTCCAAATACTGTGGGTAAACCTGGGAAGACTAAGGAAGTACGTTCTGTACCTGTGTATAAAATGCATTTTCTCTAAATAGACGCAGCCTTTGCAAACATCCAAACATATATCCAAGAGGTCAGTGACACTCAGTAAAGGGCTCTGGAGCTACAAGAAACAAAGACAGAAGTTAGCTATTTCTTCCAGCTTTACCAACTCAGAATGACAAACTCCCCATGGAAGATTTCCTCACTGAATGTATTTCCCCATTTGAAATGTATTTCCCCATTTGAAATGTATAGCTGTATTAATCAGTGTAATAATTTTTTCAAGTAGAAGACATTTCAGTAGAACATACATTTCAGTAGAATTCAACACTGACTGCAGATTTGATCTGATTGTGTAAATGACCTATGCAATTGCTATAAAATTTCATTTTGTCCTCACATCATACCATGCCTATTCCCAATCTGCACACTAACTGGAGAAAAATTTACTTGAAGTTGTTTACTCTCTTCTTTCCTTCTAAAGAATTTGAGGATGTAGGCACAAGAACAGTATATTCTTATATGCTTGGACTATGCCTCTCACATTAAGGATATTGTTGTTATTCAAAGACAAAAAAAAAACCCTCTATGATTCCTAATAAACCACATAATGACCACCATTATTTATTACCACTTTCAAAAGAAGAGTTTATGATTTTCACTGTGAGAAATCAGCAGACATCTCATGACTGAAACCACAATTTCGGTCAGTGATCTAATGACATTCAATCTCTTCACAGCATCACTGCTTGCAAGGTCAGCACTGAACACTGAGGTCCCAGGGTGTTAAGGAAAAGCCAGGTCAGACCTTGCTTTGTATAGAAACAGCTGAACATCAGCATGGACTTTTAAAAAGCGAAAAACTGAGAAGTTGTGGGCAGTTACAGGTTAAAAATATGATTCTTATGGTCTTCACCTTTTTCTTTCTGGCTCCTCGTAAATAGCTAAGTAGATCCCCTCCTTCCATCAGCTCCAGTATAAGATACTGAGGTTCATTTAACAGACACACACCAAGTAACTTCAGAATGTGGGGATGATCAAATTTGCTAAACAGAAGGAAACAAGTGTAAGATGAAATATGAGAAATTCAGCTGGTTGATAGCTAACAGAGTGCTTATAGTTGCAAGCAATGAACGAGCAGTTTGGCCTTTACATTCCTGCTTCTATGAACATGATTCAGTAGCTCTCAGTGCCTGGATTTGCTCAGTCATGGGGAGAGTTCAGGGACATCCTTCCAAAACACAGGCTTACACTGTCTTTGACAGGCACTCTAATGCATGCACACATTTTAAAAAAGCACACTTCATCATATTTCCAGGAAGCAAAGAAAAGTAGCCAAATGGCAATTTCTTCTAAGAAAAAGATGATTTATCATCTGCACATTAAAGGAATCTACATTATTTTAATAGAGTATTTTCACTACTGTATTCATAGTAGAACTGCTGATTCAGAGAAATAAACAAAAGTAAAAGTACAAGGTGCAATATATTATTTTCACAGTTCAGCAGGGGACAGTTTTTCACAGTACATTTGCAAGAGGAACAAAATACATATGAGTAATACTTCTAAGTATACCAGCAATCGTTTGTGTGTGTCTAAGACAGGAATTACCACAGAGCAATCAGTACTCTCAGTACTGCAAGTATTCTTCAAAGAATTAAGAGAAGAATATTTATTGCCTCTGACAGTGCCTGTGTTTTTTTTAATCACTCCACTTGTGTTAGAAAATGGTTTTCCCCTCCCATGCTGCGTGAAAGCACTTGCACAAGCAGTCAGAGAAATTTGACTCTGTTGAGAGAATTGATGGTGTCCAAAATGCTGTCAAATGTAGCAGTGTAAACAAACAAGAGAGGGACATTTTCTTTCTAATCTCTTTCAATTCACCTAATCTCAGGTGTGGGCAAAGATTCTTGCAAAAAAGTGCGATTTAGAATTTGACAGTTCCCCCTGGCCCCTAGCACATACCTCTCAATCAGAAAAACTTTGGCACTTTCAGGAACAAAAAGAGGGGCAGGAACACCTGGCACTTTCCTCTGCACCCAGTGCAGACCTTTCTCCACTGAACCGTCATGCCTTACTTCCCGAGGGATGGGACAGACACAAGAATTTCCTACATGTATTTTCACACAAATGACTCACCAATTACCAACATCAAATGACTTTTTGAAATAGAAGCAACTCAATTTTCCCTTTGCTGTATAGCAATAAAAAGGAACACATAGTCCTGGCTTAACTGAGCCAACATGCATAACATTACGAGTCAAATTTTAATGACCATCCAAAAAAGCAAGCATAATAAAAGTTGCAGTTACATATCTTGCAACTTGTATCTTGTATACCTTATCTGTTTGTAAGCACTCAGATGCACTTGTTTTTCCTTTCTACTCTTGGTTTCATTTATGAGACCTCACAGATGAACGTCAAGTGAAATCATTAAACCCTCCATGATGAAATGAAATAATTATTTCTATATTTAAAATTAAATATTCAAATAATATAAAATAAACATTATTGTTGTTGTTGTTTTCATTGTTGCTGCTGCTGCTGGTAGTGTTTTTAATTACTACGGGGATTATATAATACTTAAACTTTTTTATTCTATTCATTTCTTCTTCATTGTATTGGTGTACATTTGGGCCCATGTCAATTTTTACATTTAAATGCAAAAAATGTTCAATTATGTACTCTTCCAGGATTTCTGGATTTGTGTTATTATCTGCAACAAGAATTGAGAGAGCCTCAGAAACTTTAACTATGAGTTAATATAATTTCCATACTACACAGAAAAAAAACCCTTAACTGTGTTTATTACTGCTAGGTAGACTGAAGATGGATTATGAGGAGTTTACGTACAACTCTTACTCTTTATCATTAATTTGAACTTTAATGACTTAGTCAAATTTGGTTTTAACATAGTGTGTCATAAAAGGCAAAAAATGCAAGCTATATTTTTTAAGAGTGTAACCACAAAAAAAAAAAATGGAATGCTGTAAAAATCAATTTTCAGTTTCATAACATCATATTTTCTGCACAAAAATAAATCCTTTATTTTTAAAAAAATTGCTTTTACTTCTGCACGGATGAAACAAAAGTCAAAGTGCAAAAGTGCATCTGAAAACTAAACTACACTCTCAGTCTTATAGTACCAGTTGAAAACTTCAGTTGAACTTCTTGTTTCTGGGGACAATTTGGAAAACAAGATTTCCAGCTGAAACACAAACCTGGTTCTGTGAAATTCTTGCAGTGGTGACAGATGTATAATTTAACACCACCTCAATAGAAGGGGTATGTGGCAGCACCTAGTGGCACATTTTTAAAAAATATTTTCCACTGTAAATTACAGCTTCAAGGCATCAGTTTATTCTGATTTGTTTCCTTCAGTAAAATTGGATAAGTTGAATTCTGATCATTGCCTTTAACAACTAACTTGGTTTAGGAGATCAAAGATACTGAAATACACCAATACAATCCCAAATAAATCCATGATATGAGCATATTGAACTTACAGTCTATACCGTAAATTTTGCTCATCAGATTTATAGCTTTAGTTACATTATATTCATCAGTAGTGATTTACTTGTTTGACAGAAATATGAGAACACCCCCAAAATGCCACAATAATCTGTTTAGAGGAAAGTGCTGCTTTCATTCCCCTGGAAGGCCACCACCCTCAGATGATACCAGCTTTGAAGTGTGCCCAGGGACAAAGCTGTCCCTACCTCATTAAGTGTGCCTCCTTCAAGAATTCGCTCTTCTCATGGTCTGTCGCACCACTCTTCAAAGTCTGCTCAACAGAAAGCAGAAGTGTAGAAATATTTGGTCATCATCACTGTTACCGCATGGTGCTTAAGTAAAACAATCAGACATAGAGGTGGCCTTAAATACACGTTATTTTCCAGAAATCATTACAAGGCTGAGCTTTTAGAGATTTGCAAGAAACACTACAAGGAAATACCCAGATCAGCCCAAAACCCATTTCTCAGATAAAACCTCAGAGACAGATCTCTCTGCCCATCCCATTCTGTTGCAAGAGAACATATTGTTGTGATTACCTTGACTGCTACTTTGGATTCTCCACTTCCATCTGCCAGGATATCTACTGCAGTCCCTTCATACACCTCTCCAAATGCTCCACTTCCTAGCAATTTGTGTAAATTGAGTTTGTCCCGAGGGAAAGCTGGCAGTGATTCAATCTCTGCTTGAGAAGGAAGAGTGCTACAAAACAGCAATATTAGTCACTTGCTCATACCTAAGGATGTCTGAAATTCTATTCAAACAAAGCTGGTACCATTTGTCTCATCAGATATATTTAGGGGAAACTCAGGTGAGGTCTGGATGTTTTGGAAGTTACTGGAAAACACCAGGTCTTCTTCCTCCCCTGTGCACTTGTGTTTCTTGACAGAGTGACATGAAGGATGGGCTGGGGGGGTTCCAGGCTGGGCTGTGTGCCAGAAGGGCAATATGGCAGGGCATCCTTTGGAGCAGACCTGCCCTGCAGCAAACATGCAGCTCTTAACTCTACCTTGAGGTTTCAGGGATGAGTGCCCTGATGTAAACTGGCCCAGGGAAGACCTCTTCGATGTTTTTGTCCTGAAAATACATTTGCTCTGAGGACATACCGTATGGCATAACAGGCATTGGCTAGTCCCACTGTCTCAGTCATCCCCCTGAGTTGAGCTAGTTCTTTATCTTCCTTGATAAACACTATCTGTCCAGGCAAGGCCGGTTTTCTGGATTTCAATCTTTGTTTCCATACTGGAATAGAAAAGGAGACCATTAAGTGTTTTACTCTGAAAGTAAGGTCAAGTGTTTATAAGGATACACACAAGTATTAGAGTTTTTTAAGCACTCTTGTGCTCTCCCTGCAGGTAATCAACAGCAAGAAATGCCTGAGGATGGGCTGAATTTCTATCCTGTCCTTCATACCAAAAATATAATAAGCCGTCTCTAGGGCCTCAAAGAATGAGAATATACAAATTTCTCCCAGCTCCCATCACAGGGAGGGAGCCTTCTCCTAAATCTAGAGGCCAATCATTTCCCACCATCTGAACTGCCTCTCACTGAGGTTTGGCAAACCAAAGGTAAACAAAAACTCAATCACATACCAAAACTGAAGAGTGTGACCACAGCCAAACACAGCACAACAACTCCAGCCACAGAAGCAATGGCAATGATGGTGCCCATAGGCATCATTTTATCTGTTAAAGAGGAAAGGAAATTTGTTTAATTACTGTGTAGGTATGCAATGTCGATCCCATGGACTGGAGCACACCTGAGAGAACCCTTCAGCTCCCTGCTATGTAAAAGTCTTCTACTGCACAAACTTCTCTTGTAGGCTCTATGTGGATGTGTATTTGATCAGACTAATCCTTCTCCCCCAGACTTGGGCCATAATGTGTATGCAGAAATAGAAAATGCTGAACTGTTTGACTACTCAAATGGGATTTCCAAAAACACTCACAAAGTGTAAGTCTAACATTCTGGCTGAAGGCAAGAAGTAATTCTGATATCTTTACCCAGTATGCAAGACTGCCTTTCTTCAAGAATCACATAATAAAGCAGAGTGGCAGAGCCACAGAGACAAAGTGTTATAAATGAGGAGAAGCACTTTTCAGGCCCACTGTTCTGAGCAAAGAGCCTGGATGAGCACTATCAGCAGGGGTCACCATATAAACATCACTATTTGTTACCCATTAGAGGCATTACTTTACCTTTGCAGGAATATTGTTATTAAAATAGCCAGTCTCTGTTCCTAAACTGGTATGACTATTTAGAATAACAAAAAAAGGATTAACAGAATACAGAAGTACAAGACATACCTTCACTCAAAATTATATCCATGCTAACATCACTGTATTCACCAAGTCCCAGCACATTTGCAGCTGCTGCTCTGAACTGGAAAGTTCCTTCCAAGTTCTTGGCCTTCCATGTGCAAATACTGCCACAGGAGCCATTGTAAACCACCTCCCACATGGACTTCACATCGCTGCTGTTGCCAGACTGTTTCCTGCAGCATGCACAGCACGACACAGGAATGTCATTAATGCCACAAGGGTAGTTTACTGCTTCACCCCCAGCCCATTCTTTGCTTCAGTTCCATGGTTTTCACGGCATTTCTCTGCATGCATGAAAGCTCAATCTGGTCATGGGATTCTGGCTACAGAGAACAAAATTGTGCCATTTCATCTGTGCTAGGAACCAAGCATCTTTATCTTGCCATTGGAAATTAAATACTAAACCATTTATACATGAAAAATTGTTCAATATATGCCTGATTCACCTATTTCAGTATATGCCTCACAGCCAAGATTTCAACATGTTCTTATTTACATTTCTGGCAAAAAAAAAAAATTCTGCTGTGCTAGAGCTTTTTGCCCTTCCAGACCGAGAGTAATTCAGTGTCTCTGTGCATCAGGTTTCACAAGCTAAATAGGAAGCAAGTCATTGGCAGTGAAGAAGTGAAGATACCATTCTTTAGCTAGCCATTTTCCCATGGTATCTGCTGACTGCTGGGTGTATTTCTTCCTTTCCCCATTGGACTGAGATTGATTGCTCACAATAAATTCAGAGCTGATTATTCACCAACCAAAAGAAGACCACGTACTTAAACTTGAAAGGCCATATCTGAAATATCATTTCATGTCACACAACACCGTAATACATCATGTGAAATGACCTTCATGAGCAAGTCACTCATTCTCCCAACACACTTTAATGAAGAAAAAAGGCCAAACACTTCTAAACCAGAGAGACATTGGAAAGCTCATGCCCTTGGTCTGTACATGTTGCCACTAGAGCTGTATGAAAAACAGAGGTTGCTTAAAAGGGCTAGGCAAACATTTTCTAGAATGCTGTGCAACTGATTTAGCATTTTTCTACCTGGCGTGAAATTCAATCAAAACCATCAGCCTGTGTACATTCAAACTGCAAGAGAAAAGCTGACTACATTAAAAGACCACCTCAGTGATGCATTATGATTCCAGAGATGAATAAGAAGCTGGAGTCTGGAGAGCACACCAGCTAATGCACAGCCCTGGTATAGACCAGGGGATTGACCTTTCCTTACCCATTTGCAGCAAGTCAGGTACAGATTGTCTCCTGGAATATCAAAATTATTGTTTTCTCAGAGCATGCAGGTCAGTACTCCTGCATGCTCACAGAACTGTAGGAAGCTTACAGCACCAGGAAAATATGTCTGGGTGAAAACTTATATAGGTAAAGCATTTCCAGCTCCAGAGTGTTGTCAGCCCTTAGCTTTCATAAGCACAGAGAAAGAAATAATAGCTGAGTTTAGAAAACTACTTCCCTCCATCAGTAATGACTTCCAACAATCACTGGAATATTTCAGAAGATGGACTCTCCTTATTTGAAAACAATGCATTAATTAAACTTTGCACCAACTGCTTTAAAATAATCTCTTTAGAGTCATGGTCAAAAATTAGAAGTTCAAAGTCACTGCACACAGCAATATACTCTAACCTGCCCAATCAGCCCTATCAATGCCAGTGCAGGAATAAGAGTGAGCTGGCACTCTAGTGTGACATCGATAGCTCAGGCGATCGGTATTTGATGACAGAGCACTTTAAAAATTATACAGTCATCCCATGTGGGTAGGAACACTATTTCTGGCAATATTACAACACTTTCTTTGAGTTCTCTGAACACTAATATATTTATGTATATATTTTAGCCAAAAATACATACTACATGTAAGTTAAGATTTGTGATTTGAAATTCTCTCCAAATCATCTAGTTCACTGACATAGATCCAAATATATAATTGTATTTCAAGATTGATCTGAAAATGTTGTTAGTGTTTTCTTTCCTTCTGTGTTTTCCAGAATTTCTGGAAATTATGGGTACTTGGTTTGTCAAAGAAAGAGATCCCAATGAATGCATCATATACATTTCATTCTTCCTGTCAGAGCCAACCTGAAAAGCCCTGCACACTCAGATTTGTTCTGTGCTGCTACCTGCAGGAAGAGTGCCTCATGCATTGCTTACCTGCTCTCTAAGATGTAGTATGTCAGTTTGCTTCCATTGTCATCAGCCTTTTCCCACTGTAGGGAGTTTTTGGAGTCTTCGGCTCTTTTAGGAACTCCTGGCTTACTGGGAACACCAGCTTAAGCCAAACAGGGGAAGAAACAGAACCATTAAAATGTGTTTGTAGCATGACAAAGGGCCAATAGGCACAGAGAAAAATCTGATGTGCACATGGGTGTTTAGATATACAAAAGGAAGGAGGATCTATATTAATAATGCTCATAGAGAATGAATCCTTGGCCTTCTCTTTGTGATGGATAAATTCCAAAATTTTTACTCACATGCAGCCTTTCACCAGTAACGAGTTCACTTGTATTATAGGCATTTCATTTTAGTTCCCCTCACTCTTCTGCTCCACTTGGAAATGAATCTCATTTCTGTCCCCCTCTTACTTCTGAAGGTATGGTATTTTACCAACAAACAGAACTATTGGGTCTCAGTATAAGCAAATTTCCTGCTAAATTTTAGAAAATATAATGTCTAATGTTCACATGCTGCAAAGTCTTAAAATCTTGTTGTGCTGTGTTAAGTGCTTACCTGTAGTTTTAAAGCTTGTTGAAGAGGAAGTGCTTTTCACTCCTGTAATGTAAACTACTGTTACTCTTACAAAGTAGTTGGTCCAAGGAAGAGTTCCTGTGAGGTTGCATTTGTAAACAAGATTTCCTATGCATGTAGTGTTTGCAGGAGAAAACCAGTCACTTTTTGTTGGCCACTAGAGAAATAAAATATCATTATGGTCAACTTTCTTGCCCTGCTGAAAGTGTGTCACAGTTCTATTCCTGGCTAGATTAACTACTTTGCCACCTCCTAATATCATAGTGGAAATATGACGCAGGTGCTCTTTCAACCATGGACTTTGTCCTCTCAGAGACCAAGGACACAAACCCTAATTTTCTTCTTTGTTTTCAGGAGACCTGCAAGTCTTGGCAGTAACAAAGAACAGCAGATTAAGTGCCTGCTTTACACAGCCAAAAGGAGCCTTCCCCTTATATTTCTGGATCATCATGCCCATGAGTTCAGCTTGCCATGATGCAATTGAAGGGAGGTGGGTTAGTGGAATTTTGATGTGACATTATTTTAGGGCAGGGAAATGTTTGGTGCAGGTCTATTGAATCTGATTCTCTTTAGTAAAGAATCTGCATGATCCAGTTTAGGACGTGACTTTTTCTGCACCCAGCGGTTCAGGTGTTGAAGTCTGAAGTTTCCATGAATGCTGCTCTCACTGCAGCCCTTACTTCTTACTCCTTAGACCTGGTCATCTCTGTGGCATTTTCTCCTAACCTCTATCACAGGGAAATAAATCCAGATACTAGGCTGTAGCTAATATTTACTGCTGAAACTCTTTTCTTCTTTTTCTTGTGCAGGGCAGACATAGGATTTGCAACTGCAAACCCAGTTGGGGCAGGGCAGTGAGGAAACAGGGATAGGACTGCTGAAACAGGAGACCCAGAAGGAATTCTGGTGAGGTCATCCAGGATGTCCTTTGGCGCTATGGAGTACTAAATGCTACAGCTGCACTCCTCCTTGTTCCTGGCAAATGCTGACTCCATCCTGCCCCTGCTGAGCAGCTAAGACTGACATCACCATGCCCAAATTATCCACTGAGCCTCTTCATGTACATCCTGCCACCCACCCTGTCCTGCTTACCAAGCCGGAGTAGGTTAAATTTTCTCTGATCTGAAAAAAAGCCCCACCCCAAAACTTAGAGGTATTTTTACCTTATGAAGCTCAAACCAGAAGCTGGTTTCACTGATGTGCAGAGGAGCTCTCCATTCTAGCTGGAAACTGGTGTTTCTGGGGACTATGTTGATAGGTGCAGCTGGAGTCTCAAAAGTTTTTGCAATGACAGGGACACTTTCAGAAAACCAGTTCTCATCAGGATGAAAAGCAAGAACCTAGTAAGGCAATGGAGGAGCTGTACGATACCAGAGCAGCTGAAAAGGCAGTTTTGCTTTAGCAGCATCAAGTGTTTGGAAGACCAACATTTCAAACAAGACAGTATTTCAGGCAATAGAGATTAAGGTATAGAAATATTTTTGCCCCTGATAGCTGCAAGGTTATATACACCTTCTTTCAGGCTGAAAGTTCATGTCCAGGAGCACCCTTCCTCAGAGACTCTTAGTTTCTCATCTCAGATTTCTACAAAGTCCCGTCTCTTTCTAGATCTTTCTTAAATGCCACACGCTCTTACACAGATATGCAGATGTCACATCACAGTGTTTTAGAGCCACAGAAACACAAAGTCAAGAAGTGCCTTAGCACATTGCTTTTCACTAGGCCTCTGGCAAATATGACCTGTTAGGTATGCATACTTGCATACACACATACAGGTATTTAGATATGTGTATGTATATATATTACCCATTATATTATCTAAATCATTAACAGAAGCCCAAAATCAAATTAGGACGTGCATATCCCCTCCTGTCATCATGTGAATGTTCTCCCAACTGTGTAAATCACTCTATTTGTGATACCCAATGCATATTCTACAGACAACGTTTACTTGGTTACTTTTGAAAATGTCACTCTGATCATAGACCTGCTGTCCAGATACATCATTTATTATTTTTTAAGCCTTCGTCTATAAAGGGAGCAGTACATTTTGTCCTTATGAATCCACATTACATGCTTTTATTCATCTACTTTGCAGAAGAGAAGTCTAAAGATTTGCAGGTTGTGCAAACCAGTAAAACTACTTGCAATTATACCTTGAATGAATTATTTGTTCCAGGCTGGAGCCCACTGACAGACCAGGCAAGCATCCCATTTGAAAATTCCCTTTTTCGCAAAGGTGTCACTGGGACAGGAGGCAATAAATTGACAGAGATTTGATAACGGATGGATTCAAGAGGTCCATTTGGCTTCAGAGGTTCACTCCAGGATATGTTGATGGTAGTGTCAGACAAAACTAATGTTTTAATAGTGTTAACTGCCTCTGGTACTGAAACAGAAAGAAAAATTAATCTCCCTTTTAGAGTAGTCAAGAAATATCACCAAGGGAAAAAAAGAAGGATGTAAATGTATTAATATGATTCATTCACAGGACTGAAACTCTACACATGTAAAACCCATATTCTGGTATAGTCAGTCAGCTGCAGACAAGTTCAAAATATTTTGAGGGACTTTTAGTATCTTCTTGGCTACCCTAATATGCAAGCAGGCAAAAAACCCAAAAAAACTGAACAACAACAGGAAAATATATACATATATATATATATATATATATATACATACATACACCTTTACATTTATAATATATATATATATATATACATACATACACCTTTACATTTATAGTCATACCACTGAATTCCTGCTCCATCTTAGCTTCCTAATCAGGGTCTCAGATCTGAGTTTAGTATGGTGTTTACTTGAATATGCACACACAGACACAAAAAATACCTGTGTACTATTCCAATTGGAAAGTCTTTTCTTGAACAGAAAATCATAAGGGAAGAAAATCCATTACTTCTCATAATTTAAAATTTTTCTCAGAAATAGTCTGGCTGAGTTGTGTAAGGAAGAAATCAGGATGCTGGTCAGATGCCCATACCAGCCGGTTACTCACTAATTGTTCTGGAAAAATCAACACTTCCTTTGCAGCTTTAAGATCACAGACTTTGTGATCGTAAACAGCATGTCCCTACTCTGTATAAAAAATTCTTTATTTCCTATTGAGCTGTCCAGAGGGGCAAAAATTTAAAAAGTCATTACATTATTTATGTTCCCAGTATACCAAAATAACGAGTCCATATATTTTAATTCATATCCTAGTAGTAAGACTACAGATTATTTAATGATATATTCAGAAACTAGACTAGGAAAGGACAAATTTCTTATTTGTCTAGCTAAAACATACATGGAGTAAGAGTGACACTCTGTGGCAAGAGCAATGCATTGTCTTCCTCTTTTTTTCCTTCCCTCTATCTTGCTATTTGATGGAAAGCACAAATTATTCCAAGCTTCTTTCACTTCATTAGAGAATTGAGAAAAAAGCATTGAGGGAATTCACACAGCTTCAGAGGTGTTAAATAGTGTACACACTTCAAGAGGCTCTAGCAGCATCTGATTACAATTTAAACTGGCAGTTACATTCATGAAATTGAGAACATAAGTGTCAGTACACATATACTTTCTATTTACAGCTGGCTGGAAGTTTTTCAACAAATTTGAAAAGCTCTGAATGCTGATACAAATATTTATTCAAAATACTCAGGTTTGTAGGCTGGGTGGGGTGAGGGGTTTTCATTGGTTTGCTCTGCTTTTTGTCTAAGACTTGATTTTCATCCAGAATTTTTGTTTTGTCCCAACTGGAGAAGTCTGTTCTGAGTTTCATGTTTCATTTTAACATGAGACTAAAAAATTCTCTTTGAGTGGAGCAATCCATTCTCCTATTTCATAACTCTACCTTTATGTTTCATCACTGAAAGGATGTACATTGCTGCAGGATAACAGTTTACCATGCAAAAAAGTAATTGTGTCAATTCTTTCTACATCCCAATAGCATTTAACGTTATCAAATCAACATATCACACAAATTTTGTATTACAGATGTGGAATCCCATGCAAAGAATTGAAATCTGCTGATAGAAGGCTAGAAATGTTGGGTGTTTGGGGGTTTTTGTCTGTTTGTTTGTTTGTTTTACTGCATAGGAAGGTTGAGTCATCAAGGTTGGAAGAGACTTCAGATCATGAAGTCCAACTGTCAACTGAAACCCCTAAACCTCTAAACCACATCACACAATATCAGGTGCCTCTTAAACACCTCCATGGTGGTGGGATGGTGACTCCACCACCTCCCTGGGAAAGCTATTCCAGTGCCCCACCACCTGAACAGTGTAAACATTTTTTCTGATATCTAATCTGAATCTCCCATCTCAGATAAAGGGCATTGCCTCGAGTCCTCTCACTGCAGGCATGGTAGAAGAGACCAGCTCATGACATTTAGAGATCCACATAGGATGGGAGCCTATTTGCTTGATGGTGCAGATGCTAAGGGATCTGACTGCTAAGAGAAAAATACCCAGCAGATTTGAACTAGAGAACTCTCAACATATAGCATGTCTGGATTCCATGAGAAGGGTGGTAATATGCCTGCACCTCTTGTTTCACTTCCATTTGAAAGATGAAAAGAAGCTCACCTAAAACAGAGGCTTTTTAAGAGGAAAAATGTGACTGCTCCCAGGATAAAAAACAAGGAATGATCTTTGCATAAGAGAAGCCACTAGTGGCTCACAGGTGGTGCTCTCCTCTGGACAATGGTGGCAAAAAGAGAGGCTGATTATTCTATGAATGAACCCTTAAGGAAACCTTTAAAGAGTTCATCCCTAAGGACAGAAAAAGGGAAATCAGGACTCCTGGAATGTACTTGTTACCAGGTATTCTGGATAAAATATTTTCTTGGGCACAGTCGATCACTAGGGGAAAGAGACATTGAGGAAAGTAAGAAAAACACAGTAGTGGCTGTCCGTACTTAAATTCTAGTTATTCCGTCAACTTCTGAATCAGCCAAAATCCAAGGAGAGGTAAAAAGAGGTAAAGGAAAACCTTAGGAGTCCTGCTGTGGCTCCCTCACTGCATGTCACAACAACATCCACATGCACAGCTGTGCAGGCTGCAGCCAGCCCTGAGGCAGCCAGGTGAAGGGAGCCAGTGCCCAAGGGCCAGAGGCTGCTGTGCCTCTCCGTTTCACTCCTTTACTCTCTCTCAAAAAAATAACTGCTCCAACTCTGCCAGACAAGACCCAGGCAAGAAAACTAATGAAGATGAGAGTCAAAGCATTCCCACATTCCAGTGAGTTCAACACCAAGTATCCCTAGGTACCACCTCCGCAATCTTTCAGCAAAACACAGATATGCTCTCATGTAGACTTGGCTATAATTCTGACTGTCTGACTTAGGAATTAAGAGAGGTGTCTGATGGCCTTGCAAGTGAAGAGTTTATGTGGATCAAGCTGACACCAGCTGGTGACACCAGGCACAACAGAGCAAAACTGACACAACAGAAGAGCAAGCACTGTGTATGCTATGGGGGATATTTTCAGCAAGGGAGTTCAGCAGAAGCACAGAGAAAGTGATCTGAAGAGGAGTACAAAGGCAGCTCCTCATAAAGACAAATGTTCATGTACATAATTGCACATGCAAAACAAGAAGAAGTGCTGAGCAAGGTAGTTCTATTGGGCTGGGCTGCAGCAAGTGCAAAAACACAACATGCACCTTTTGCATGATCCTTCTCTTTCTGGAAGACGTCAAGAGCTTCAAGAAAACTGGCACAGTAGTTGCCCCACAGCTGCAAACGGGTAGAGTGAAGCAGGGAATGAGTAGAAGCATCTTCCTGCCCTAAGTGAGGTATTTACAAGCACAGGAGGCATCCAGCTCAGATTGTAGTAATCTCAAAGAACAATGACTGAAAGGGCACATCAAAATTCTTGAAATCAACTGAAAATGAGCTGTTTTCATTCAGGTTAAAAGTAAAAATGAAATGTTGCTTTTCAGCCTGGTTCACAACAAAACAAATCTGCATTACCCTTAGAAACAGCAATCATGAGAGTGCAATCAAGCCAAGGGAAAAAAAATCTTAATGCTGGATGAATACATAACACAGATATTTAAACATACCTAACCACACATACATTCAAATACAGCTTATTTAAAGCTGTGGTCCAAAGCAGAAACTGCAACTGTTTAGCCATTTTTAATCATAATTTATCTTTCCTCAGGAAGCAAATAACCCAAAGCATTAAAGCATATATACAAATACATTGAGTGAAACTTTCAAATTCATCAAGTCTTCTGGTCAAAACCTTGTGACAATCTACCCAGGTTATATTTTAAGCAGACTATTTGTCCACTTTCTGATTTACAACCCAAACTTGCATACATCTTCCCCTAACTGAGATGAGAACGCAGTTCAAATTCAGAATAAAATATTAAACAAACCTCCATACTGAGTTGTGCCAACTGTGCCTTCTCCCACAGGCAGCACTTCCTCATCTGAATAGTAGTTTTTCACTGCAACTTGTATGGCATAACTTGAAAATGGCTGTAGGTTCTCTAAGACAGCAATAGGACCCTGATATTCCTGTAAGTCAAAATCAGATCATATACATACATTCTTAGAAAAGACAGTCATATGTCAACCCAATCATCTGTCAGTGAAACATAGGGTTAAAAAATAATACAGTAATGGTTTTGCATTGTAATACATTTTAGTGTTTAAACAAAAAACTTAGAATCACAGTTTTGGTAGTATGTCCTTAAAGAAAAGAAAGCACATACCAAAAAACAAGACAAAAAGTTTGGGGGGCTCTTGCACAAAGGAAAACTAAGGAAACTACCACTTACCAAATACCATAGAGAAAGAACAGTTACTGTTGGGATGTAGAAATGGAAAAAGTCGATGACAGAAAGCTACAGAATGTTTCATAAAATCACTAGAAGTGACATTACTGTTTATAGATGATATCACATTCACTTCTGCGTGAAGTAGCCATACCAGTATTGTTTGCTGTGGAGCAGACAAACATTGTCTTGAGTTCCTGCAGATGTTTGTCATTTGTCTGGAAAATACCAGGTATGTCGGTGTGGGCTGGGATATGCCAGGGCAGAGCTGCTGTGGTGTGACAGATGGCAAGCTTAATATAAAACTGGTGTTAGTTGTAGCAAGGATAGTAGGTTTCTCAGTGTCTGGCAAGAGAATCAGGCATCTTTTATCTAGGAAAGACATTAAAACATTAAAAATTAAAATTATGGCTGGACCAACCTAAACTTGCATGGGATTCTGCTGCTATTCGTATGGGAAAGCATAACTACAAAGTATTCTTTCTGCTCTCACAAAGAGAAACAAAAGAAAATTCCACCTGAAACTACTTTATTTGATTACTTTCATGGACACAAAAGTAGTGGTCCTCAGAGAAACTCTTATTTCTCTTTGACAAGATACAACTTTAATAAATAATTTAGGTTCTTCTTGATGTAGAAGATGTAGTTTCTACAATTTGCTACATCTTTGTAGATGTGTAACTGCTGTGTTGTCAGGGCAGCTCATATTGATGAGCCCAAACTTGCCTGTCATGGGAAAGACAGATATGCTGCATAGACATTGCCTTTCTCTAGCAATTAAATGTTATCTGCTTTTTCTTCCAAACAGCTTTCCATGTGTAATGTAACAACAGATAAGGAGAGAGAAATCTGGGAGGTAGAAAAGGAGTTGGAGGGAGAAAACAATAGAAAACTACACTGACAGTTACGGAAAAGTAACAAAAGAAAATTCCTCATTGCTTGGTGTACTTTCAAAAAAAAAATAAAAATATATCCTGCTAAGAAAGAAGACATTTAGGCATGTGCACAGGGGAGAAGGGATGAGGACCAATTCTTGCCTTTAGGCCACAACAACTGACCTCATAGTTGATCTTTTCTTGCAAAGTGAGCAACCCTGCCATTGCTACCAAAGTCAGGTTCATGCATATTCCTCCAAATGTATTTGCAGCTGTCAATGTAAATTAGAAAATCTCCATGGGGATCTCTGGATAGAAATAATCCATTTGGACTGAAATTTGGTTCTTCCCTTTCTGCACCAGCCAAGCCTGGGGCTCTTGCAGGAAACCCTGTCCCTGGGGATAGGGATTGGCACATTCTGTACCAGGGCCAAACCAGGCTCCTACATCAAAGCCAAGCCCACACAGATCTCATGAGAATAAACATGCCCAGAGTGTTGGCAAGAGTAGCCTGAGCATTGGTCAGAGCAGCCACAGGCAGGCATGACTGTACCAGCTACTCAAAAGAATGTGAAATTTTTTTATTCCAAAGAAGTTAATCTTGTTAAAATATTCATTTGCATATTTACCAGGTTTTTTATGCAAAATTGGAGTTCAATAATTATTTTGAATATATTCATCATGCTGGTAGCTGTTCTAAACCTCTGCATTTACAAAGATAATCCATATAGATACCATGAATCCTAATTTTCTATTAAAACTAATGTTTTATTTATTTCATTATCATTCTACAATGGTTTGTTTAAAATATTAGGAGTTTTAAGTGATGCCTGGGTCTACTATAATGTAACCTGTACTCTTGGGTACTTCATTATAAATCATGTTAATAAGCAGAGTTCTTATCTCTTTATCCTTGGAAGGACAGACCTTTGTTTTAGTTTTACAGACTTGTGAACAAACTCACAAATCTGTGTCACAACAGGGATCACTCGCTATCAAACTCTTGCTACAACACTGTGGAACATATTTGCTTTTTTCTGTGCTGCAACATGCACCACCTTTTCTAAATCTCCATGTCTGACACAACTTTGAAAATAAGCATAGTTTGGCATTAACAAACAGGGAAATACTCATCATTGTGACCTTCCACTCTATCCAACACAAGGCCAGTCCTTATATTCATTCTTTTTTAAATCTGAAAATTATTTCTCTGTAGAAGGTACCTCAACCCATAAAGCATACTTTACATGAATACACATCTGCAACTTAAATACATGCCCTGATAGAAATTGGTTACATTCACAAAACAACCCAAATCCCCTCTACCTGGATACAATTGTGCTGCTGAGCTGTAAGCTAAGATTTTCAGCATGTGGTTTGCTCTCTTGTGAAGAAAGTGTCTTCTGCTTTCTTTATCTGTTAGCCAAATTTCAGTGTATTCCTTTGTTTCAGTGGTCCAGAATATAAATTTCTTATCTGCAGTCAAGCTGCCAATTTTATTACCTGTAAGAAAACATTGCATATATAAATTTTATAGTCAGCTCTGAGCAGATGATTTTACAAGAGCTGAAGGGTGCTTGTATTCACAGTGAGTCAATATAGCCATCTTGGCCATACCATGTCCTCAATGACCTCACCTTGAGAAGAGATTTCTGATATTTTCCAGCAGGTCTCATGAAGCTAAGACACTGCTATTCCAGTTTACAGGTGTAGATTTGAAGGTGTTCAATTACCCATAATTATGAGAACTGCCATTCAATTGAAACACACAAGAAATAAAACACAAATGCAAGAGCTGTCTGAAGAAATTTTGTTCTTTTTTCCAAGATGAAAACCACCATGATCTGCCATCTCTCAGGAACAACTAAGACAGTTCATCTGGTAACAGAGCAGCTTTATCAGCGTGCCTCCAGAACTGAGCTGAAAACTAGCAACCAAGAATGTTATCACAGGAAACGAAACATGGATAATTTGTCATACAAGACCCTACCTGCATGAAGTACTTTCCCCACATGATGGAGTCTACAATGCTATTTTCAGGCATAAGTTGTTATTATATCTTTTCATTGAGATAAACTGCAATAGGTGTAGCTAATACAAAACCCTAGCAAAATAATATGATAATATTCTAAGTGAAATCTATTGACAAGTAGCACTTGAGGCCATAGCATTTCTTTTAAATCTTACTAGAATACACACTTGCATCAGTAAACATCTTCACACTGCTCTTCTAGTCCATATGAAGAGGGTATACAACTGGAAACACAGAACACAAACATTTTGTCCATATTGGCTATAGATGAATCAGTTCTATAAACAAAGTGCTTCATGAATGTTATTTTCTGAAATGAATGTTTTTTGAAGTAAGAGACAAGAAGAATCACAAACTACCTAGAAAAATAAAAGACACTCAGACCTTGAATACTTGGTATTCTGATGGTTCTCCAGCAGTGGCAGCCATGCACATCTGAGGCCCATATTTCATCTCTTCCTCTGATGAAAAGCAGCTGGGGATTTTTGGAGTCAGACAGATCTATACTCATAGGTTTTCCCAGCTCTGCTTCTGTGACATTACAGGTGCAGTAGTTCCTCCTCTGTTTTTCTATTAATCCATGTCCCAAGATGTGGTGCACAGTGTTGTTCAGAATATCATAATAAAACACGTGGCTGCCATTATCAAACTCTTCCATCCAGTACAAGCGGCTATCAAAGAAAATGCACTGCTTTCAGTAGGAAAACTTCAACCTGACCAATCTAAATGCAATCCTAATCTGACACAATAACTGGCTATTCTGAATAAAATGGTTACTGTAAAAAAATTTTTTGTCTGGTGCTGACTTTCATTTGCATTACTCGTATAGAAGAACCTATCAGTATTTAAGCATAATTTGAAATTTTTACTCAAACACAGATATCTCTTTGAAATTAGATACGTACAAGCTCAACTAGCGGTACTGAAGTGGCACTACATCCAAAAATTTCTGAGTTACATAATGCCAAAACCCATCCACCAAAAAAAGTCGTTTTCGGTCCTTAACAGTTCAAGTTTTAATGAAAATCATGTCTAAAATTGGCTTTAAAAAAAAGGTATTAGTAGTATGTGTCTTACCTTAAGAAAGGATATGACAACAGAGATGATACAGTTGAATTACTTTTGCTGAGCTGCTTGTTCAAGGCTTTTAGAGATTTTTTTTTGAGCTCAAGATCAATGAAAAATATTTGAGTTTCATTCTGTGGTGTTTTCAGGGCAACAAAGAGATGCCTTGCAATCCAGTCAACTGTGATGGCTGTGACATTGTGAAGATGTGCATCTTTGAAAAACTTAAGAAAAAAAAATTAAAAGGGCAGAATTTTCCAACCTGATGTTAAGACATTATGAAAACCAATTTGTTTCTGAAAGAAAAATGTCTGCTTCAGAAGTAGAAGTCAAAATGCAAAGATGTGTCATGGATTGGAAATATTTTTAGACAAACCAAAACAATTGTTTCACAAATATCAATTGTTGCTTCCATATTCTTGAAATTAGAATGATGTAAATGAAATAAAATTAAATTAAATGTGATACAAATATACATTTCTTGTATTTACTAGTATGAATTTTAAATTGAACATCTGATAAAAATATCAGCATAGCAGATGGCAGTAAACCATTTATGATTAATAGGACAACTTTAACAATGGCATACTCTGGTCATATTTACTTTTTCAAAAACACAGTTGGCCATAAAATATTGGAAATAATGGTGACATAATGATCATTTTCCTAGATTCTCTCAAGTAAGGGAGTGACCAAAGGAGTACCTGAAACATTGAAGCATTCTGTATATCGAGAATAAAAAGAGAATCTTCAGTGATATGGTATGCTTTGTCATCGTTAGCAGTATAACAGATGTCCTTTACATTCGTCTTGGCTGAAAGTTCCCAGATGGTATGACCACTGTCTATGTCAGTAAGAAACAACTTGCTGGCAGAAATAGTTATTAGAGTTGGGACAGGGAAAAGATCTGGAAGGAAAAGGGCACAGCTCAATTAACAAAAAAAAAAAAAACCATCCCAGATAAACACAGTCGTTCATAAGGAAAGCAAGTGCAAGATACAAATAAATTATGGGTCTGAACTTATTGTATTTGCAACAGTAAATAAATAATGAGATGCCCTCTTGTCATCACAGTCAAACTACTAAGATATTTTCAGTGGCATTGTGCATGCTCACCTAACAAATTTGAGCAGAGTAAAACAGACTTGCTCATTTAATTAGCTTTAACAGCCAAACTAGAAATATATTATGATCTATAGCAGTAAACAGGTTACAGGTAAAAACCTACTGTTCCATGTTAACCTGGAGTTGCACAAAAAAGCCAATTTAGCATAGTTTTGAGGAAAGGCTTGAAATTCCCAAAATTTAGTCAGATGATAAGGAATGTGTTAATCTTTCGTATCAGAGGATGTAACCATTTCCCCCATTGTGTCTGTTGTATGTTACATAAAATGTTGGAAGCTATCTATCAGATTGCCAAATTCTTGTACTGTCATTTCACCAGCTATTTCACACAATGAGATGGCAACTAAATCATCCATACCTGATGAATTCCTCTCTGCCATATCAGACAAAGGTCCTGGACCTACAGAGGTGAAGGCCTGCACCTGTGGGGCAGGAGATTTATACTTGTGTTAGCTAACAGCATAAATGACTGCATTTGAGAGCCTGTAGAGTCAATGGAGACAAAACCCCTGTTTGCTCATCTAGGAACATAAGTCTGTGCTCTGTTTGACACCAGGCTGTGCTGGTCAGATGGGACTGTGGCTATGAAGAGAACTTTAGCCAGTGGCCCAGAGGCTGACAATCCCTGCTGCATCTAACAGTTAGAGCTCAAAGCACTCCAGACAGTCTTTTTGTTTCCTTCCCCAGACTGGAACAATTGTTGACCTTGCAACCAACGTGGTTGTTCTCCCTTATTAGTATCTGGTCTATTATATGCTCTCTTGCTTTTAACTTGTCTTTCAAGCACACATTCTGTCTCTTCCAAAAGTCTTGTCCCAATGAACATATGACTTCTTGACAAGTTTTGAACTGGAAGTCTCTTTCCACGGAAGTCACATGAGTCCCTGAATTTCTCAAGCTGTGGCTCTGTTCAAAAGGCCTCTGACCCTCCACCAGATCATTTGAATCTGTGTTCAACTTGCAGTTTCTAGCAGTGGCTCTAGAAAAGTTTCTTTTGGGCTTCACTATTTAGTGAACAACATGATACAAAGAGAGATTAAGCCAGGTATCCACGGGTGAGTCAGCAAATCAGTTCTACAAGCAGAAACCACAAGCTCTTGCCCCAAGCCAAAAAAACATCTCCTAGGCAAACACATCAGACTGCACAGATAACATCTAACATCTAGCACGAGACAGGCTCAGTAATTTTACATACCTGAAACCTTACTGTGAGGTTGGGAAGCACATCCTTGAGAGAAAACTGCATCTGGGTGGGTTTAACATTGCTTTCTATCCACTCCATGAAAGTGCCAGCAGTACTGCTCTGATTCACTAGCTGATAGTAAACTCTGAACTGCAATAATATTCCATTATCCCTTTCAGGTCTGTCCCACCTGAACTCCACGAGGACTTTCCCATCACTTCCATGTAGGTTATTTTGTAACACATATATTCTAGGGTTCCTAGGGGCTGAAGGAACTGTATAAAAAAAACAAAGATAAAATACACAAAACAAAATACTCCTGTTAAAACATAAACTCTACACCATACCTAACTGTATAGAAGATTATCTAAAACTTAATGGTTATTCCTTTCTGCTTTTCATTGATATGAAGCTATCTGATTTTAACTTGCCTGGCCAAAATAAAGAGCTGTATAAACAGAAAAAATACACTCCTGGACTGAGATTGGTACATATATATTTAGCTAAGTCCTGTGTGTAACTATGGGGCTGTAAAAATTTTCACAACAGAGAGCATATTCTATTCCCTCTCCTATTCACTTCAAAATCTACTGCATCTCATAAGCTTTCTCAGTGCTTCAGTCTCAGTCACTCAAGATTAAATTTTAGCTAACTTAATTTTGACATGCATAAGAGCAAAAATAAACACTGAAGCAAGAGTAAAATGTGCATAACATTTTTTTTAAATCTACTAAGTAGTTAAGATATTGCATGCAACCTTTTGTGTTCATTGTAATGAATTCAGTTTCTCTCTCTTGCTTGTAGTTACAGGCACATGCTGGATATATTGTCCTGCATTTTCTGTTCTGAATTCAATTACTTCAATTGTCTGCATTTATGTATGCAATAGATGATTGCCAAAGATACTCAGAAACATGTCCTTGCAACACTGCCTGCAGCTAACTAGCTCTGAAAGCTGCTCATCCTTCACCAGGGTTTCACTTGCTGACATTGAGTTGCTCCCAGTACCCATTACACATGAGGAACAGGATGCAAAATTTTAGTACCTCCTTCAGGGGCCCGAAGGGATACAGATGTCATTGGTGCCTTGCCCCAGTATGTGTACGGAGTGACAGTAAAATCAAAGAGTGCAAATGGTTCCAGCCAATCCACTCGGTAGGATGGCACTGTCAGATTATGGGGGGGAAGGCATCCTTCACTCTCCAGAGGCTGCAAATGAAATTAAACAGAACAAAACGCAAGATTTTTTTCCTGCTCAAAAGGACTTCAGATTTCCAAAATTCCCTCACCAAACTGGTCACCTAAATCAAAACACAGCTTCTCTTCCTGTGAGTGGTCATTGTTTCACCAGCTCCTGTGGCACTGTAGTGATGGATAGTGATTGCCAGCAATCTGCCCTTTGAACTTAAAGTAAAGCTTGCCAAATGCACTAAAGGGGGGATGAAGGCTAGATTTCACATTCAGGTAAAGCCTGTCCCACTGCCATCTCACAGGACAGTTCTTTCTCTGAGTGAGAGGTTTTCTCGTGAATATTTTGATCACTGTGATCTCCTTGCCTGGCTATTCACATTCCAGCCACTGGCTCAGAGCCACTGCTGGCTGCAGTGATGGAAAAGCTGGACAACTTGCATTGTGTTTGCAATTTAGTTTAGTTCTTGACCAATTTGTAAATACCAGAGAAGAAACAAACTCCATTTCTTTTTAAAAATAGATGTATCGGCAAGTAGATGCAGTAATATATGTAGATAATACAGAGGGATTGCATCAATATCCTCACTTGTAGAGCTTTTGATCCCACGCAGTAAAAGACAGTTCCCCATTCCACCTTTGTGGATGGACTCCAAGTGATGTGGAAGCTTGTGGAATTTCCTTTAACTCTGAAAGAAGACTCTGGCACTGAATCCGGAATCACTTTTGGTGTAGAAGTAAAATTTCCTGTCCATAAACACAAGAAATAATAATAATCTAAGGAATGTGAGGAATAGGTAGACTATTCAAACAGAACCTAGAACATGAAAGTAAGCCAACATTAAATAGAAGCAATAAATAATAAAAACTCATATTCTTTTTATCTATACATATACCATCAGCTTTTATAATTGCACATTATCCTGATATATTTATCAGGTGATACATATATACATGTATTGGGTGTATCCTGATACATTTATTAATAAGTTATTAATATATTTATTAATAATTTGCTCTTATCCTTATCTCTTGTCAAATGGCTAAAGAATTTCAAGAATGAAGAACTGCAGGCTGACAATGAATATCTTGACTGAGGAGTTTAGAAAAAGAAAATAATGTACCTGGCAAAGGTTTAAGTGATGCCTGAACAAGGGTAAAGGCTGTAAACTGTGCTGGTTGTGAGAAGGGAATGCTAAGGCTCTGATTGACTTCCTGGACTGTAATGAACTGAAGCCTATTAATCCAGAACAGGCGACCACTGTAGTATTCCAGTGTACCTTGGGATATTTCTGAAGTACTCCATGCTGCAAATTCCGTGATGATGGCATTACTACAACTGTGGAAACATGTATGAAATTAGCAAATTGATAGCCCACATGTAGAGGGAACAGATTTATGCAACGTTTGACATATTGTTAAGTTTCTTATTATTCAAATTCTTAATACTTATAATTCAAATTCTAAAATGTAGGAGGCAAGAAATCAAATAATTTTTTTTCTTTAAACTCTTTAAAGCAGAACACTTTTCAAAATACGAGACAATGAAGAAAGAAGAAAAAGGCCTTCATTCCCTTTACTTCATTGGAAAGCAATTATAAAATGGTTTCAAATTCTGCTGCATAGATACAGAAAATTGAGTTTTTTGAAAAATCAGCCCACCTTCTCTCAGCAATTCCACTGAAACAGTGAAGTCTACTTCAGAGCATGAGGTTCATTCTACTTCACTACATCAGGAGCCCAGATTTATTTGACTCTGCTAGTTTCCTTCCATTATGTACTAAGATCCATTAACATTTTTCCTCACTGGGATCACTGGTGATTTAATCTGCCTTGTATATTGTATGTCAAAACTTACAGGCCTTTTTAGGTTCCAATTTATCTTGGTAAGAGATTAAGTATGTTGTAAGAGGTGTCATTTTGCCATCTCAGAAATGTCTTTGAGCTTAGACACATTTCATACAAAATAAATTTGGAAAAGCTTTGACACACTATCAGGTCCATTAGGATGGATCATTTCTAATCTCTGTATTCTGGCATGCCAGGGACAATGATTTATGGCTGCCAATTGGTTCATAATGGAGCTCCAGCTAAAACTAATCAATATATTTTGATTCTTTAATTGTTCACTATTAATCATAGCAAGTCTAAAGCCAGTCTAGAAAATTCATCTGATTCCACACAAACCCAGCCTGCAATATTATGGGCACATGTAAATACAGATGCTGTTCAATTAAGTTTAAGCAGTTTAATCTGATGCTTGAAAAAAAAAATAATATAATCACATTCTCCACATGGAAGTGAGCAAAAACATAGTTTCACAAACTACTATGCATTATACACTTTGCATTTAGAGAAAAAACATCATTTTTCTCAAGGCTTTAGTGTATAATCAAGCTAACCCATAACATTGTTCGCTATGTTTTGTCTTATTAAACTTTGTCTTTCTGGAGTTATGCAGCCATTTCACGTTCAGGAGGATCAAGAGGAAAGCCTGCTGAGTACTGTTTGCTCAGGTGAGAAAGTGGTGTCAGTTCAAGTCCTGAGATTCATGAAAGATGAGCCAGTTACAGAGCTGCAGGCACTTGGAAACTGTCAAGTGTTGTAAATGCCAAGATAAAACAGACAATAAGCAGCAATTATTTCCTAAAGCTAAGTCTAAAAATTGATGATCATGACCTCAGTTCAGGTCACCAAGGCTCCATACCTTGTTTCTCTCACTGTAAAACTGTGTTACCAACCACCACAATATGTAGTTTGCCATCAGCTAGCTGTGATCATTAGCTCTTCTTTTTGTTTATTGTTAAATTAGTAAATAGTGAGCCCAGCACTGGACAACATTTTTTTTCTTAAAGTGTATGACAAAAACTAGATAATATGTTTGCTATATGTTTACTTACCCTTCTTTGCAGAGAGAAGCTCTGTACAGGTTTAAATATAGACTGTCTCGCACAAGCCAGTAAAGAAAACCATAGGTGAGATCCAAAGTTATACCAACCACCTAAGAAAAAAACAGTCCAAATAGCAATTTGAACACATCTTCACTTCTGAGATAAGAGCCCTTAGGCATAACAGTTGTCTAGACAACATGAGTACCTTTTTATTGGCAAAAATAGAATTACTACCATGAATTTTTATTCTAAAACAAAAAGAGATAGGACTAGAAAATAATCAGGTCCTTGGTGGACATCTATTCATAGCAGCTGATGGTTTTCTAGATAGCATTTTTTAAACATCTGTCACAGAGTTCATCCCTGGAGTATCTGAGTACCTCAGATATGATGGCAATAGCATATCAAGTGCTTAGTGGAACTACCTATCAAAATCTTCAAAATACCTCTGGTATTTCAACATTCTTTGTCTGAAACAGGTGGGTGATATCCAGTCTGAAAGTCAGAATCACCTTTTGAAAAAAGCATTTCAGGTCTTTTGTCCTTGTTTTCCAGCTTTGATTTTATAAATAAACAGTTAAAATATTGCATTACTTATGGAAAATAGATGCAAAATTTTAATTCATTTATTTGATTAAGCAGGAAATTTGAATATTTAAATTTTTGTAAATAATTTATTATTAAATAAAGTGGGGGAGGAAATTAAACAATCTTCCTGTTCATTACTTCAATGTTTCATCTTCCTTTAAGGGAGGTGAAAGATTTGCTCTTTCTTTTTAATAGGTTTTAATATTCAAAATAGAGTTTTCTTGTTTCTGCAGTAAACAACAGATTCAATACCATATGCAATAGCAATAAAATCAGATATTTAATAATCTGTTCTGTGAATAAAAAAAGAATTTGCTTCCATAAGTTAGTCTGCTAAATGTTATCAAGTTTAGTCTATTTTATATCATTAGCACAGCTAACAAGTTGTTTGGGGCCTCTCTGAACATGTTTTCCAGCAGCTCTCAAACTTCTCATGCAAACACTAGTCATAACTATTCTCTTATAAGATTAAATTTCCATTATGTATGTAAGTGGAACAGCCTTTTTTTTCCCTAACTCTTCATTAATAAACTGCAGAAGATGATGACAGGAAAGCAAATGCTATATCACTTAGTTGTCTGTTGCTCCTTATGTAATCACATTCTTGACATATTTCTGTTGACATTGTATGTCAGAAAATCAAGGTTTGAATGATTGCTCCTGTAGGTTGTCCTGTTAAAAATATCTCACAGCGTGTATGTGCCCAAGTGTATATTTAGTCAGCCATGCTATATTTTATCCCATTTACCTATTCTCCCTCCCATGCTCCACACTAAATGACATCTTCCTGAATTTATGTTGCTTTTTTGAACATTTGAGTCCTTCTTCCTTGCCCCATTTCTTTTTTCTGCAGCTATTACATTTTCCTATAGATGTGTCCATGTTCTTTATCCTGACCCCCTGTATCATCATTATTAAAAGGCAAATAAATGTTTGTACTATTCATTTTCAGGAGTTAGGCAGCAGTTTAACACCACCCTTCTGTGATGCTTCAAAAACAGGCAAGCGCTTCCCAGCTTATGAAAGGTACTAGTTTCTGGGCACGACATGTATTTGTGATGGTGCACTGTAACTGAGCATCATGAGATGCAGGATAAACTTAGCTATTTGAAATACCCTTTGACTAAAAATATTGAAATCACACCAAAAGGGTCCTGGCCCCACTTCCATATAATGCACTTTGCTGCTCCCTTATAAAAATACTTTTGTTCTAGTCACACTGTATAGTGTAAACAACTTACTAAGAGCTTTGGAAATTCTATGCCAGATCCTAAATTGGAATAAATCAGAGGAGCTCTGCTCAAATCAATCAAGCTCTGCCAATACACACCAGCTGAGCTAAACAACTGATCAGAAAATAAAATAATTGCCATAGAAGGATTTGGTTCCTGCCAAAGAAATTAGACTTTCAAAGCTCTGTATTTGTTTAGGAAACCTGCCATTTTTACAGTAGGTTCTTCTATTCCTATTCCTAGCAATCAGATTTCAAGCTAAAAGGAAGTACAGCTACAAACTGCTGAAGATCCAGCTGAACAGCAATTCTTTATTAGAAAAACATATGGTGAATACCAGTAAGAACCACTTACACAGAGAACATACTTTAACTGTTGGATAACAGCAATTAACTATTACATATGTGCTTTATACTGAGGTAAGACATGTTCTTTTCAGGTAAAGGACTTCATTGTGCAAGGAAGATACATAACGGTACCTGTGCAAAAATATATTTGCTTCTTGATATTGAGACAATAACAACCAGCTCAACAATTCCACCATTACAGAAAGTTGTGCTGTCCTTTTTTTTCCTGATAGTTTTATTCTGAGTTTTATTTTAATAAAGAAACACCTGTCAGCTACAACTGGTCACTTCTCAATCTAGACATTTCTACTTGGCTTTTTGCCTGTGTGCATCACAGCAGGAGGCTGAGTTCAGAAGTCAGTGCACAGATTAGGGCAGCAGAGAAGCAGGAGAGGAGATGTTTGTTTGTAGGAGGTGTGAATAAGTGAATGGTTGAAGGCTGGTATCACTGACATAGAGAAAGGTGCAGAAAAAAAAAATGACAGGACCAGACAAGCAGTCCTACTGTTGGCAAGGTTCCTGAAAGCAAGAACAAGAAAATTGAGGTTAGCATAAGGCGATCCAGAGAAGCAAGTAGAGAATCAAAAGAAAAGGGCAAGGAAGTTGAGGTTTGCCACTTAGAATCAACTGGAACTTGTCAGTTCTTTGCCATAGATCATCCAGAGGATATGCGCTAAGTCCAAGTGTGCTGCGGAGCCTGGACAACATATGTCTTTCCATGGAGACAGTCCACACCAGCCAGCTTCCACAGAGAGACAGGGAAGATAGATTGGTCCTTTACAGCACAGACCTTTCTCTCATGTACAAAAGTTTTGCAGTTTCTCTGTATGCAGCATTACAAGTATAGCAGGTGGCACACCAGAACCTGCCTTCCTTCTTCCCAAGCCCTCATGGAAGTGAAACACCTGTGAGATTAGCTGGCCTGTCAGAATATTAGTTCCCTTTCATGGACTAAACTAGGCCTGGCTTTTTTTTATAATCACAGAAACACCAAATTCTTTTCTTTAGGGAAAGGAAAGTTAAATGTTCTGGGGAATGATAAAAAGCTAACTAAGAGAGATAGATCTCTAAAACTGGAAAGGGTCTTTAATGGACAACCTGGCTTCAGGTAAAATAGGACTACAATTTTTGTGACAGGTGGAATAAAAACAAAGGCTGTGTTTTGGAGGGAGGTAGGGAGGTATATGTTTGAAATATGAAAAGACAGATCTTTTTATGAGGAGAATACTCAGTCTCAGAGTTCTTCCATTGTGTAGGCAACACCAAATTCCACCTACCAAGAATGAGGTCAAATCTCACGTGGTGGCAGAGGCAGGATGGGTTTGGAGAAGATCACAATGATCTACAAGGAGCCAGCAGAGAACCAAGTTTATAAGAGACTTGATAGGACATCAGAGAGGAGTGAATGTACAAGAATGGCAGCAGAGAGGTCAGCAGAAATACAGAGGTTGTCTGTGCAGGCATCACAGCATAACAAAATGTCTCCAGGTAAGAAAAGGGAGCTAATGAGATTCCACATATACTACAGGATCTTCGGTGAGCTATTGGTGGAACTAGCATGTCTGTTTTCCCTCTTCTTTCTTCTTCTGCCTGGGACCCCTTCTCCACCCTAATACAGCTAAACAACAATGTTCTGTCCCTTTTTTTCCCCTGTGCTGCCCAGTGTCTTTACCCACTCTTGCAAGAAGCTTCTCTCTGAGGAGCTGCTCTGCTCAGCACCAGCCTCTTCACAGCCCTCTGGAGCTCCTTGTGAGCCTGGGGCACAGCAAGAGTGGCCAAGCTGGGACCAGGCCTGTGTCTGACTTGGGCAAGGGATAAAGACAGGATGGGGAAGGAAGGAGAGCCTTGACAATCCTGAGGGTGTTGAACTTGCTGCTCCTGCCACCACATGAGGACAGGATCAGGCAGGATGAGACTGCTGGGGGCAGATGTGGCATCTTTGCCAGCACTGTTGTAGCAGCAGCAGCAGTAAGCTGTGCCAGGCTGCAGCAGGGGCAGATGCCATTCCCCCTCTCTCATCACCACAGGTAAAACCAGCAGCAGTAAGTTGTGCCAGGCTGCAGCAGGGGCAGATGCCATTCTGTAACAGATGCTGTTTCTGTAACAGCACTTCTGCAACCTCAAATGCAACCCTGGCAAGTGCTAAACCTCAAAACTGTCTTGTCAGGTCCTGTAAGCTGGGGGTCATCACAGCAGATGTCATTCCCCCTCTCTCATCACCACAGGTAAAACCTGTTTCTGTAACAGCACTTCTGCAACCTCAAATGCAACCTTGGCAAGTGCTAAACCTCAAAACTGGCCCTGTCGGGTCCTGTAAGTTGGGGGTCATCATGAAAGAGGCAGGATGCTGTGAAGCTCTGGATCCATATTTTGATGTGAAAGTCAGAAGTGACCATCAGACTTAAAATATTTGGAAAAAAAGAACCTTTCACATGTGGGAAGGAGCAGCATTACAACCACAATTTGACAGCTAATGAACACTGACTATATTCAAGAGATCTAAATATTAAAACACACACCACCCTTCCACCCCATCTCTCACAGAAAGAAAGAAAAGTAAAAAATCCATCACCTGTTTACCAGAAAACTGTAGCTGCTCTTGTAACATGAGGTACTCCTCTCCATTCAATCTTGTGCTCTCCACTGAATACATCGTGGCCCAGTACAAATAGCCATTTACTGAATCCACAACTAGATCCTTCACTGGGAACACAACATGAGCTACAACATCTATATGGCCTCCCCACAGTGATTTTCTGTAGATCTAGGGACAAAAGAATTTACTTTAGCATCACATCTAAATCATCAGCTGTGATCAGCTGAGTGTACATCAGTGACTTTTCCACAGCTGTTTATCAAAAGACTGTGCAAGCCTTCAGCTTTCAAAGCCTAAACTTTTTGCATTCAAAGTAAAAGGATGAAGAATAATGCAAAATTATTAGTTCATTTTTGCCAGAAAGTAACAAAAGAAAAAAGCTGAAATAGCTTTTTCCCCTTGCTTTCCCACTTTTGGCAGCCTTCTGTCTGACAGAACTTCTCACCCACTTCATATTCACTATTCACAAGTGTAAATGAGGGTGCAAGGCAGTGTGAAATCTGGCCTCCTAGCTCCAGTTTTTAAAACAGCTTCTGACTTTGCACTTACAAGAAATGAAAGGCATAATTTGACAGCACTGCATAAATTAGCACTACAATTTTGAAGTCAGATACCTTTTAAATAATTCACATGTCAGTGTTCCTGATATGAGAGTGTACAAAGTGCAATTGTAATTATTTTTTAACTGCAATGATCTACAAAATATCACAGAGCAGAGGTCAACCTTGAAAATCTCTGTGTAAACAAATAGTGCCAAATTTGATTAAAATAAAGTCCATCTACTTCCTGGCTGAGACCAATAGGGCAGCCTCCATTTTCACTATCTTCATTTATTTTCACAGTGTTGAATCCAACAAAGCTGTTGGTAACATGTTTGATTTGCCTGTTTTGCACCTGGTGAATTCAGTACCCTGCATTAGGGAATGTTAGTGAATATTTTACCCAAACTTTTGTATAACTGTGGAAAATCACTTAAGTAAAGAAAGGCCTCCTTGTTCTACACTATAATAGCAAAGGTCCAAAAGTATCTCAGGTTGCAAGAAGTAGGGATTATTTTCCCAAATACTGCCTTACAGTCCTTATTGTTGACTTAAGGGATTTTTTTCTTTTAAGAAATGCAGCTATACCTACTGTATTTGCTTTGCCAGCCCAATACAAGCATTGACCCAACCAATCAAAGGCCAACATCCTTGCATTTCTGACGTCAGATACATAAGTGTCCTCATTGGTAGCCTTTCTTTTGTTCAATGTCCAGGTCTGAACTTCCCCCATGGAATTAATCCAATAAAGAGTGTTATTATACCAGTCGAGGTCTTGAAGAAAGAAAGATGTTAATCATTACACAAACAAGTAAATAAAAAAAAACCAAAACATTGTTTTAAAGAATAAAAAGCAGTCAGGCACTTCATCTTTTTAAAAATCAGTACAAATGCACAATTAGGCTCAGCTAATATGAAGGTAGATGCTTCGTTGTAGGAAATAATGTACGTGTATTGTACATATATAACCCTGATTATTATAAATGTATAACATATATTGGGATGCTGGAGACAAACCTATTTAGTTCAGAGGGTTGATTTTAGCTCTGATGTCAGAATGGTTTCACTAAGGATTAATTTGACTCGTAAAATAGAAGAAAGGTGAGGAACCCAAAGTGTTGGCTCAGTGAAGCTGCTGTATTGCACTGCACAACATTCAAGTCTAGAGAACTCTGGTCTTTCAGTGCTTTTGGTGAAATTTATGGAGAGCTAACAAATGCCAAAAAGCCTGTAGCAGCAGCATACAATTTGTTTAGTATGTACCTGAAACATTTCTTATATGAGGATAGAGGAGTTCTCCTTGCCTGTAGCTGTCCAATCGCTGCTTCCAGAGACCCTCAGGGCCCACAGCCAGTATATATGGTTCTTCTTCAGCTACAAAGGAAGAAAACTGCAGTTGTGCACACCAACAAGCAATTTATGTTAACATTTGTATTTCAATAGCAGCAGTTCCTGTTCCTGGAAGGTTACAAAAGCATCTTTAAAACTGTCCCTGTCCTAAGCAAAAAAGGACAAAGAAGAAATGCATGAAAGTATCATAATTTGAGAAATTCAGAGATTCAGGGCAGCTTCAGATCCAGAACAATAAGGCAATTTGGAATCCTGTTAGATGCTGAAAAAACACTCTGGGTTGGTACCTGTCCTTTCCAATGCCAGGTAGAAGTCACCCCTAAGCCAGTCCAGCACCTTAAACTGGAAGCTATTTTCCCCTCAGACTTAGGTTAATTTGGTTGAATGAGGTTTCAAAAAACATTCCAAAGACATGGAAATATCAGACATTTCACACATCTCTATTTCCCCTGATTATCTATGCTCAAACCAAGGATTTTCAGCACTTGGTGAGCTGCACTTTTCCATGAATTGTCATTAACCCTCAGGGCATTGCACAAACCATTTCATCACAGAAAGTTCTTTACAGAGCAATGAAAAGGGATAACACCTCTTTTACCATATCAAATAATATTTTTGATGGAGTATTTGCATTAGAAAAATATAGGTAAGTACCAATGTTAATGCATATTTAATATGTCATATCATTATTCCAGTTTGAAAATCTTACTACTTTAAATAAAAGCAAATTTATTTATCCTGTGTTCTTTAATATTTCTAAGAAATACCTTTTTGTGCCCCTTATTTTGCAGTCTTTGCCCAAAGTGTGTGCCTCACTAGGTGGAAAGGTTTATACACATTTTGTTCTTCATTTTTCCCGTGTGACAAAGCAATTCTCACCTTCTTCTAAAGTTGTACCTCTAAATGACTCTGACCATGGCCCTGCACCAGCAGGAGACACAGCTCTGACTGACACCTCGTATGCTGTGAAGCTGGCCAGCTCCTTCACTGTAAGATTTGTGTTACTAACATTTGAGACAACCCATTCCTCCTCAAATGGGTGCTGAGGTGACACTTTCACATCATAGGTCCAGTTCTGCCAAGCAGATAAACCTGTGTGAAGCAAATAATCATGTTAGTACAGTATAAATGGTTGTAACTGGTGATACACATCCTGTGAGAAAGATGTATATTGGAGACTCCTTTCAAAAATGCCAATATCAGTGGAATTAGGAGAGGGATACATTAAAAATTTACACTTTTGCCCTCTAGCCCCATGCTTCAATCACCCATGAAGAATGAAATTAGAACAAAAATTTTCCCTGCCCAAGTGATTTTCTGGTGTTCAAAGACACATGCACAGAGGGCAGAAACCATAGCACAATAACTGATCAAAAGTCATTGCATCTCTGCCATGCATTTCCCATGTGATACCAGTACCCAGCATTACTGCTACTCCAAAACATACTTAAGATCAAGCTCTGTTTAAAATTCTTGCAGGGGGCATATGAGTTGCCAACACAAACTTGTGTTAATTTAGACAATTTAGCTCTTTTACTGACAAATTGGGGGCTACATTTTTGAAGCAGATTCTATAACTTCCATCAGGATCTGCTCTTGAAGTCACTAAAGCCCAAATCAAAAAAAGGGAAACCATAAAGTTACTTCTCTAGAAAGAAAATAAGTGGACCTTCAGGGATAATTGGCTGAACTTACTGGTTCCAATGGTGTGTTCAGGTGGTCTCCAGCTGATCACAGCTCGGTCCAATCCAAATAGAGCCATGACAAAGTGAGGAGCAGTTGGTAAAGGAAAAGGCTGAGTTGATGGCCCATAGAAAACCAAGTTGCCAATGCCAAAATACTCTGGGTACACCAAATTGCAGTCTACAATGTACTCATTGAAGCTAGAACTTCCCACTGGAGAGACCTCCTCATGGAAAACTGCCGAGCCATCTGTGACTGTAAATGTGTTGTCCTTATAAATGAAGCTCTCCATGTCATTAAATGGCACGTGTGATCTCAGTGTGTGAAACTCTGAACCATCAAGAAAACCTGACACAAAGGCCTGTTCTGTTTTGTTGAAGAAAATGAGTCTCTTAGATTGGAAGTCAATCGTGAAGGTTCTCAGAGCACTGGATCTCACCACCAGTGAAGCTGCAGAGGCAGTGCCAGGAAAGAGAGGAAGGTTTGCTCTGTATATGCCATCCTCCAGGAGACAGAAGATATAACTGGCCATAGAAAAAATAAGCCCAAATAAACACAGTGCAAGAAGTGTGTTGAGCCACAAATATTTTAGCAGCTAAGACATCTGCCTGTCTTTATGCACAATAGAAAAATGCTTTTGGCACTATTAGTATATATATATGCTGGGGAAGTAGACACATCAGTTTTTACCTTCTGGGAATTTGCATAGCACATTATTGGAGAATATTCTTCTATGATACTTTAAATGTTAAGCATGAACATTTAAAATTCATAGAGCTTCAAATTCATAAAAGCATGAAATTTCTGAAACTCAAATTTCTTATTGGAAAAGCTTTATCTCTTCTGCTAACACTCTAAAGAAGAAAATGCATGAAATAGTACTGCATGGCATGTCTCTTGTTCCAATTGTTTTGTAGCTTATTTGTTGCACTTTTGTTTTGTTAACTTAACTGCTTGAAACAGGAACCTAGATGACTAATGAAGTGGAGGAAATTAGAGAGGAGCTTTACAGCACCTTTGGCACCAAATGCTCACAGGAGTTCACTTACCCATTATAGGGATCAGCTATAATCTTCCTAGGGGATGTCACATAAAGAGGAGTGATGTCTTCAGCTACCGTGCAGTTCTCTAAGTGGCACACATGTATCTGGGGAATGAGAAGAAAAACGGGTGATGCATTCATAGGGTGTTTGCTAATGAGCAGACAAGCTGACCTGAGATTCCTTCAGGGCATGGAGAGAGTGAAACACCTCTCTCACAGTCCCAGGTCTTTCTGGGCTCCTGAGTGTTCAGCCAGCCAAGTGTAACCCTTGTGCACAAAGCTACAACAGCTTACCCTGAAGCTGTCTGTCATACCTCTAAGGTGGAGGGGAAATTGTATATCCAACTGCCTATACTCAATTTGGAGGGCATAGGCAAACTGTACTCTGAAAATTATCTGGCAGGGAAGGGAAGTGTATTTCTGGTTCTGGAAGCAATACTTAGGAATTCAGACATCTCTGCCATTGGTCTGTTCATCTACGGCTCATTTGTATCTTTTCATCACTACTGCTTTTCCTGTTCCCTGTACCCCTGTACAGTAAGCAAAAGATCAAATGTGGCAAGAGGATTAAAAAGAATAAAAATCCTCGATAACCATTATGGGTAGGTTTCTAGTCCTTTGTACATTAGAGGATTACATGGCTTCATGCAAAGCCTGACCATTAGTGTAACTGATGTTTTATGAGTAGGAAATCCAGTGCAGGGTTAATCTCCATTTTCACTTCAAACTGAAGCAGCTGTAATCAGAGCTGTTGCTATTGTATGAAACACTTAACATATTTTGTCAGTTATGACAGACACTAAAATCACTATCTATTTATCTGACCACCTTCCTGAGGCAGAGTAGGAAATGAACAGGGTAGATGGGTAACCAAGAGAAACAGTGTGCCAATACTAGGTATGAGGATGGTGTGAAGTCAGTCTCAAAAACAAATTAAAACCAAAACACTTATATCCTAAGGAATAAAATGAGGCAAGGAGCCAGAGTTCCACATAGGGTGTTTATTTTAAATATGACCTGATAGTCAAGCCTTTCTTCTTTTCTAAATTACTAAATATGTTAATGTTATATTAAAATATATTTCTATAATTATATTTTTGCATACATATCAATACATAAATCATATTTTTCTCATGTAAAATTAAGCATGCAATGGTTCAAATTAAGCAAGAAATTAATTAAGCACTAGAGCATTACCTTTTCATTCATGACAAAATATATCCTCTGGTAAAGCCAGTCTACTGAGATGGACACAATATTCCCCCAGCCAGCATAAAAGAGCATTAGGTCAGATACATCAGACATATTTGCAACTCCTTTCACCCAGATAGAATTCCCCTCAGAAAAATAGACAACTTGCTGATAAATATTCACAGAAATACCTAAAAACAGAAAGATATGTGCACACAGATAATGTAAGAAAGGTTTCCATTTTTCCTTGCCTTAAAAATATGTATTTTTCAGTCTGCAACCCATCATCATCATCATCAGAGAAAAGTTAACTGGTTTTTTCTTCTCACTTTTAGTTTTTCAGATAATAAGGAAACATTCCCATTTGCTATGTAAGAGACATTATTATAGAGAATTGCCCTTCAGAAAGGTAATCAAAGAGAAGACATGTAATATGCAAACCGACACTGATTGCCCCTCTACAGGTCAAACAGATGCAGCTGGCATCTCCTCACAAAGCACCATTCACTCTAGAATTCAAGTTTGAGATAATCTGTGCCACCTCTGCACTAGCAAAGCCTATTTAGCCAGGGGCAACATTCTTTCTCTGGAGCCTTTGCGGCTCTGAAAAATTTAGTAGATAAACTCAGATTTCCATGCTGTCACCAAAGACCAGTGCAGATAAGAAACATTGGAAGGTGAGTAATTTGAGATAACACGGTTATCTGGTGACTTTGGCTGCTAAATGCCTCATTTCTTTAGTATGCTAACACACTAGCACTATCTTTTAGCACTTGGTATTATTTTATTCAGAGGTTTGAAACCGCTTCATTTCCCCATATTCACATTGAGAAAAAGTAGAAATTAATCGCAGAGAAACGTGGATTAATCTTACCTCAATTTAGATACCTACAATGTAAAAAATGAACCAGCTGCCTAGATACAGTGAAGAAACAGTTACACTGGGGAAAACCATTTATCGCTTCCTAATGCCTGTCACTTCAAATACATCAAATCATGTCCTGAAAGTTCCTATTTCTTCTGATTGACTATAAAGGGAGACTAGACACTGTCTCAAGCTATGTGAGGTGCATTCTGTCCTTGGTATAAAGAGGTCTTAGTGACACTTGACAGAAAAAGAGAGAGCCCAGTCCAATTTTACCTGTGATGTTGTGTTGTATAGCACCATTTGGCAGGCACTGAGCAGCTTCGAGGAAATGTCCTGTGTATCTCTTCCTTAAAGACTCTTTTCTGGATAGGAAGAGCCATGCTGCTTTTTCCTTAACTAGCAAACAAAGAAAGTCAGATTTTAGATGACCACAGCACGTCGTTAACTCAGACACATCATTAACAGACATGCATGTGCACGTGTGCCCAAACGTATGTATGTCTGTAGGTATGAATACATTCTTACATTAGCAGTGACAGACCAAAACTTAAACTCTTTGAGTGCTGAAAGTATATGGAGTTATTCACCATTACAGTTGATTCTGGCTCCTTACACAGGGTGAGAACAAGCCATGTGAATTTCACACCATCATTCCTGCAACAATAGTCAGTTCCCTAGTGAGGAAAAGTAAACTGGAGCAAATGAAGCCTTACTGAGCCGAGGAAATGAAGGCACTAAGACATCAATGTGACTTCAAGACCCAACAGAAATAGGATATTTAACCCCTCTGGATTTCTTTGAAAACCCCAGTCAAACTAAAATATTATCCCATAGAGCTGGAGAGAAGCAAGGTGAGTATGTTTATTTCAGGTGTTATATTGTAATGATTAGTGATTTATTCAACAAACAAGTACCTATTACAGATAAAGATGATAGTGGGATAATATTATCTGTTTCAAAGGTGATAAACTTACTAATTTTTTTTTTTCCTAATAAAGTCACAGAATTTGAAATCAATAAGGATAGTTTTGGTCACAAAAACTGATTTCATGCTTATAAAGGTCCAAGTAATTTACATAAAAACCAATTCAGTAAATCTGTACCTTCTGTCTGGGCTATACATAGCCCTGGGAAAGATTGCTTGCCTTTTTTCTGAATCTCAGATCCTTGGAAATCTAGCACACACCCTGCTGAATTGATTGTTACCTTCCTTTTTAAAGATGGTGTATTATTTCAAGTATGATTTTGGCTAATTTCCATCAGCAAACAATCCTTCCCTTTTTTTTCTCCTCTTCAGCTTAAGCAGCTGTCTGCAATCAGATATCATTTCCTCATATGGATATCACAAAACTGTGATCAAATGCTGTCTTAATTTATTCCCAGATAATCTGCATAGGTTGAGCTGCTGCGAATTTCTCACATGATGCACTGTGAGTAATTTCAATAATGATGCCTTCAGAGCAAAGTACAAGAGGCCAATATTACCTCTTTATCTCTTTTCAAGTAACGTTCCTCTCAATCTACAGCAGCAATCAGATTCTTTCCCCGACCCTTCTCAGGGCTCAGATCCACACAGCTCAGTGCCTGATGCAGCAGCACCATTTCTGGACATGATACACGACGAAGGGCAGTTCCTGTTCGTGTTCCCCACCCCCATAAGGTGGGGATTTTGGGAGGCTATAGGGTTTGTTTGTTTATTTGTTTGTTTGCTTTCTACTTTAAATTAATTGCTTGGCAATTGGATTGACAGCATGAACACTGTCCAGACTTTTCAAAAATGACACAAATATTTATAACTCAGGGTCAGCCAGCCCTAGAGCAAACCTCTGTGGAGTTGTAAGTAAGGAAACACCAGTGTGTCTGAGCTAATAAACACGGACAAAAAACAAAAAAAAAAAAAACAAAAAACAAAAACAAAAAAAAAACCAAAAAAAAACCCCAGTATTTTAAAAAGCACTAGAGAAGAAGCAAGTTCAGTTTCTTTAACCAATGGCAATTCAGAGACAGTCTTGAAGTGTTTTCATAAAGCTGAAGCATTTCCAGGTGTTTGACAACTGAATTTTTCATGAGAAGGGAGGTCTTTTATTCTCTTTCCTAAAAGAACATTTTGATAACATCAATTTCACTCTTGTTTGTATTCTATCTCAACGTGTATCTTTCTCTGCCAATTAATTAATAATTCTGCAATTCTTTGAGTAATAGTTATAGCACATCATTACCTTCAATATTAATTAGTTGACATAGTAAAAGAAATGCCTCCATGAAAGAGCAAAAAAAAAAAGTTGGTATGATTTCACATACTTGATTTGAGATAATTTAGAATTTTTGACAAAAGAGTTTCACATGAAGTGATCATTCCCATGCTGTGCTGCCTTATCACATCCACAGCTGAAGGACAGGACCCTCTCTGATGAGCTATTGACTCCTCAGTGTACAACTCCCTGACATGTTCACAGTCTAAATATTTGTACTCCTGCCAGGAGTGGGGCAGGCCAGGAAAGATGAGTGTGTCCCCAGGAACAGACAGTGGTAAGGACTCTGCTGCTCTTGTACCTTTGGATGCTGGGGTTGTGATGTTGGCTTCAGCAGGGGGTCCAGCGCCGACCTCATTAACTGCCACAATACTGAACCTATGGCACACCAAAGAGACAGGTTTTGGTTGGCAGGTTCCTTTTGAAAGATTGCCTGAGAAACATTTTACCCAGTAGGGAAGCTGCTACAGAAGCACTTGACTTTCAGAAAATGCCCTTTTAAATATAATGCTCTGGGAAAATTTAGAATAAAAACAAAACCAACCAAAGTCTGGATTGTTCAAAGGCAAAACAACAGCACAATCTTCTAAATTTCAATTCAAAATATATTTTCAGACTCAGAAGAATAACTCAACTTCATTTCCAAGGAAGATCTCCATTTACCAGTGCAAGCAGAATGCTGACATCTGCATTTAATAAAAATGAAGAAATTTTTCCAGATGCTTACAGAAGTAGTTTCTCCCACTATACTAAAAACATGCCACACAAGCCTAAAAAAATTAAAAACAGCAGCTAAGAAAATGCCTCCCAGCCCTATATCCAGTTGCTTTTCCTTCCTCACCATCTGACTTCTGCAAAAGCAGCCAAGTTACATGGGATAACTCTGTTACCTCAAGGAAGGTGCCCTTGCTTTTGGCAAGGATGTAAGTAAATAACAAAATTGTGCAGAAGTGGTGTTAAGACATACTTGGTGCTATCTGGGCAAGAAGTGTGACCTCATACCTGGCCACGTTGGTATCTTTTCTTTTTGTACCTGTAAGTGGTGTTTGGGAAGGTGGAGTAGAACTGAAAGCTGTGCCTTCTTGAGGCTCTCAGCAGTTCATGATTCTCACTGGTCAGGAGCAAGTTATATCCAATAATCAATCCATTCGGAAAGAGTGGTGGAGACCAACTAACTTCAACAGTGTTTGGGCTTGAACTCTGAATGTCTTTAATGACAGGAGCTGTTGCAGGAACTGCAAGACAGAAATATCTGACTCCGGCACTTGATTAAGACTTTAATTGATTTTGATTTTTAAATACATTCTTAGGTTCCCCACCTGTTAATTCATTTATACACCAATAAATATTATAAGAGACAGTTAATATTTCAGCTACATTTCATTTTTTTAATGTCCAGGAAAACAGGACTGTGTTTCAATCAAATACATGCATAATTATGTACAGAAGTATCCCATGCCAATAAATATTATAAGAGACAGTTAATATTTCAGCTACATTTCATTTTTTAATGTCCAGGAAAAGAGGACCGTGTTTCAATCAAATACATGCACAATTATGTACAGAAGTATCCCGTTTGCCCTCATGATTTTGTCCATGTACTCTTCTGTGCTTGATTTTAAAACCAAAAGCAGGGAGAAGCCCTAAATCTTCTAGGTCAAACAAAAAGAACCTATCGGGTTTTTTTTTAGTTTGGTCTTCTGCGGCTACCCAAGAGACTACATCCACACGGTTCTAAAGATTAGGCACCAATGTTTTCTGCCAAAGAAATAACAATGCAACTCAAATGTTTCCACCTGAAAGATGGAACTAATAGTGCAATTCATTACCTCCACAAGCATGTGTCCGGTAGCTGGGGCTAGGTGGAGAATGGAGCTGCAGCTGAGATGTAATGATCCAAACCACTTGAAACACATATTCTGTGAAGGCCTGAAGGTCTTTGACGGTATATGAAGTTTCAGATACTACCTAGATTAATGCACAAACACAACTGGGCTTCTCCTTCCTCCAGCTGCAGCTACTGTGTAGGATGTTATGAGGGCAAAAGAGGTCTCATACAACAATATACGTATTTCAGAATAAAAAAGGGCAGCATCCTACTATAATTAAGAGGAAATTCTGAAAGTTATTTTCAGCATAGACATTGATTTTCCATCACTTCAAAACATTTTCTCTTCTGTTTCCTCAGAACACAGCACCAAATCTCAACAGTGAGCAGGTAGATCAAAGGATTGATGCAATATAATAGTAAATTTTAAGAAAAAAATTTTTTTAAAAGCTGAAATAGTAGCATATTACAAGCAATGTATTTTAAACATATACCACAGGTTTCAGATACAAAGGAGCCTAGTTACATTGAAATATTTATTGTCTGAAGTAATTGCTCCCTATTATTTCATCAATGATTCATTCAGAATAACTTCCTGCTTAGCAAATTGCCTTTACCTTTGATTTGTGGCACCAACTTGTCATGCCCTGTAAATTGGTCCAATAGAGATGATGGCAAGATAACAAGTGTACAGCTGACGCAAAAGAACAAATTATGAGAATAACTCTACTAAGTCAGAACAAAGGTCTTTCTAGCCAAGTATTGTGCTTTGACAAGAACCTAAAAAAGTTCTCTAGGGAAAGCTATTTAAAAAAAAAAAAAAGAGAGAAGAAAGCCTTCAGCCTACTTCTCCTGAATATTCTCATTGGCATTTCACAAGCATGACTCAACATGAAACAATGGGAATATTTGCATTTAGTAGAACACAATTTTTTCTTCTGCTAATTTTTTCAGTCACTTTTCAAGCCCGATTTAGTAATTTTAGCAATTTTAATATTCAGGAGTTTAAATTTAGCAATTTAACATCCACACATGCCAGGAAGTAGCTGAACATTTCAACTACCCATTCAGTGAGGAAAGACATCTTGCTAGTTTTGAATCTGCTACCTGCTAGTTTCCATCAAGGTCCCTAGTTCCTATGCTAGAGGAAATGGGGAATCATCCACTGCTTCCCAACTTCCCCATGCCACTTATGATTTTGAAAATCTCTTTCATGTACTTAACATATTATCCAATATTATCCAATATCTTTCTAAAAAAATAGATATATATAATTAATATATATATATTTATTTTTATATACATATATTTATATATTTTACATATATATAAAGAGCAGAGAAGAGCCAATTTCCTTTCAAAGCAACAGGAGGTGTCCTCCCTTACCTCTGTGTACCTCCAGTCACCAGGGAGCTTGTTGAACTTCCACTGGATAACATATTTCACCCCAGAGATGTTAGCTGCCTTCCACCCTAATGTGACACTGTGGTTTCCAATGGCAGATGCAAATGGAGCACTAGGTTTGTTCAAGTAGCCTGAGGGGAAAATACAATATAACAGTAAGAAAAAAATCTTTCATGGAAATCCCTGCATCTCAAAGGTAAAAACCTTTTACCTTACACACCTAAAAGCTGCAAAGCCCATAAAAACATATAAAAGAATATATTGAAAATATTGCTGAGTAACTCACATGGCATTTTAAAGACAGTTTGATAAGTCAGACAGAAATGAATCAGGTTCAATGTGAGTAGTTGTGACTACTACCCCATACTTTTATAACTGCATTTTTAGTTACAGCTACTTATCAAAATTTTTCTGAATAGAAACACAGAGAAGACACAAGAGACTTCTGAAATTATAATCAAGGGGACTATTTCAATAGCACTGTATCAGCAAGGTATCATCTTAAGCAGTTGAGACTGGATTCAAAAAGTCTCATGTCCATGAAAGGGAGGGGAAAAATGTTTTACTCCAAGATAAACTTCAGTGTATTTATTAAAATAAAAGAATGTTAGTTTTCTGATTAATGAAAATACTCTTTAAATAAATCCAGGTCACAGAACAAGACTATGAATTTATCAGACTGTCAATTGGACACAGGACTCTATTCAGACTTACTTAGTGCTTCAACTCCATATGCATCCTCTGCACAGCTACAGCCAAACTTACAGGAAACTGTCTGTGTAGGACACAGAACTCACTGGTTAGCTTTGTGAGAAGGCAAACTTCCTTCCAGAATCATGCAGACACATTTTAAATGCATACAAATTCTGTGGACATTTTGCATATACACAAACCCTATGGAAATAATTATATGAAATCTAAAAAACAGCACTAACATTAATTCACTCCAAAGATTTCTTGAGAGTATTTTCATCAATTCACTGGGCCTGAATTAAAGGTTTCCTCCTTACACACTGTCCCTTTGTGGAAAGCATGAATATGGGGCTACATTACAGCTGAAAATAGACTTCAGTGATGACCACGGAGTTGGGAAGACAAGGTTTTTTACTAGTTACTGATATATTCCACATGTTGCATTTCACCCTTCCTGCTTCATGTATTCCCTATGAATAAGGCATATTCTTACAATGTATTAACAGTGAATTTTCAAAATACCTGAAATCGACAATTTTTTAGAGTAGCCATGCATAATTCACACTTCATTTTCAGCAGTTACTCCTTTTGTTACAGTTGTGCCTACAAGCTGCAAACATCACAAGTACCCCTGGGCAGTGAGCTCCACACTAATGTCTTAAGAACAGAAAATTCCTGAGTTTCCAGTTCAGGTAGGGAAAATAAATATAGTGTCATGCTGCTTTTTATGTAGGGAACTAAAGAAGAAGTAGGAACATGTTCTAGGAGGGTCTCAGTAGCTTTAAAATTACATGCAAGACTGAGTCTCCTGGAAATCCAAACCTTTTGAGAAATGGTGATTTGAGCTTTTCTAGGCAGGAGGTTTATTTGGGCTCATTTTATTCAAATTCATTCAGCCTTTAAAATCTTGACGTTTGCTCCATACAGCAGCAACCTTTCAAGTGATAATCAACCTTTAGATCATTCAGAAGCAATTCATTATGGCAACTGAGGGAAGTTTTTTAATTGCTCTTCCTATGAAAACACACTTCCAGCACCTCATGGAAACTGATAAGACATGTTATTTCAGACAACACAGTTGCAACCAAGACAGATTTGAAAACTTGCTTAGCTGTATATTCCTATATACATTATGTCACATCTAGACATTCAGTGCCAAGTGCAACCACTTATAATTTTTTTCCAATATTTTCATATTCAGAGAAATAAAATAATTCAAGGTAAATTATCACCACTGTTAGCAGGTGACAATTCAGGTATTAGTAGTTCTGTAGTGAACACTGGAGCTCTAATTTATGACTAATATTTATTTGCTTTAAGGGGTAGTGTCCCCAGATTTCATGCTGATTCATAGTACCTTCTGCCTCATTGAACATAGGTATTTCTGAACATTTGTTATTTGTTGTGTTATTCTTTCTTCTGATTTTTGTCTGAACCTGAACCATAAATCCAATTTTTGCTTGAGGTAAGAGGATTTCTAAGGCTCCTAACTTTAAATTTTGAGGGACATTTGCCAGCTGCTCTACTTGAGAACAATAAATCTTCGTATTTTCTCCATCCATCAGCAATGTTCTTGCATAAGCCCAGTCTGATGTCTTTTCTTGTGACTGTTCCCATGAAATTCAGTGGCAATCCCCTGTTCCTAGGTGGAAGGAGAAATACTACCAGATTTCAATCACAAGGTGTATTCAGACAACAGAACTGAGCTAATGCCAGAGAAAAAGTCCCACTCTTACTCCCACTCCTCTGCTCTGCAGGCTGCAATGACCTGGTCCTCTCGATGCAGTGACACACTTTGTGCCTGACATGTGGGTAGTCAAGTCAGTCAGCTGATCCAGTGGAAAGATATTCCCAAAAAAGCCCTTGCAGAGTCAGCACATTTAAATAGCATATTGTGTGACCAGACAGGCAAACAAAATACCCCCACACTCACTTTATGTTTCTACAAAAGTAATTTGGTTACTTCTTGGGCTGGTCCTACACTCCAAACCCACCATTTCGTGTATTAGTAAACTTTTGTCATCATCACAATTGGATAGACTAAAAACTATTTTTAAAAAAATCCTTTCAATCAAATTTCCAGATTGCCAATGGGTTTGTATTCTATTCGTGACTCTCTCCAACTCCTCCATCACCTCCTTGAAATGTGTTGCTTCCATCTGGGATCAGCCTTCATCCTGAGGTCTCAACAGGGCCAAACACAGTCTTTCAATCATCTCACTTCTATCCTATCCCGTCCTCTCCTCTCCTCTCCTCTCCTCTCCTCTCCTCTCCTCCTATCCTATCCTATCCTATCCTATCCTATCCTATCCTATCCTATCCTATCCTATCCTATCCTATCCTATCCCATCCCATCCCATCCCATCCCATCCCATCCCATCCCATCCCGCACTCTACATTCATGCTGAAAGTGCCCATCCCTTTACCAGCACTTTGTTGACCCAAACTCATCACTGTGAACACCAGTCCACCCACAGCACTCCCCACTTGAGGTCTCTTTCTAAGGGGTCACATGTTGACCATGAATTGCATTTTATTTAATTTAGACTCTATCCAGGCAAGAGTTTTATCTTCTAGCTCCCACTCTGGTTCACTTCTTGCCAAGCTGTATTATACCAGCCTTAACAAGCATTCTCTCAGGATAGTCTTTGATGGAATTAATGAAAAACTGGATGAACAACACTCTTGTGAGAGCCTAGAACATGGTTTACATAGGTCTGTCCTGTTTCATAATACTGAGATTAGTCTGCAATGTTCTTTACAGCGATGTTCTTTGTCACACAGCAGCTCTTAATGCAAACCTGTCCTTGGTCACCATGCTGAAAAGGTACATGTAACTCATTCTTCAACTTTAGGGAGAACAGAGCAATTAGACCTGAATTGATAAGTTTGTGTATCTACATTGTATTTCTTAGCATTGTGTAGACATAGCAATCACTGAAATAGTGATTTTTATTTTTTTTTTTATTGCTCTCATGGCATTTAACTTACCTCACATGTTCTAGTGTATGTCTCATTCTGCCAAGTAAAAATTAATAAAATGTGGGGTTAGTAAAATATAATCACAGAGTATTTCAAACAGATAACACCAATTTATTAGAATTTCTTACAGTGAAAGTACATTAGAAAACCTTATCACTGGCAAATAATGAAAGAAGGAAAACCCACACTTGAAAAACAGAAAGTCAACATTAGAGTGATGCTAAGGTTGAATAAGATTCAAGTGTTCAAGAGATACAGAAAAAATAGGAGTTTAAAACCTATCATGGCAGTTTCCCAGACCACTGCTAGTTCTCACACATCTGGTTTAGTAAAAACAAGAAATCAATCTACTGCAGGCCATGTGCTTCATTTACATTTGCATGCAATTCTGAAACAGCTCCAGCAAAGTCCTGAAAAGCACTAGTGCATTCTCACTGTCTAAAAATCTGTGTTGAGCTTAATGAGCTGCAAAATACACACATTCTCACAAACTAATTGAAAACCTTTGATATTAGCTGCAACTTGCATAACAAGAATTATTAATTTTCCAAAACAAAATTTATAAGGAAGGGACAAAATTGTAGGCATTACACTTTTCATAGAAGCACTGCTCTGACTGGATTTTGAACTTCTGCCATTGGAGAGGATACTTGACAGGCTGGAGACAAGAGTTCTAGAGCCAAAGCTCAGGTAATACTCACACATTTCAGTGGACAGTCAGTTTGCATGGTTGCATTCCAAAACTGACATCCCTGTGTACACTGCAAAGACAGAGGATGGCCTTAAAAATTACTTGGAAAGCAGAATTCCAAAGGCAAGGGTTACTCCAGCACTAGCCATACATTAAAGGGACACAGGGGTATTATAAGTACTCAGATCCTACAGTAAGAGAGTTGTGTTGTATAGTGCCCTTCTCCATGTAAAACCAAATACAAAGAGAAATAAATTCAGTCTTGTTCTGGAAATGAGTTTACTCAGCCAGCCACGTTGTGGCCAGTGCTCCCACCATCCCAGCTTTGTTTTACCACTTGCTCTCTGTGCAGAAGCAGCAGATATGCAGTGTTCAGGACAGCAAAGCATAGAGGAAAGCTGTTCAGCACAAGCCCTCCCACATGTGCATGCCAATAGGCATTGGCTTTAAAACCATGAGTTTTCAGAGAAGCAATAAATATTATGTTGTTAAGTTTTGATGTTGTACCTCTCTTGTTTATGCTGTCCCATCTACTTCTTAGTGATTCTGAAAGTTTTTCTTTTTAAAGGGAAGCTGGAACAACTTTAAGAGCAGAAGATTGATGCTGAGTGTTGCAAAGCTTCATGAAAAATATAGTGAAAACTTGATAACACTGAGCAAAGATACTCAGTAACTTAAACAGGTGAGTCAACCTTGCTATGTATTGTCATGACAACACAGACTTTTATAGTCCCAGCATCATAAAAGGCCCAGCCTCATTCAATACCAGGTGTTGAGAGGCTGCTTGCCACTAATCTGTGGAAAATACTGAAGACTGAATTCTCCACCACTCTTCAAAGAATGTGTATAATCACTGATACTGAAATTGGCAGGAAAAACTTCCTAACACAACCTGGGCCATTAGAAAGCAGGCATTCTTTATCTGTACAGGACACACAGAAGGACATCTCCTTATTTCTGTGTGTATTTTGAGACTTTACAACAAACTATTTATCCACTATAATCATATATGTAAAATAGGTTTTTATCTTAATTATCTAATCTAATCTAATATATAAATTATCTAATATATAAATATCACTTTTCTAGAATAAATTTCCAGGCATCTGCCTCCTACTGGAAGTCCTGTTTATAGTCCTGAAGGTTTATCAAGAGGGGTCTCTGGTGGCCATATTCACCAAATGCTTCAATAGTAAAGGTGACTTTTCCTTGAACTTTTTCTTTGGGCATGAGCTGTTGGTTCCTGTTACATAACTTGCAAAAACCCCACTGCAGTCCTCTTTATCTGTTTCTCCATTGGTTCCAACCATGTTTATCATCCTGCATGCCTACCTTTACATCCTTTTATTTTTATTTTTTTTTTTGCCAGTTAGTCTTTAAGCTCTATTCAGCAGCCTCAGGGAAGCTGAAGATTTTTATTCACTATGTTATTTATCACCACCAGCTTGAATTGCATTTGCAATCTGAACTAGGAAATCAGCTGAAGTCCTCCAAGAATATTCCTATAAAAAGCTTAGGTTAAGCCCACATGACAGACACAACCATTTGAAATCCTAGAGAACTCTAAATGTTCAACAATTATGAATTTTCTTACACTGAATCACTGAGAAAATGAAATAAACTACTTAACTGTACAGAGATAACTGAATAAGACAATCTTAATGACTTGCATGTTGGAGGCAACACTAGTTTTGACTCATTGTCTCAAAAATGAGAGGTTATGAACTTTGTAGATCACAAATGTGAGCACAACTCACAGCAGAGAACATCACCCTTTACACAAGTTCTTTAAATAAAAAATATAGCCATGCCTCTAATAATTTGAACAAAATCTACCCACTCGACTTAGTGACTTATGCCAGATGGGCAACTGTGCATATTTCCATGAAGTCTTTGAAAATATGATCATTGTACCCATTGTATTCAAATAGCAGGAACATAACATGTCAGTAATTAACAAAGTAAACCATTACTCACCGCTCCAGTGATGTCACTAACATTGCAAAGGTTAGTAATTCCAAGTTCTCCTTCCTGTAGGAATATATACCCTTTTTAAAAAGAATTAAAATATTTCCTCAAAATTCTTTTATTAAAACACATTAAGTCATTGACTTCTTGTAAACCAAATTTTCTTTGGCTGATGTTTCCTCATCTGGAGAAATTTATTGTTCATAAGTAGCTTCTCACTTGATTTCTGAGATACCATCAAACAAAGACATTGGCAGAATCAGATGGTGTTTGTCAAACTGTCTGAGGTAGGAATTGGCTCTTACCTCCCCATTCTGGTTCACTGAGTCAATAACAAATCCTGCACAAATATGTTGGGCTTAAATGACAAAGCCAAGTGGCTTTGACCTCCTGGGAGCGGAAAGACCTTCCTTCAAGCTAAATGCCTTTTGTCTGGCCACCTTTTGGAGGAGTTTTACGCAGCCATATGGTGATCACCACCACCCTTCTTCTCCTGCCAAAAGTGCTCGCCAGTGAAAATGCCTGCTTTTTCACATCATCCAAAGTGTGCAAAACCTATCACTGTCACTGAAGTGCAAATGATTTGAGGATGTATGCAACAACCTTAGAGAAGCTGAATAGCAGCTTTTAAATTTTTGAACTGACAGCAGGTGAGAGCAACCTTAATAAAACAATTCTTAGTAAAAAATTTTCAGCACCTGGGTACACCATGACAATAGTGAGAATCAAAGCTGTCACAAAAAAAAATTGAATACAACAAGTAGACCAGAGGAGAAAAATAATATTTACAACTCTCAGACTCAAAGATTACATTTTTCACACCTGAATCAATACATTCACTGAACATAAATGTGATTTTCCTGTCTTTCAAATCTGAAAGGAAGAGCAGCTTATTTCTTATTCTGAATTAATTTAAACTCAAATCAAAGGATTCCCATTAAAGTTATCATTGCATGATAGGTTTCCATCAGGGAAGGCAATTAACTCTTTGACTGGTGCAAGAGCTCCAAATAGTTTTAAAGGAACTGTCAGGGAAGTGTATGAAATAAAATAGAGCAGGTGATAGTTCTCTGCAGCAGGTTTCCACAATTAGCACTAAGGCACAGAATGTCCTTTTAACAAGGCAAAGACACACAGTGCTCTAAAACATATCAACAGGTTTCTGGCAAATAGAAGCAAGGAGGCAACTCCTGAAGAAAAAAGAATTGTCTTGATTTCAGACGTTTTGCTTATCTTTTTCTTACATTCATAGAATGTATTGTACACTATTTCAAGCAGTATAAAGATAGTATAAAACTAAGGATCTGACCACTAATTTTAATACTTACAGAATTACCCACAATTTAAACCAGCTAAACTTAAAAATTAAGCTGCAGCTAGGTTCAGGATAGCTGTGTGTGTCAAATAAAATTTCTTGTGACTTTACAGTTTTTCTCGATTATACAACAAAAGCCCTGGACTAGACTGAAATGAATAAGTAAAGTGAATAAACTGAAAGAATAAAACTTTATCTTCCCCACCATCCAGGGTCTTTAGCATTTATAGTAATTGCAGGTAGTCAGAGCAGTGTGATTCCACAAATTCAAATGTTAAACATTAATTCTCAAACTCTGCTCTTAATAAAACACATTCTTTAGAGAAATTTTGAAAACACTGATATGTAATATGAAGTTCTTACAGTGCTAACAACAATCTGTTTTTCAAAAGATTAGGTACAGGTGTTGAAAACTTACCAGGTTACTTGCACATAAGTTTTGACAGTTCCTTGAGAAAGCACAGTAAACTGTAGAAATCCACAGGCAGCAAAGCACAACAAGCCTTTTTAGGGGGAAAACCCACAGGCAAGCGTTCTTCATAACTTAAACAATTTCATCTGGTAATCTGCCTCTTCCCTTGACTTAGGGACAGAGTCAAGTTTAAGCGACGGAGATACAACTGTGAAATTTCTGCATGTCTGATCATTAAAACCTTTTCTGAATCCTTGTTTACAGTCCGCTCCTTCAACAGCTTCTCAGCTTCCTGGAGCACCTGTCTTGAAGTTACGCAACCACTATTTCATAGTTTCTTATTAAGCCACTGAAACAAAAGAGTTGACAAATGAAAGTCAGTGTATCAACTTACACAAATATCATTAACGTAAAAAGGAAACTAAGGGCAATGCTTAATCAGGTGCTCCGAGCCACACGGAAACAGGGAAACATTGGGAAAAAACAGCATAATGTTAATTTTTACTAGATTAAGCTATTTCTAAGTCTTTGTACGTGGATGCAACTAAGAAAATTTGTTGGTGATGATGAATAACTTTGTTAGAACACCATTGGTCATATCAGACATGGCAAAAATTTTAATCTTTTGTTTTTAATGACTGTTTTCAAGTGTTCTGTTTCCACACCAAAATACCATGCAGAACAGACCCGTGTCTGCCTTCAGATGCAATCTAGACACAAATTAACCTAAGCCAGTTTGCTAAGGGCTCTCTAGATGAGGAGGCGCAATTGTACAAGTTTGAATCCATATCATGGAAGCAAAATGAAGCTGACAGTAAAATTGTGTGTCTGATTTAAAGAGCGGTCAGGAGTTGAAGTTAAAAGTTGAAGACTCACATTAAAGAGGTCTGTGGAAAGTCAGGCTTAAGACACAACCAGGCTCTGGTCTGTGGCTCATCTGTGCTGTACCAGCAGAGATATCCACAGAGTAAATCTGCAGTAGATCAATCCAGCTTACACACACACACACACACACACACATATATGAACAAATGCTATGTCATTTTGTTCATGTATGACTCATTATAAATCAAATGTGCTACTTCAGAAATTGTAGCATTTTGATGATCAGTTGAGGCTGGCACATTCTGTTATTGCTGCTTAGAGAGAGTACCTGCTTTCCCACCATACCTTTCCAAGCCCCATTGACTCGCCAAGGAAACATTTCTGCAGTCATGCAATAAAACAGGCTGAGAACCTGGTTAACACTAACCCAGCAACAGCAGAGGTGAACTGATTGGCATTAACCTGATGCTGTATTTTCTGGCTTAGGCTTTAGTAGAATCCCCTGTGCTGTTCTGTTCATGCAGTGAAAGGAGGAAATGCACCAAGGCAGGAGGAAAGGGAAAGCCAAGATGGAGACAGACAATGAATATTGGGAATCAGGTGGCTCAACATGGTCCAAGGAAGGAAAGGCTTTTAGGACCAGGTTCCTTCCTTTTCTTCCAGTTGCCCTAGGAAGCATTGGGTGGTTTCCTTGTGCATTATCTCAGTCTCCTCACCACTGTTCAAGGCAGCTTCCAGATGAGACTAAGGCTCATCTAGGGTGAGATTTCCTTTCAGCTAAGGGCTTTCAGCTACACAGGTGTGGGGGAATTGCTGCCCAATTTGCTTGTCACTTCTCCACTCCAGAAGGACGCTGCCCCCACTCCAGCCCATGAGCAAAGCTGCTCAAGAAGGAGCTCCTTAGATCCAGCCAAAATAAGCCAGTTTAGTCTGACTGCTTAAACAGTAGGTCTCTGCTAATCCAGCTCATCTTGGCTGAAGAAGTTTCATCAGAGCTCACGTGACCAGCAACACTGAAGAGGAAGCTGGTGACAGGCAGATGGAGGCTGCAATTTCTTCCTGAAGCAAAGAACTTTGGCTTTGGATAGTTAGGACATTTAGGACCTTCAGGATTTGGTCTCTAGGACTTTTAGGTCTATACTCGTAAATTCAATGTACCCACATCAGTACCCCAGCAAGTGGCATGGGATAACCCACAACCCACACTTTAAAAATCTCTCATAATCCAAGAGAGAACAGGCACAGCTGAGATACCTATGGTCAATGGCTCTTGGATTTACTATGTCCCGAACTGTTCCTGAATATTATTTGTGCTAGTGCTGATGTGGATCAAAATCAGACAGAGTTCAACAACCGATCTCTGTGCTCAGTCAGGATTAAGAGTGCTGTCTGGCATGGATTTAAATTACTAAGATGTAGTGCAGGTAAAAACATATGCCTAAATTCAAACTTTTTAAAAAATCTTTTAATAGCATTTAAATAGTCAACTTTTTTAAAAAAATTGGGAGGGGATTTTTTTAAGGAACTGTTTGTTAGGATATTTAGGGTGTTTTTCAGGATGTATAGGGAGAAGCACTGGAAGATGAGAAACAGAGAATTCATAGAATCATTACAGTTGGAAAAGACTTCCAAGATCACTGAGTCCAACCTTTGACTGCACACCACCATACCAACTAAACCACAGCATGAAATGCCATGTCCACGGGTTTCTTGAATACTTCCAGGGACAGTCACTCCACCATGTCAAGAACCAGGTTAACTCCTGGTGAGGGATATAATCAAGGTGTATCTTAGTCTGAAGAAAAAGTCCACAGCATTGTAAAAATAACAAAATAATATTTGGATTTTCAGACAAGGAAATTTGGTTACTATCAAACAGACATGATGAACTCTTTGTAACAGGAAAGCTTGGCTGTTACTGATGAGGATAATTCTTGTCAGTGAGCTTTTGCACATTCATATAGGGGTAGTGCACACATGCCTCGTACAAATGGGCTCTAACCATTGCAGTTAGTTAATAAAATAGTAATATTAAAGGCACCGTTCAAACGAACTACTCAAATGGTGCAGAAATTTTTCTTAAACTTCCAGCACTGTTTTCCACCAGGTGTCACTGTAACATCCCATAAACCACGACTTTCAAAGAAAAAAAGAGCTGCAATATCTCCTTTCTTGTTTACCTTCCTTTGAAAACATTGGGAGAACAAATAGTAACAGTCACCCGAGTCTTTAGATTTTTAATGTAAATTTCAGGAATTCTACAAGAAGAGAACACTTATGGGCTTTAGAAGCCGAACATTAAAAGGACTTTTGTAATATCTGTAAATAATAAAGCATTAAATGTAATTTTTAAGTACATCACTTCCATTTCACTGTACCCTGATGTGGAAGTAGGGATCCAAATTTTGTGAGATATCATTAATAAACCTAATCCTTTATATTCTAGATTTCCTTAAAGAATATAATTTCCTTTATCCCAAAGAGCAGCACAAGGAAGTTGCGCTTGCAGACCAGCATATCTGCAAGGGAGAAGACTGAGAATTAAGAGAAAAATAGAGAAAAGAAAACTTGATCACAATTCCCTACCTGGACAGAAGTACATACCAGAGCTCTTTACAAACTATGGATTCACCTTTCAAGTTCTTTTGAGTTTCTTGTAAGAGAAATAGAACTATGTACAGACAAATGGTCAGCCCTGATAACAATGAGTAAGGGCTATCATACCTTGAGGAAAAACATGTACATTATTACTGCCAGTAAAGTGAGTAACTAACAGCTCCTTTATACCTGAAATTATCACAATTTCATAAAAACAAAACTTCCTGTACGTGGACATGCACAAGACTGTGCATATGTACACATGAATGGCACAATATAAGCAGACCAAGGATCAAAGACACAAAGCTTTAGTACTTTGCTGCACTTACAGCAGAAGATTTAAATTATTGGCTCAAGGTGGGCTGGCAGCTTCCTCCACCATTCACCACCATTCTACCATTCACAGCCACAGGCTGTTGCACATAGAGCCAGAAAGATCAGCTGGGAAACACTTTCTGGCCTGCCAAAAGGTTACAGCCCCACACATTAACATAAACTGATGGCAACCTCAGCTTATTTTAACAGTACAGGACACAAGCTCTCAAATGGTTAGCTCACAGCTGATCCAGACCTGGAGTTGTGCCATCATTCCTGCCCTTGTGGCAGCAACCTCCATCACAAAGTTTGGCCAAAAAACTCAACGTAATACCCACTCAAGCCATCTCATTTTTATCTCCTCCCACGTTTGAGTCAGGCACCTAAAATCTCATCAAATGAAACAATTGTCTGTGTGCTGCCGCTTGAACACATCTGTGCACAGTTTCACAAAACAGCAGCACACAGCAGGAATCGGCGGGACAACAAAAACTGAACACGGGATGGCTGAGGAGGCAGGCAGGGGCACCCAAAGCCCGCAGATGTTCGTGTCTAATCTGGGCTGTTTGTGTCCTTTCACACAGCACTAAAAATTCCTTGAAGATAGACCACCGTTTATGAGTCAGTCCTGTCTTGATGGGAAGGAAAGTTAGGAGAGGTGAGAAAGGAGGGACTGTCAATCCCTCAACCAGCCTACAGGGCAAAGCAATGAAAAGGAAAATCTCAGCATTTACTTATCAGTTTTTACCTTCTTTGTCTGGGGGAGGTCATCATGAAAAGACATGCTGATGTGAAGTACTAAGTGATAATGGATTTTCACTCTTTTCCAAAGATCATAGATTATTCTCATTTTGCCTCCAGCCATGGGCCCCATTAGATTTTTAATTTCTTAGTAAAGTAAATGAACAAGGACCCTTAGGGCAAAAAGCTTCCCTCCACTGCCCTGGCCTCCCTCCTTCCCCTTTTATTTGTTGGTGCAACTGTTAAGACAGCTGTTTGTCTGGCAACAGCAGCCAGTCGGTCAGGGAGTGCTGTGCACAAACAGAGGGAAGGCCATACAAGAGAAACCCCCCGGAGTCTGGCTCAAGATTTATATCTATCTCTGCAGATTAGAAAAGTGGGGTTGGGGAGGGGGGGAGAAACAGACTGTTAAACTGGATCAAATTGGAAAGACAGTCATGCATGAGATCCTTAGCTAAACCAGTCAGGAGACAGGGATTTTCTTCTATTGATCTGCAGTAATGATGACTGGAGAAATGTCTCATTAAACGATGCACAATGATGGATTTCAGACTAGGCAAATTTGAGCTGTGGAGATTAACAGGAAGAGATGTAAAAGCTAGGCCAGGATAGAAAAGATAAGGAATGCTAAAAGGTAACATGGATCTATAAATACATTGCTAAAAAAATCAAATCTGAAAGAAAAATAATATATTAGGGATAATTAAACTATGCTTGTGTGATCGTTG